GGATAGGTAAGCAATGCATCCAGCACCGAGAGAGCACGCAGAAAAGTTTTCTGCATGTTTATTTCTTTAGTGGAACCTCTTCATTGGCCTAGTCGGGGCCAATGGTGAAAGTTGATTCTCCCGATCCCCCCTCCTCTCCGATAACCACCCGGTCTTGGAAGCGGATAATCAGCGCCTCGAACGACAGATGGTGACTCTATGCGATAAGTCGCCTCAAAATGCAGGGTGAATCGGCGGTCCTGAGAATTTTCTGGAGGACCGAGACTATGAGAGATTATTTGCAGACATGCGAGAGTCTTCCCGAAGTCTCGAGTGAAATTTCGACTCGGATTGGACAAGAAAGTTTGTTGGAGGACTCTCGCTCTAGAGAGGGACTAGAATGATCTCCCAACTTCAGAATCTATGAAGTATATAAGTACTCGAGGAGAATGAGCTCCGCAGTTTTGAAGACCTGGATACCTGCACGACAATTACATCGCCCAGGGACCTGTGGAAATTGGAACATAGGGGCCGCTTGGACTCGTTTCTCACCGTGAACAACTTAATCACTTTTGTATGTCGCCCCGGTGGGTCTCGCCAATGTGTAGGTACTTGCCGATTCTCTTCAGACACACAGGAAAATCATCACCAGGAAAATCCTGAGGACCATCGGCCAGCCTGTAAACGAGAGCTCTATGGTGCTCGATAGGTACAAGGAGAGAAAGGCTCTTTTAGCGGTCAAAATGTGTACCTTATCGACCATTACGTGAGCTCCGGATGCGATCGTTCCCACCAGGAGGAAAGTTATCCACTACGTCTCAGTCTCAAGCGACATCGACTTTCAAAGGCCGCTCAGACGCAGAGACCAGGACAGCTACCCTGTGTTAGCTTTCCTCAAAGAACATGGGATTCAACATGAGACCACGGTAACATATTGTCCTGAACAGAATGGTCGCGCCGAACGAGCATCGAGGACCTTGGTTGAGAGGGCTACGTCAATGCTGATGGTCGCAAGCCTGGATCGAGAGTTCTGGGCTGGAGCGATACTCACAGCTTGTCAGCTGAAGAATTCTAGTCCGACAGGTGCATTGAAGGATATCTGTCCAGGGTGAGCTTGGTTCGGGAGAAAACCTGATTTGGGTCATTTACGGGTATTTGGTTGTCTGGCCTGTTCTCATAAACTCGAGGAGAAAGGGAAGAAGTGAAGAAGACAGGAAGGCGAGAAGACAAAGTATCTTCGCGGGCTATTGTCAAGGGTCGACGGCTATTGTTAAGTTCCCCTCGAGAACTCGTTCGTGATCGAGCGGGCGCGGAACGTGCATTTCGATGGAAGGATATGGGCATTATCTTTAATGCAGGAAACACCAGAAAATGTGGAACTTCAACTCGGGTCGCGGGTGTTCCGAAGCCGAAGTTGATCGAGCCGGAGTTGAACGGGTCGAGGCCGATGTTGAATGGATCAGGCTCAGAGCAAATCATCACGAATGTTGAAACTGATTCAGAAGGAACCGTGAAAGGGATAGAAGTCCCGAAGATCGGTATGAAACGAATTGCGATGAGGGAGGAAAATGACTGAGAAAGGAATGGAGGGAGGACAGAGGTCCCCCGATGACGTTGAGACCGAATAAACGCAGAAGCGTGAGACCGAGTCGGATGGATGACATTGTGTATGTCTGCGGACCAAGCTTCACAACAAATTATGATTTACCGTGCCCTTGAGGGCTACTGCGATGCTGATTGGCGAGTCTGTCGGGAAGCGCGCGAGTCTACAACGGGTTACAGTTTCATGCTGACCGGAGCTTGCGTGGTCAGCCGATGGACGAGTAAAAAGCAGCCGACCGTCGCCTTTTCCTCGGGTGAGGCTCAATATATAGGGTGGAGCGCAATGTACCAAAAAATTAAATGATCGCTAAATTGTTGGAAGTTGCCCGACGTTACCGTAGGACGGCTTATCAGATTATGTTGTGATAATATCTGATCGAATTTGTGGAAAGCAAGAAGGAACCCACGTTTGCCGTATTTGTCGACCATGAGGCAGCTTTCGATAGTAGAAGCAAACTCGTGGGTGTTATTCGCAAGAAGTTCAATCTGGGGGGAAAGATCCTGAAGGCTCTCACCTCGATATTGCGTCCGCAGGGAAGCGGACGCTTGTTCGGCGGACATCCTAGTGAAAAACGGGTTGAAAAACGGACACGGCCGAGATTGAGCTTTCCGCGTTACCGCAGGTGATTCGAACTCCCTATGATAGTCTCTGAACTGATTGGAACCAAGAGAAATCTCCTCGAGACGGATCGCGACAATCTATGTCACCGATCCCTAGCGATATTTTCGTACACCGAGAAGGAGCGTCCGCCATAGAAAGGGAGACGGCAAAACCTCGTCACAAGGAACACAGGTGGGCCCACGGAACGAGTTCGCAGTAGAGAGTTACCGCTGCTACGAATGTTTCTCAGCATCATTTCTATTGCGAGCCCACTACAGGAAGAGATACGTCTCGCTCGTTGTCCTGAAACCTATGGTAAAGGGTGTCAATGTAAGGAGCGTCTTCTGTACTCGGGACCCATAGATTCATATTACTCGATACCGTCTCACGCATCGAAAGTCGAGACCGCTCAATAAACCTTGAGAGCTGACCGTTCTCGATTGCGAGCGGAAAGCGGACAAAAGGACGGTAAAGGACACGTCTCCGTATGTGGGAGGTCCATTCATCGAGGATGGCGAATCGGGTGTTCGGAAGCCGGAGTCCTCGGTCGTCGAAGAGGATGCTAGAGACAGGAGTACTCGGACCTCGGACTGAGACTGCACAGTGCGCAGCGATTCCACGAATCCTGAGCCCCACGATTCCACAATTTCACGATTGCAGAGATCCAAGTTCTGGATTTACAATCATCCCGGATTCCGTAGTCAGTCAGACTCACTCAGAGATCAGAGAGCATGCCAGAAACCGCCCGATGCTCGATTCATTATTAAGAAACCGTCGGTACGGATCAATGTCATCATTGAAATCAGTACAGAAGAACAGATACAGACACAGAGTTGTCCTCAACATGGAACCGGCAACATGGGCCGCTGTAGCGGGCCAGTCTGCTTCGCGATGCGGTCGCTCGTCGCTCCGCTGTGTTAGCCGTCAGACTGGACATCCGCCATTTTGCTTCGCGATTAAATGACGTGAGCAAGCCGCGGCAAACGAGTAAGCGGGCGAGCGGAGCGTTAGCGGCGGCCGCTTCGGCGGCGGCACCAGCGACGGCGGCGGGCGAACACCACCACATTCCAAAACGGTCACGTGACCCCAGCCGAGGAATGTCAACAATTCAGGACTGGACGTCGACCGTCGATTGGAACTTCGGGCTGAAGGTTCCCATAGAGTCGAATTTTCGAATCTAACGCCAACTTTCTAATGAGCGCTGCTTGCTCGTGTTGTGGTGAATGACGACGCGGTCGTCGTCGTCGTCAACGCCGCCCGTGACATCGTGCAGTGCAGTGAGTGTTCGATGATAATCGATCGGTCTTCTACTATCGGAGTTTCTATGTAGTCTATTTACCTACTGTCGACGTCGTTGCCGTCGCCGTAGATCCCGACAACGTTAACTCGTCGATCGAACGGCAACAGGGAAGCAGTAAGCGCTGTGTTAACTAGTCAACTCCGAGGGAACCAGCGAGTGTCGAAGAACTCGGTGTTGTTGCTAGTTCAACTAGTTGTTGTTGTGCGCCTAGTGCGGCAGGGGAGGACATCGTCGCTGTTGTGGCTCCAGCGGGAACCGTCTTGAAGTGGTATTTTGTTGCTGCTGCCACTGCCATGCTGCGAGAGCAGCTGGTGCTGCCACAGGTGGCCGGAGGCAGCTGGTGAGCTTATCTTGAGTACGAATGGCTCGACGTGCCACTGGGTCTGGCATTCTAATTGGTTGTCGACGTCTCTCGTCGTCCAGAGCTTGGAGCTATCAACAGGTAGGAGCGTGATGGCATGAGGGAAGACTGACAATCAGAGATCTGTCCAGGAATCTTATCATGCCGAGGTCGACGGCGATGATGATGATTTGTTTGAAAAGATATGCTTCGGCTTTTTGCGGCTGCTGCCGCGACGGCTGGTGCTGCTGCTTGCGGCCAAGATGGCGACCTCCTCCTAGACCCCGAACACACGGTGGCTGGCACACGAATTCGTTCGTCGTTGAGAGTTTGTGATCAATTTCGCCTGTGCTTTCGCGCTTAAGACGAAACATGGGTTTACGCCGAGTCGACTCGAGCTTTCCCCGCTGGGCGGGTTGAGTTGATGGTGCTAGGGTCAACAATGGTATCATTCAGGTATTCAATATGGCGGCATACGAACGAATTATTCTGGAAGAATATATCCGCAAGAGGTCGACGTGCAAATTTTAGTCGAGAGGCTCCGTCGGAACCAGTCGGGCTTGGAGTTCCCTCTTCAGCAGAGTTTCTCGTGTCTGAGCTTTGCAAGGCGGTTCATCGTTGCACTGAGAGATGATTTCAGACTTCGGAGTTGTGACTCGATGTATGGTACAATGGTGGTCACGGAATTTATCGAGTGGTTTCTGCGGTATCGATGATCTGTCTCTTCAGATCACACTCAAGGAGCTAGAGCATTCGCATTGAATCTTATTAGTTGGTCAAAAAAATCGCGATCCGTCCATAATCTCCGATCGTTGTGTCAGAACTTTCCCGCGCCAAGCGGGAGACGGCGCTGAATGACAACCAATCCGAGACCCAGAGATGGGAACGGATCATGTCGGTTTGAAGGCATCGGAGCTCTCGGCTGTTTGATCATTCGATGCATCGATTCTCCTCGATGGTCCCGCGCTCTCACGTCAGAACAGAATTTCCTCCTTTATTGCGATGATGATGAATTCTACTATGATCACCCGACGCAATCCTCCCTCTGATCCCTCTGAATCGATCGAAGCTGTAGGATTTTGCCTGGAGCTGACCGCCTTGCTGATTATCTTTCTCGATTCTTACAGATGTTTCTGAAGATGTCTATGACGTGGTTATAGCGAAGCCGGCTGTGCAAAATGCCCCGGCCCCTCCCCGCTCTTCCTGGGGCAGAGCCCCCAGACAGGGAGAGGCCGTCGTCGGCTGCTTCGAATGCTTCACCGCACGCCAAGGAAAATACCGCCTACAGAATGATGGCCCTGCAGCAGATTCGGAACAGTCTGGAACCCTTTGCCAATCAACAAGAACTTCCGACACAATCTCACCATGTGATGAAACGGAGCGAGATGAGCTCAGCATCATCGACTACCTCGGAATCGAGCTACGGCTACTCAGCGTTCAGCGCTCTACCACCCAAAACTCCCGGACGGCCCCCTGTGAGTGATTAATGAGTTCCCAGCCTCTCGTGAGGATCGGGAAACTCGGGCGACGAGGGAAACTCAAGGCAGAGAATTTTATTTCTCGAAACCTTCGCCAAATCCTGTCTGACGAACGATGCAATGAACAGATTCTCCCTTTCCAGGAGTTGGTTCAACGCTCTCAGTCTTGTGGGCCTCGGAAACCTCCGGCGCGTTTACCCCCGGAACAACCTTCGTTGGCAGGCGATCATCTGACGAACGGGGCTGTCGCGCTCCAGCAGCAGCGAGTAGCAAATCAAAATGCTCTGATGGGATTGAAGGCTTTACGGATATCGTCGAAGACCCTCGACCCGACGGGGACGCCGCTATGGGAGAAAATGACGCCGTCTGGGAGCTTGAGCGATAGTGGAGTGGAGTCTAGTCCGACCGTGAGAAGCATTCTTCCAGATCCCCCGAGGTTCGTTCATACGTTTTCTTTATTGGTATGTGCTGTTCTCCATCGATAATTCCCGGGTTGGGCTGTCCCTTCTCGAGAACTCCCGAGATTTATTCATCTTCCGATTATTCCGGGAAAGGAATAGAGAAAGAATTGAGGATGAAACGAGGCGAACCGCCGGCGCCGTCTCGTGTTTCTCTCTGTAGCGTTGCTCGAAGACTCGCTTTCTGCGAAGAAAAAACCCGCGCAGGAAGCGCTGAACTTGACTCAAAACGCAAGAATGTAGCCGGTCGGATGGTCCTACGTTGAACCGCATCACTTTTCTTCCTGCAGACGGCACGTTTACCCTGCTTTCTAGAAAGTGTTGAAATACCTCTCGCGGCGAGCGAGCGATAGATGGTCGACGACGTCACCTGACAGACGGATGAGTCTCGAATCGAGATCGGGCTGAAGCCGAAAGATCAATTTCTCTCGTTGAAGAAATCGTGACATGGTCGGTATAACACCGCTGTGGAAGCTCTTTGAAATTTCCGGCACGGGCTCGCTTCGTTGCCGTCATCATCCACGCAACAATTGTTGACAGCGAGCTTCGCTCGAAAGTCTCGAGAGCTGAGCTAACGGACATGCAGACTGACTAGCGCAGCCATCGCTGCCGTTTTAGATGACAATGACCCACTTGCCAGGAATTTCACTAACGCCCGCCAGAGTTAGTCTTCATGCATTTCCTCTAGTCGTCAGAATTCAGTCCACTACCGGTACCGCCGTCTTTCGCCGTCATAATATCCTCATTGTTTCGTTCGCCGCGAGCGATTGCTTTCCCTTCGGGTGTGAAGGTCTCCCGTTGCGGAGGAAATTCCCCGATGACTCGCGAGGGACCTCCGCACGAGAATTCGTGAAAGGGCCTCGGATGAATTTCGATCCCGAACGTTGATCCTGGATTGACCCAGCGCGTTCGCAAGGATCTCTCTCAGGTCATTATCTCGGACAGTCTCAATCGTCTTTCGCCCCCGAAGCGATAATGGGGGAGCTATCCGGGGAATAAATGCTGGAAAGTCCCAGAAGTCGAACTCGGCGGCACGGGTACCCATGATAGCTTCAGCGATATCGACACGAATTCTCGCGATCGTGCAGGGCACGTTCAGAAAGGCTTCGGAACCGCTACTCGGCGTCTCGGGATTCCATACATTCTCTGAGGGACCCAGGCGCCCTCTGACAGAGCTCTAACTCGCGCAGCTCTGACTGTCTGAGGGCTCTCGCCACCTCGAGAGTGGAGACCCTGGCCCTGGCGCTTCGCGTCTTGCAGAGGAGTTTGGTTGCTCGGAGAGATAATACAGAATGAAAGTCATCTATTCATACACCGATTGCTATGGCGGTCCACCCGTTGTGGTCAAGTACGTTATCGTCGGAGCCGAAACTCGGAGTTTCGACCGCTCGTGTGTATGTTTCGTGTCATCCGAGTAATTGTGGTGATTCAACGTTTCCAGATTACTGCAAAGTCCGGATTATTACCAACCACCCGCGCCCCAACTATACCCCAAGAATCCGCCCGCAGAACCCCCTCCCCCGCCCCCGAGACCAGACCGGAATGTCTGCCCTTCGATCGCGCCTCCCCCGATTCATGGGCCCAAGCCGGCCGCGAAGAAATACCCTGCGCCTCAACGAGAGCCCCCTCCACCGTATTCAATATATTCACCGCCGAGTATATGCAGTAACTACTCGGGAGTCTCCTATGTCAGCTCATCGTGTTCTGGTGAGTTCTTACGTCGACGAAAACATCTCGCTGATGTCATTGAGCGACGACGAGCCTAGGTGTCTCGACCCCCAAGGAGACGCCTGAGATTCAGAGCGATCGCATCCACTACCGAAACCAGATATTGCCAACCGACCGACCAACCAAGCGAACAAACCCTTTCTTGGGCTTCTCTAATGCGGAGACCGTTTCCAGGAGTTTCAGGGGGTAGACTTTCTCCGACAAACACAATGAGCTCATCGGAGTGCTCGAACCCTAACCTTCCTCGGCGGACGCCTCCTCCGCATCCTCCGGTATCCCCACAGCCTTCAGTGTGTTCGTCGGTCAGTCTCGGTAGTTCTTCAATGTCAAGCTCCAAGAATCTGCCGCCCCAACAGGCGGCGTCTTGGGCCGTCAAGAAAGCGAAATCTCAGTCGCCTGTCATCATGCACAGTGTCAAAGCTACGCCAATTCAGGTACTTGATAACGTCTCGCCGATCCGCCTCCGATGCTCCTGAGTTCCGTGGCACTCGACAGCTGTGACTCACGTTTTTCGTTTGTTTCGCTTATTCACCAGAAACCAGTTCCGCAAACGGCAATCGCACCTCCCAGTCGACCAGTACCGCCGGTGCCGACACAGGGCTATTCTACTCCACCCCCATACCCTTGTCCTCCGCCTGTATATCATCGTAGGATTCAGCAACCGCATTCGGGTCCCACACCTCCTCCATTGCCTCCTCCGAGGAGCGGCTCACCGCCTTCGGGGAACAGCCAGCACAGCACAAACCATGCGCCTTCACCTTCACCATCGTCGGTCGCTTCGATGCCCACGAGTGAACCCCCGAGCTATGCGTCTTCTGTTGCTGCGATCGCAGCTCAGAAAGTGCCGCCAACTCGCGGACCCACCTCTGACCTAGTTACGACGGTAGCCAGCATTTGCCAGAGTCAGGTGTCTGCTCTTCAAGGTGAGAGAAAAAAAAAAAACGATTACACTCGACTCAAGTGTCCATTGCACGATGGCGGTGACCTTGCATTAGCAGACAGCTGGGCTATTTTGTCGCATTTCTTGAAGTCATTTTAATTTCCTTTATTTTATTATTATTTGTATGAATATCATTTAATGGGGGTTCCGCTAATCTACTGCCCCCCCTCGCAGGAACGAATCATAGCCAAGACAACACGAATGTGGACAGCTCCAGCTCTCGGTCAGAGAGTCCCGTGACAGAATCGTTCTCGGTCGGTGGCGGAGTCTGCGGTCAACTGGGCGAGAATAAAGAAGAATCCGACGAACCCATCCGACACCAGAGCCCGATACCCGAAGTCGAGTGGACGGCGGAGCGGGAAGAATCTAAGGTCCGTAATTATAGTCCGGACGCGTATAAGTTCTTCATGGAGCAACACGTGGAGAATGTGATGAAAAATCACCAGCAACGCCAACATCGAAGACAACAATTGGAAACCGAAATGGCCAAGGTCGGATTATCGCGAGACGCTCAACTGCAGATGCGGAAAATGCTCTATCAGAAAGAGTCGAACTACATACGCTTACGGCGAGCCAAAATGGAGCACAACATGTTCAAGAAAATCGCTATCATAGGCATGGGCGCCTTCGGCGAGGTCGCTCTCGTCAAGAAAATCGATAGCCAACAGCTGTACGCGATGAAGACGCTCCGGAAGGAAGATGTTCTGAAGCGGAATCAAGTGGCGCACGTGAAAGCAGAGCGAGACATATTGGCGGAAGCGGACAACGAGTGGGTGGTGAAGCTGTATTATAGTTTCCAGGACGACAAATGCTTGTATTTCGTCATGGACTACATAGCGGGAGGTGATATGATGACGCTTCTCATCAAGAAAGGTAAACTCCATGTTCCTGGATATTTGCCGAGCGTCCTATGCCGTCGTCACAGAATCCCAGTTGAGGTTTCCCTGTCCTCGGCTAGAGCAAATCTCTAAAGTCACGCATTTTTTCCGCAGAAATTTTCGAGGAATCATTAGCGCGCTTCTACATCGCTGAGCTGACTTGTGCCTTGGAAAGTGTCCACAAACTTGGCTTCATACATCGTGACATCAAGCCCGACAATATCCTCATCGATCGGGACGGCCATATAAAGCTCACCGATTTCGGCCTATGCACCGGATTCCGGTGGACACACAATTCGAAATACTATCAACGTAACGGGAGCCACGCTCGGCAGGATTCCATGGATTTCCATGTCTGCGATGACGAGAGCTGTGCGTGTCGCAAACCCCTGGCGCTGCGACGACGCAAAGACCAGCAGCGTTGCTTGGCTCAGAGTCTCGTGGGCACGCCGAACTACATCGCACCCGAGGTGTTGTTACGGGAGGGATACAATCAAGCTTGCGATTGGTGGAGTGTCGGTGTGATTCTGTACGAGATGCTCGTGGGTCAGCCGCCATTCCTGGCCAATGCGCCCCAGGAAACCCAGCTCAAAGTTATCAATTGGCAAAAGCACTTGAGCTTCCCGCCAGCGGCCAAGCTCAGCATGGACGCAACGAAGCTCATTCTGGCGTTGTTGACGAGCCAGGAAAAACGTCTCGGTGCCAAAGGAGCCGACGAGATAAAGAAGCATCCGTTCTTCAAGGGCATCGATTTCGACGGTGATCTTCGGAAAACGACGGCACCACACATACCCGATATTAGATACCCTGCTGACACGGCCAATTTTGATTATTTCGAAATGCCCAAGAGCAGTACGGACGATGGCGCGAGCAACGGTGTCAATGGGAAATGCAGACCGGGGGACCGGGACGGCGAGCACGCCTTCCTGGAGTTCACCTTCAGACGTTTCTTCGATGACGGTGGTCAGGCGTACCCATTGCGTTTCGGGCGCCAAAGTCAGGAAGAGCAAGAGACGCCTCAAGTCGACAGTCAGGGGAATCCCGTTTATGTATAGAATTACTCGACGGATCAGCAAGCGTGGGCTCGCTCAGTTAGGCACTCAATTCATTAAACTTAGATTTCGGACGAGAGGGAAAATGACGCGGATGCTTGAACAAGGGGTAGCATGTACAAACCTTTAATTTAATTTAACAATTCCGAGTGGAAGCCGTCGGGGCTTGTCTTCGCTGAGCAAGAGCCCGACTGATGGTCACCGCTCTCTGGACCTTATCGGTGACACGGTATCGACGTTCGGGGGGAAGGGTTGGTTATTTGTGAATAATTGAGCTCACCGTCATCATTTCGAGGACGCAGCGAACTTCTGAGCATTGAACGAGGCGAACGTGATCCCTTCCCAGCCATGTTTGGGCTTCACGGGAGGGGAACATCAGACTCGATGGTCTGGTATTGATGCAATGCGTGGAGGATGCGATTGTCAGGTCGAGGTTGTACTACTTCGATCGGAGCAGCATTCGGGGAGCTTAAACGGCGTGATGGTCGGCATTTTGGTTGCGTACCCGTACTCACTGTGATACGTCAAGTGACTTCGAGTCTTCGAGCGGTTCTCCGAAGGGAGTGATCCGAAATCACGATTCTGTAGTTGTAAAACATTCTTCGCTGTCGATAGGGACAAAAAATTCCCCCCGGAGCTTCCGAGGTGACCCCATCGAACTCGGAGCGAGCGGCCTGAGGGAGCCGGGTGGAAAATTTCCATGAGATTTCCGGCTTATACATAAACAACATGAGGGATATATAGTGGTATATGTATCTGTGAGAGCTCTCTGCGGGGAATTCCATCGGGAAAATGATATAGGATTATTTTGTCTGGAGAGAATGCCATGCTTGAGATTCCGAATGAACACTAAGTGGATGTACAGAGCGGCGTTGTGAGTTAGAAAGAGATGAGCAAGTATCGCCGTAGGAATTTCATTGCGGAAAAATTATCGCGAGCTCATTAGGAACTCTATAGACTTCACCTTTGTATATAGCGTACGACAATCGACCACAGAATGCTCAACAGGACGAAATCGAAGCCTCAATGTAAATACTCTAGACACACAATAAACGGCTTTCTTGACCAATTCAGCTGAAGCCTTCTTTATTTCGGGTACTATCGAGCCTGACGGAATGAGATCATTTTCTGCAGCGTTCGCGGATAATATGTCAGTGGTTTGTTTTGGCCCGATGGACGGGAGACTCGACGGTCAGAACAGGATCATGAACAGTTCCGGAGCAGATTTTCTGAGTCTTCGACGCTCCTCACGAGCAGGTCGACCTCTTCTGTTTGGCTGCGGAGTGCGGTCAGAATTCGGCCCTGGGGGAGTTCGTTCAGATCCCCCAACACCGAGCAGTTCCGAACGTTGAAGTCGATGTCGGAATCGGTAGCTACCGGCAGCGCGATACGTCTCTCCGCCCCACTGGCGAGGGTCCGGATCTGATCCATGTTGTCCATGATTCCCCGGATCAATTGCGCGTGTTCCGCCGGACACGAGTTGGCGGTCGAGCTCGATCCCGAGGCAGCTGAAGACGCTCGCTCGTTCGATGCAGATTGCGTTGATCGAAGAGCGGGAATGTATTGTTCTCGGAAAGTTCTTATCGCCTCTCCGTTCGCTTGAATGGCCTCTGCCAGTTTCTTCATTTCTGGACTGATCATTTCGGATGCTAAATTCTGGAAGAATAGGCTCGTACTAATTTGAGGAACACCACCGTCGTCGAGAGGCTGACAGCCGCGGTAGTGGGGGAGCGCAGAATCGAAGAACGAGGAATGAGATCATCTGACGACAGAATCAGACATCACGTTGCGGCGGTCCAAGACATGATCCGTCGTGGAAACAGCGAACTATAAGCCAGACACCTCAGGAAGATTTTCGCCCAGCAACCTCAGGAGATTCCGACGAATGGGAGACCGGAGCGTTCGATGAGTCCGAATCGAGAATAGAGCTTCGATAGAGCGCCGGAACTTTCGCGCGCGAAAAACTTTCGTAGGAGCAAGTAAATAGTTTCTAGAGAAGAGAGCGAAACTGGGACCGAGCTCTCGCCGGGTCAATACGCTCTTTGAATGAATGACAGCCCACCGCACTTGAAATACGGCCTCTCAAGGAAAAACGGGAAAGTGTCGGAGCAGAGACACTCGGGGATGTGTAGGACTCACGGAGCTCTGTGAGAGCAACAAGTGCTCCTCGATAACGAGTCGATTTCTCCGCACAGTTCGTCCATGGAAGCGTCCTAGCGAAGTCAGGGCACACAAGCCGCGAGTACTAACCATTGATTGCGTCACCAATATACGAATCGTGAGATCTGAGAACTTTTATTCATCGTTCCCCATTGTCGCTGGGTAAACGCCAACTCACCAGGGTAATTGAAGCGGTATTGTGGAACGTCGTCGTCTCGTAAAACGACGGTGCGATGTGGACGCGGATAGCACGGGGCGCCCATAGGCCCCTGTGTTTTGGTTTATCCGCGGAATAAGCTCGTGCGAAAAGGAACACCATCTGGTAGCAAAGTTGTCAGATCACAGTCGGTAGAAATGTCGACGAAAGTTACGTTCAAAATTACCCTGACATCGGATCCGAAGTTGCCGTTTAAAGTTCTCAGCGTTCCGGAGCAAACGCCCTTCACAGCGGTACTCAAATTCGCAGCAGAAGAATTCAAAGTAGGTGAACTTCTCGTCATACCCTGCCGTTCTGTCGACTCAGCCCTCAGCTGATATTGCTCGGGATGCCTACAAACTACCTCTCCTAAGAGCCCATGACAACAAGACTCTGTGGAAGAGAATCCCGCCTCGAATGAGCACGGAGAGTACATGCGAATGTGGGATGACTTATCGTTTATCTGATCTAGAAGCGTGGCCGAAATTCCCCGCATAGACCTCAGGGCGGATACTGTCGATCTGCCATTTGGGTACGGTCATCGAAGTACTCGTCCGAAGTTCTGATCGATTCCACAGACAACGCTGTGCGGGAGTTCATCGAATTCGCTTTTTCAGGTACCAGCGGCCACATCTGCGATAATCACCGATGACGGAATCGGCATAAACCCAGCCCAAACCGCAGGAGATGTCTTCTTGAAACATGGGTCGGAACTACGTTTGATTCCGCGGGACCGAGTCGGCTATTTTTCGCTTTGAGTTATATATGTATTAAGGAAGGCCTCCTTAACGTGATGTTTGTACATAACGAATGAAATAAATTCTCCATCCGTTGGACTGCTCGTCTCCACGTTTTCGGCTCCTTGCGGAGCCGCCCGATCCTGATGACATCGGAAATCAGAACAGAAGTTTTCCTCTGATGAGATCCGCCCCGATGGCATGACACTCACCCCCTGGTCTAGAGAAAAACTTCTGATTTTGGACGTCACCGTTAGGAATACACACGCGGCTAGCTACTCCAGTCTGGTGAGAACAGTGGGGGGTGTTGGAGCCAAGGGCGAACGGGAGAAATTCAAACACTACGCTGACCTTGCTGACGAATATGTCGTCAAACCTTCCGTGATAGAGACCTCCAGCGTGAGCGCTAAAGAGGCTGCCCTGTTTCCTAATGCATCAAATCTCTGACTGGGGAAAACCGGTCGGTAGGGTTCTTCCGACAACGGATCTCTCCGGAAGTCCAGAGTGGCAACGCACATATGATCCAGCAGGCCCTACGCGACGGCCCTCGCCTCGACGAACTCTTCCAAAAGTGACGATCACACCCATTCTGTTCTCCACCATGACATAATGATAATTAGAGCCTGGAACTTCAGGCAGAATGCCATAAGTGCCTCTTTTTGCCTTATACCGTTTTTTTGGCGACATCTTGCCTTTTCTACGTTTTCTCGAGGCATTTTGCCTTTTCCACCCTAAAGTCAAGTTCGAATGTTGCTTGGCAGTTTTTTTCGGGCAAGACTTCAACCTGGTAACCGGAGAAAAACCGGAGAACATTTGCACTTCTAGTCCGACTACGTGTCGGGCCAAAGCTTTTCTGAGTATCATGGTATCGATCCCCGAGACTCTGTCACGCGTGAATTGCCTCCGCCACGAATTCGGTCGTGCACTGAGCTCCACCATGTCGTCGCGATTCGAGTATGAGTCTCGGCCCACGGACTTTCGAGAGATCGCGGCAGAATCTTGATAGGTAACGGAAAAATAATTGAAAATCTCGAAAGCAACGATGCCACCGCAACTGGAAGGTCGGAAGACTTGCGTTAGCTCTCATGTTCCGAATACGCTTCATTGGTCAGCGTGAAGGAGGGGCGCTCTCTTTCTCGTCATGAAGCCCTCTGATCATCGGCATGGCCTCACCACCGGGAATGCGAGATACCATTCTATCGCTGGTTGTAATGCTCAAATCCTCATATGAGGGGTATATTCGATAAGAATTTCGACAAATATCCGAGCATCACTTATGTGTTCCGATGATTTTCAGTGCCTTTTCCCTCGTTTATAGTGCCTTTTCCGTCGATTTTCGGTGCCTTTTTGCCTGCCTTCTCTCGGGTTTTTCAGTGCCTGAAAGTCCAGGCCCTAATGATAATGAATAAAAAACCTCTCCAGAACAGAAGTTCTTTGAGTGGTTGTCATCGAACTTCGGCCATCCTTCTGCCGTATAGTGACGGGCTTCGGGAATACTCCGCGGTACGATGAGGACGGGGGAGAGGAGCAGCGAACGAATCTGTTGATCGAGACTGTGATTGACACTCAAATTTTCGGGAGTCCAAACCCAGCGATCCAGGAAGGAACAGACCGAAGCGATGAGCGGTGCATGGTGAAGTTTTTCGCTGAACGCATACCACGCTGTATCATACTGTATCCGCGAGAGTATTCTAAAGGTCGGCTCGAGACGGTCGATGAGATCCTCGAGCATGCAGTGAGGTCCATCTCTGTCAATAGTCCCTCCGTAAGTTCATGGTGGGAGAACGACCGTAACCCCCTTTCGCCCCCCTCCCTCAAAAATGAACGGAGAGTGTCACGGTTCTGTAGCGGAACATACATGACCACAGCCTGGCGGGGGCCTCGGCACCCGAGGATCAGTGAGACGAAAGGAGGGTGATCCCGGTACGAAGTACAAGGTGTGGACCGACCACCAACCACCGTAGCTCCTGGTCAAGTGGTAGAGTGGAATCACAACGTCTGTCTGTCACCGAAGATATTTTTGGCGTTCTCTTCTCTCCGAACAGATTTCGAACTCTTTTCGACCGATGCCCAATCACCTCAGTGATGTCGAGATATACTTTCCATGCTGCTTTTCCGCAACATTTACGTCTTTCTCCACTTCTCGTTACTTTTCAGCAAATGTAAAGGCTTCTCACTATGATGTCATCGGTCATCACAACTCCACTGGCGGGACATGAGTCGTCCGGGACATCCGAACCTAGAGTCGATGCTCAGAGACGAAGAATGGAAGAGACGACGCGGTCTCGAATCGCTTTTCTTTCAACGAAATACCTAGGGTAATTTACAGGTTCGGAAATACACAGATCAAGGCGCGAAGTCGCGGTCGCCTCAATTTCTCCGTCTTCTGGTGCGAGAAATTCTCCACGAATTCGGCTCCTCATATTTGTTGTATAGAGGCTCGAGTTTCAGATTCTTCTTGTGCTTCGAGAGCTTCGTGGGATCCGCAAATCGGAAAAACGAGCTCGCGAATTCCACGAGCCACTTGGGATCGATGGTCGTGACCTGGAAGGAAGGTTTCCGTCACTCCCCGAAGCCTCTCGGAAGGACCGCTCCCCCTCGTGTGAGAGTGATATAGGCGTTCACGCGTGCAGCGTATCGCCAGTGTCTTCCTACGAGTTTCCGACCTCCGTGATACTGACCTCTCTCATATACTCCTTGGCCGTGAGAACGACTTCGTGGTATACCACCCATTCGGGTTGTCGATTAAAGAGAGCGCTACTGGGGTGTATGTACACCACCTGAAAAACGTTACAGTCTGAGCCTTATTGTAGGCTAAGAAATCTCAGCCAAAAAAAAATTCTCCTCTCGTCTCGGATGATCAACGGGGCAATATCGATGTGACCTGAATGATTGCGGAGATCGTATATGTATGCTTGGAAAGGGAACGACCGTACCTGGCCATCGACAAGGGTTCTGTAACCCTCCTGTGGGTCTTTTTTCGCTGCGTTCCGGAAGAATCCGGAGCATATCGCTTTCTGCACCCTCGCGATACTTTTGCCACACGAAACTACGTCCAGCTTGTGACGATCCATTATGCTCAACAGCTGCTTGCGTACATCTTGAGCGCGTTTCAAAGTTCTGAGAAAAAAGTAGTGCAAGGTGTAAGTGGTTCATACGATAAGCTTTTGCCGCCTCCGGGACCTTGATTTCGAGGGAGTGGCCGCTCGGATAGGAGAGATGCTTTCTGACTCGAGCTCAAACTCACCTCATTTGGACGAAGTTCTCGTAACACCACGCCGGGCTGAACTTGCTGTTCTTCCACGAGTTATATACAGCTAGCAGAGTCAGATGATCTCCTTCGGCTTGATTGAATTTCGCTTTCTTCTGATCGGCAATATTCTGCTTGTCCTTCGGTCGGTAGAAAACATTCTGCACCGATAGCATGGACACGATCGTGAGAATCTCCTCCGAACAAGCCAGATGCACCGACATAATCAGAAGTTTCCCGAGCTGCGGACTCAATGGGAATTCGGCCATTCTGCGGAAGAATTGATCGACCCGGATTAATTTGATTTTCCATCAACAAAAAGCCTCCCATGGTTCAGTGGAAGATGATGATTGGACTTCCTTACCTCCTTCCGAGACGAGTCAGGAGACCTTCGTCATCGAGAGCTCCGAGGGAATGAAGTTGCTCCAGGGCCATGATGAGCGACTCAGGGGGCGGAGCGTCCATGAAGTCGAACGAAAGCAGGTCGTTGATGCCCATGGCCTTCAGCTGCAGCACCGTTATGGCCAAGTCCGTCCGTTGGATTTCGGGCACCGGTGTGGCCAACATTTCGTCTCGGTACGCCCTCTCCGTGTATAGTCTGTAACACTTGCCGGGTCCTGTCCTACCGGCTCGACCCGATCTCTGCTTCGCTTGGGCCTGGGAGATCGGGGTGACGACAAGGGCATCCATTCCCGTCTTGGGATTGTAAACATTCTGCTTCACGAAACCTGGATCCACAACGTAGTAAATTCCGTCGATCGTCAATGAGGTTTCGGCGATATTAGTGGCTATCACCACTTTCCGAGATCCAGCCGGGGCGGGATCGAAGATCCTGGTCTGCATCTCTGACGGAAGCGCCGAGTACACCGGGAGGATGATCAATTCTGGAACCTGCGAAGGGTCGAAGGCAGGAACTGTTAGAAACTGTTCACTCTGGCAATGTGGATTTTCGCCGCGTGCAGCTCAGCAAGTTTCAAAACAATCCGAACAGAAACTCACTTGGGCCCCCAGAGCTCTCATGCGCTCATAGAGCACCTCGCAAGAGGTATCGATCTCTTCTTGACCCGTGAGGAAGACGAGAATGTCCCCGGGTGGCTCCGTAAGATGAATTTGCATCACCGTTATCAGTGAGGCATCGAGGTAATCCGTTTCCGGTTCTTTAGTGTAGAGAATCTGGGGAGGGAGAGGGACGATAAATGAGAGAAACCGACAAAACTCAAGGAAATTACAGAATTGTGGGAGCTCATTTCGAAACCTCCTCATATATCCATCAAAACTCGCCTCTACCGGGAATGTCCTCCCAGGGATTGTGAAGATCGGGGCCTCGTAGAAATACGAGGAAAACTTCACCGAGTCCAGGGTGGCGGACGTGACAATCAGTTTCAATTCCGGACGCTTCTGGATGGTTGTTTTCAATAGACCTAGGAAATAAATAAGTCTCAGACTAACGCCCTTCCGAACAACATCATGCGGAGAATTCCACCGCACTATCTAGACTCCCCTATTATGGGTCGGATGATCACTCACCGAACAAAACATCGGTGTTGACCGTTCTCTCGTGAGCCTCGTCGAGCATGAGCAAGGAGTACTGTTTCAAATCGGGGTCAATCAGGCATTCTCTGAGCAACATTCCTTCCGTCATGTACTTGATTTGAGTTTCCGGTGAGGTACAATCTTCAAAACGGATCGTGTATCCAACTTCCTGACCTAGCCGACAACCGAATTCTTCAGACACTCGTTTAGCAACCGACATGGCCGCTACCTGAAGAGAAGAGCGCGTGTTAGAGAGTCGAACTCAGAAAACCGAGGGAGGTCGGTGGATGTCTCGCGGGGACTTACTCTTCTCGGTTGAGTGCACCCAATTTTTCCTCGGGTTGTGAACCCGGCTTCCGCGAGATACTGAGTCATCTGGGTGGTCTTTCCGGATCCTGTCTCACCTGCGGATTGTCGGAGCTCAGTGAGAATCCTGTCAAGATTCACTAGATACCGCGGAGGAGGCCACGCCAGCGCCGTGGTGATTAGCACCCAAGATGGAGGAGATGAAGAGGTTTCGCCGAGCGACCCTGAACGGACTGAACTCCGACACTATGAAATTCTTACCGATGACGATGAGAATTTGATTGTCCATGACGGCCTTCACAAGTTCATCTTTCAGTTTGTAAATTGGCAAAGATTGCCGTTGTTCCAGGATCGTCATGTTTGTGCGTTTGCCGAAAGTTGCCTTGCCGCCAGCGGTGACAGCTTTTTTCCACTCGGGAAGTTCGGTGGCTGTAGGCACTAAATATGATGGAGAAAGGGGAAATCAAATTCACGGACAGGTCTGTCTGGGAGTCTCGAGCGATTCCCGGCAAAATCAAGTCGAAAGAATCGATTCCCACTCACGGGCCCGCGCTGCACTCGGCAAGGTTCGCTGCCCGCCTTCGATTTCAGGCATCGGATCTATCCACTGTTTCTTCACGTTTTCCGGGGCCGCCTCGATCTCTGCCTCTCGGGCTTGTTGTTTCAACTGCGAGGAAGTTTTTGAGCTGATCGTGCAATTTTCCGGGATACTCTCATTCCGGCGAATCGAATCAATCCGAGGCAGGAACACTCACCTCTCGGCGTTCCTTGGCAAGGGCGCTCTGCATCATAGCGGCCTGAGCGAGAGACCCGTCTGGGTTTTTGACGATTCGAACCGGATCTAGATCATGGATAGATTGGCGACCGTGGCCTGAGAGGAAAGCTGGTTCTTCTTCCACCATCTCGATCTCGATATCCTCTCCGTCCGAGTCATCTTTAGGCAATAACCCCGTAGCTTCGTCGAAGTCTGGTAGCTGCGATTTGTCGATGCAGTTTGCAGCTAACATTTGCTGAAGTTCCCAGCGTTCGGGCGAGGAAATTCTGAGGGAGGGATGATGGGTCTCGAGATCGATCTATCGTAGGTACCACCGCAGTCGATTCTGCACGAGAGAATTCGTCTCGGAGGACTCACTTGTTGACTCTTCGTTTGTTGTCGACGTCTTGATCGACATCCTCGTACTGACCGAGGCCTTCCATGCCTCGTCGGCTCGGACCAGGTCTCGGTTCGTCGTCATCCTCTTGAACCCGAACCCGTCGCTCATCTGCCGGGTTCAAATCTTCGCCGGTGTTCTGATCAACCTGTTTCATCGACAGGGATACCCTGTTCCCGCTTGTGGAGAGGACCTGGAACATTTTACTTGAGAAATTTCCCCACAAATCCCGCATTCCGTCTTGGCGTATACCATCATGGAGCGCGGGAGAGTTGCTAACCTTGACTTTGACCGAATCTCCCCGGTTGACCACATCAGCGACGTCTTTGACGTGTCCGGTTTTGCTCAGCTCCGATATGTGAACTAAACCATCGACTTTGCCCTCGACGCCCTCAAGACGAACGAAAGCGCCAAACTTGAGTATCTGATTGACTTTCCCCTCATAGATCTTATTCTGGACAGGACGAGCATCTCTCGGGGGTCGACCGCCCCCACCGGTTCGGCCGCGACGGTCCCCACGCTCATCATTGCCGTCCCTTTTGCGGTCTCCCGATCGGTCCCGTCTGCGGTCTCGCGATCGATCCCTGCGGCGGTCATCGGATCGATCCCGGTGTCGATCTCTGGATCGATCTCGGTGGCGATCACGCGACCGACTACGTTGACTTCGTTTCCTATCGTGCGATCGCGATCTTCGCCCATCGCGCGAACGAGATCGCCGGCGGTCACGGGACCTGGATCTTCCTTTCTGACGAGCCGGGGATCGTTTGCGTTCTCGTGAACGCGATCTTTTCCGTTTCTGCGAGGATCTGCGAGAGTATCGAGTTTTAGTCGTCAGACACTGGATCTCCAGCGAAACCTTGGGTGCAAGGAGTGAAGCCTTTCTTATGGAAATCACACATTGAGGCTAGCTGGCATACTCCGTCACTGAGAATGATGTTTAGACATCGACATCATAGACTGCTATGGGAGAGTAAGTACCTCGTATCCTTGTCATCCCCCGGCGCGAGGGCTTCGAGCTCTGCCAGAGCATCTTCCGCAACTTTGAGATCGCTCTCGTCGGCTTCCTCTTTGAAGAGGGCTTCAGCTTTCGTGCGATCGTTGGGAATGGCCAGTCCAGGGAATTTTTTCCTCTTATCCTGGAAAACAAGCAAAGATTTAGTAACTCAACATCACACCGCAAGGAGCTTGACATCGCATAATTTACGCGCTGGAGAGCTGCTCTACCCACATCATCTTCGAACACCGCAGCAGCCGCGGCCTCGAAGCCGTCCTTTTTTGAAGCTTCTCGCATCCGAGTGATGATTCGGTGAAGGTTCTGCGTGAAGGATTCCGGAAAATCCGATCCTCCGCCTTCGCCGAGAGCCTTGTGAAAATCTTTGTAACTGAAACAAAGATATTTTCATGTCAGATCTGACCGGGCTGCCGCTTCTGAGTCGGTATCCTCAGAAATCAGAAAGCGGGCAGAGTGTAGGTGTTTCACCGAGCGAGCGCATCGAGCTCCGTTGCTTTGGTGGCAGTGATCAGTGGTTGAAGCACAGGCAGCTCTGACTCAGATACTCACCTCCCATGCTGTTCAGCCAAATGGATAATGAATTCCGCCAGAGTTTTGTCACCTAATCCAAAATGATTATCGAGCTCCGTGCAGATTTTTGAAACGAGCGAGAGGTGCTCGAGCTTCTTCAGTTCCTCCATGATCTCGAGCTCGAGTTCAAGCCCTCGGCTGATGGCACTGCATATTATAATAGGGATATCAAACGAAATGCCCGGTCTCCCAGCTGATGGGAGCGCAGATTCTACGTTCTGTGTACAAATAGACCGCTTTTCGAAATTCGACAGAAAACGAAACCGGCCGACCCTGTGTGCGCTTGCCGTGTTTCTCGTGTTCGATCCACTCAGCTGCAGAGCGCGGGAGTTTCAAATTTCAGGTCTCGTCGCCGCACAATCTGAATCCCGGGATTTATTTGTCGTGTCACGTTGCTGCAGAATATTAGAGAAGGGTAAAGTTAGATATCACTATTCCCGAGCCGCGATGAGAGGGTACCGACGGGCAATAAGTCGCACGCAGAGAGCTGTATCATCGAGGGCTGATACACAGTCTGGACGGTGACTCGGAGACCTCTCGAATCCTTTTTGTTTCACAAAGGTACAAGGTACATATATATTCATCAAGATACATTTCATGATTTCTCCCGATCGCACCGCTAACGAATTTGGGATTAAAAAGAGCGGCGGTCCGCTCCGTTTGAGAAAAGCGGACAGTGGACGCAAGAGCCTCTTCGAGATCCCGAGGGCGACTTGGTAGAGACAGAGACGAATGTAAGGGTGTCGTCGTAGAAAGAGTTGCTCTCTCCCACATTCAATTCGACGAAGAGTGTGCGAGCGATGGCCAGGGCGGACGTGACTTCGCTCGTGTCCCCTTGATCTGCCCGCCCATGTACTGTCCGATCCGAACAGGCCTGCGGGGCGAGGCTGCCGAACCTCATGTAATCTGGTGAATCATGTTTGATGCCTAGATCTCCTTGATTCCCTCGACGAAGGACTTAGCCGGAAGCTTGTAGGCTGGAGCCAATTGCTAATTCCTGATGACTGATGAGCCCAGTTGGCATCTTAATCTCGAGGATTCGCGCGGATCGAGAGCAGTTCTCGAATTCGTGTTTTTGCAGAACGTTATCTATGTTATCTATCCCGTTAGTTTCCGGAAGGGAAGCCTGAAATGAGAGTAGGGAAGAGAACTCATGGGACAGATACCTGCTGCGAGACATGGGATCCGACATCGTGTCTCATAAGCGACGCTTTAACCCAACAGGTAGTCCAACGGGATCATATCGGGATCTCTGTTCGAGATCCGACAGAACAGGCTGAAGGCAGAAGTCCGTACCCGAGCTTAGTGTCAGGGAGAGCTTATCGATATTTTTTTCACGGGACATCCCGAAACCTCCTTCTCCATACAGCTCCTTCTCCTCGTCCTAAATCTGGCATCGTGGGAGCGGATGGTATTTCCCGTTTCTCGGGATATCTTACTTCCTGTTGAAGCCCGTGGTGACCGTGGAGAAAAGAGACAGAATATACAGTATCATCATGATGACCACTCAAGAGATCGAATCGATTCCCTCGTCGATCAGGGCAATCCGTTTGTCTCTACTCTCCTATAGAGACTGGACAAATTTCTCCCATCCCTTACAATCCTAGATTATCTGATTCCTGGCAGCAACATCAGAGCGGGAGCGACTGAGCTTCCAATATGGCAGGGGAGACCGGAAACGGTTGGTGGAGCAACGCTGCTCGATGATTCGGATCAGTGCAATCCTTCATCACTGAGTTTGCGTCGAGTAATTACCCTGTTTCATACTTCCGATTGGAATCCCGGTGGAGCACATCGACATATATAGCGGGTTTCGGGACTCGTCACGATTTCTGACTCATTCTGCCCAAGGGCGTGTTATCGTCTGCCTAGATTCAGGCAGAAAAAATATTACCAGGGAAATAAATCGATGGCACGGAAAAATTCTAGGTGAAGACAGAGCCCCAAGGAAGCCAACAGATTCGAGTGGAGTCCGCGCCAGGGGAAAAATTCTTGCCCGAATGGGAGATGTGTCTCGTTCCCGCCACGCTCTAGGCGACAGGGGCGCCACAACACTCGAGCGGAACTTGAGCGAAGTACTCGTAACAGCCTATTCGACACAGAGTTCGCGGAGGAATTTCTCTTTGCTGCGGCCACGTTAAGGTGAATATTGACTCCAGACTCTCGTTAGATATGGGATTGCGATTCCGTCTTCCAGCCCGTGCGGGGTTCCTTCGCTAGGATGGACCGTCCTGCTCGCAGGGAGTGCCGTGAAATACACTGGGAGGTGGTCACGGCAGGGAGGAGAGAACTTCTGATAATATGACGCATTGGTCTTCGCTACGACTTTGTGGGATGCTACTGGAAGTTCCCCAGGAGTGTACGTAACATGCTCGGGTGCTCATGCAGCTCGCTTGGGCTTCCCGCTGTGGAAACGCTCATTGGAAACAGTGGAAACTTCAGCTCCGCAGCTTGGATTTTCTGTTGACGAAAAACAGCCAGCCTTGGATGGCTTCCAATCGTAGCTTGCTCTGAGCCACAGAAGGGGAAATCTCCAGCAACAGATGCCCACATGGATCACCATATTTCATGAGATGGATCGTGATACCAACTCAGATGGTGTGTTGCTGTACCATATTCGTCGTTGATCGGAAGACCCTCCGATCAGACTCGACTGTTTAGGTTTCCCATGCGATCGCTTCACTGCGGCCAACAGAGTGAGTTTCTGAGCGAGGAAGGTGTCGGGCTTCTTGCGTCTTATGAGGTCCATCCCTGGTAGACGCTAGAGGTTCATTAACATTGTGATCGACTGTCTTACGTGTCGTGTAGTAGTTACCAGGAATGAATTCCGAGGTACATCCGGCAAGACTATCGTCGCAGAGACTTCGGAACTGTTTCAGGAAAAGGCTCACGTTTGCGATGAGGCGTCTCAGTCTTTGTGAGTTACGAGGAATCTCGTGTTTATGTATTTCTCGAATCTCTGACATACCACCGCCTCCTGTAAAACATCGACTGCTTCGTGCTATGCGTGAAGCTCCCTTGGAGAGCTTCTTTGGAGAGATGAGACGCGCCTGTATGCAACCGCTTCGATCCGTACCGTTGTCGAGGGATTCCCCGTAAAGCTCGTCGAGAAGCTCTGCCGGAGCTCGCACAGGCTTCTTCGACCGAGCCATAGGAAGCGAGGCGAGCTTTCGATGATTGCGAGTCGGAGGATATCCTCGGAGAGGCTTTATCGTATCTGCCGACGAATGCCTTCCAGGCGGGGCTTTCCACCGAACGACTCCGATTCGGTCATCTTTCGGAGTTGCGTGAGTCTCCGATGCTTAGCATCGAAGCGGTCACGATCTTGGATTCTCACAATCTCTCCTGCCGGAAAATTTTGGGCTCTATGCACTAGACTAGATATATTGCGTTGATTCCGAGATCTATTACGGGAACCTTCGATCCTGGCTTGATTGTTGCGCCTCGGAATTGAAATCTTCGAGATTGCAGCGACCCTCGTGGTCCACGAAATGCCGCCCTCTCCTGGTAGCGATCAATGCGTCTCTCCACGGACTCAAGAATAGACATGTGATGCCCCGAAAATACTTCGGCGGTGTATTCTCGGTCTCGTTGAAGGCCCAGCGGTTATGCCGAGAAATACACTGTGAATGTTCCAATTGAATGGCAGTCTGTGAAACGAAGGCACGTTTGAGGGTTCAGAGAAAAACGGCTGAAAAATTCAGGTAATCTGGGTGACGAGGATTGCAGAAGTCCTCTCGCGGCTCGTTAGTGTGAGTATCTGGTATGCCCGCGGTGCTCGCTTGATCAGTCAAACATTCTGAACCAGAACGAGTGACTGAACTCAATTCTCTATTGGTGGACGGGGCGGACAGACGGGCATGCCCTCCTATCAGAGTATTCAAGTATCCGCGGGAATCCGGAGCTAATCGGAAAATTCCGTATCATTTTCGGTATCAAGATCGGCTCACCGCCGAATTCTGGCGTCCTCGGGCGAGTGGTCGCGCCTCGACAAGGCTATCCTCCAACATTCTGAGCTTCTCTCGATATCTCACTCGGAATCTCCTCTCCTCCCAGATGCTGCCATCACCAGATACCTGAACATCGAGCTCAACTAGTTGCTTCGACCTCCGAGGTCGTATTGTTTTTCTGTGTTGGGTGGACAAAGGATGGATCTTGATACAGCGTTAGCAGAGTTGAGAGTACTCGCGGCCGTCTCCGAAGCTCGCCGTGAATTACTCCTTGAAACACGCAGAAACATGAATAATGAAAACCGGACCCACAGGTAAGCGACATCGACACGGAAAAACGATTGAACTTTCTGAACAATCCATGGGGAACTTCCGATGGGTGGTTTCAATCTGATCTTCGTTTGAGAATAAGTACTGCCGGATCCTGATTTTTCTGAGACTTCGAGTGCGAACATAATTTCCTCATTCCAGGCTGAGCTTGCACGTGGGTGGAGCAAGACGCTACAAATGTTTTCAGGATAAAACTGTACCTTTGATTAGTATCCGGAAAGCTTTCCCGAACTTGTGTCAACCGAGCAGATCAGCCTCCTTCTCGAGGAATCGGCATTTATTCATGGTAGGTCTGAGCAGAGAAATTCAGGAGCGGACTGGGGGTGACAGATTCGATCGACTCCACTCCCGTACGCGCCTGGCGAGGCCGTTAGGGTTGACCTCTACACCATACGACATAAATGCTCAATTGCTCCTTCCTTTCGATTCCAGCCATACGAGCAGCCTCGACCGTCTATGGCTCATCCGCACAGAGTCACGGCACTTTGCGTGCAATCGCCCAACATAGGAACTCTGCAACTACCTCAGCTCCCACAAAACAAGTCTAATCCCCCATCTCCTGTGAAGAACAACCCTCATGCTTTCGGAGTCAACGGCGGTCCACTTGTCCGTTCGAAGAGTTTGGACAACATCGCTCTGTGCCCTCTGGATGAGATACGTACGGTCGACAAAATAGTTGATTCCGTTTCGAGTAAAATCAGTAATTTACAATTGACCGCCAACTAGTTGTTGGAGACTTTAGTTTGAAGGCGTCTGATCAACATCCGATCGTCGTTGTCGTAGATCGAAATGACCTGAATGTTTTTTTCCGGACGGAAAAAATTGGACCAACTCATCAGAGCTCGAAGCGAGCGTAGACATATTATCGGGAGCTGAACGCCTCGAAATCGTGTGGTTTTTCTCCCGATATCTCTCGAAGGGACGACCTCGAAGAGTGATTGTGTTGTTGACGGATAGGGGGAGGATTAGTTCTGGGGTCGACATCGTTCCGGACAAACTTTGCGATTATCTCTGAGCGACCGTCGAGTCCCTGTGGAGCATTCGGATCGTCACACCGGTGCCCATTTCTCTGGATTCGTTGACCAGACGTCAGCCTATATGAGCCTACATTTATTAAATTAATTCAAATATTTATTGTACTCCGATGGAGGCATCGAGATTGAATAGTCTCGATCCGAACAATTCCACCGGAGATGAATGGACCGCTCGGTTTTCTGCCGAGGATTCCGAGTCTTTCCGGAATCGTAGCAGAGGAGCAAGCTCAGTGTTCATGCGAATCCTGATCCCGTCGCGGAGCTTGAAGATCTCCGGAGGATTGAACTCCCAGGCATGAGGAAGACGTTGTTGTGATTCGTGAAAGTGTAGTGATGGGAATCAACCTCCGAAACCATGGGCAGCCGTTTCGCGTCTATAGGAGCTCGAATCTCTTGTAATCCACCCGAGACGACGTTGACTCTTGTTCGTAGACGGTTCACATATAAATATCTGCATAAGTAAATACGATACATAAACTCCAATATTTATACATGGAATCGGTACGGCTCTGAGGAAATGTGCGATATTATTCTGGTTGTTTACCGCTGCCTATGTCACCAATGACTGAGACTCGCGAGCCGTACTGGCTCATCGGCCCGTGCTCCACGACCGTCTGTTCGCGGAAATCCTGGGGATCTAATTCTACGGGAAATTGCCGACTACTCCCCTTTCGTACGAGTTTTTCCCGATTTTTCCCTTCGCTCAGACATTCCCTTCCGTCGTCTGAGGGCCGAGAATGCACCGTGGCGGAATGCGGGGAGGATCGTCCGGAGCCCGTTTTTCGACCCGTGGCTTGATATCCGATGGGGCGGATCTCAGGGGTCAGACGACGAGTTCTTTTCAGGGCCGGAGCGAGAGGCAGCAGCCCCCTTTGGTTCCTGACGGAGCGGGATGACGAGCCGCAAGTGAGAGCGGAAAAACGATCTTCACCGTTGATAAATCCGTAACTTATCCAATCCTCGAATCGCAGAGCTGTGCTTCTCGCATCGAGGGCAATTCATACGTGTTGACATGAAGTTAATGTACGACGTTCATACCGGGACAGAAGTATTCGACCGTGTAAATCAATGATCGTGGACACTATAAAAAAAACTCGTGTACCTTATTTCTGGAGTGTTGATTTTTTTCTAATCGAAAGCTGCCTGGGATTCGGTGATAATTTAGAGGAGCACCGGTGTTTACGATCGAGAGGCGAGGTGCACGCATAAGGGTGCACGAATCTTAGAGAGTCTCCAATTTAGATGTGTTGCCGTCGTTATTGTAGCGTCGTTCCCCCTCTCTTAGAGGCGCATTTGGTGCTGTCCGCGTGTGTCCTCTAAGGAAGGATCTTTGACGCTATCGGGAACTCCTCGCCTCCGTTCAGCAAATCGTATCTCACACTGTTAGCTCTGTAGTGGCACCACAAAGTGTCGACCGTCACGATGTCTCGTGTGGCACGCCGCCTTTACGCTGAAGATGGAGGTTTCTCCGGTCCGATATACGACGGGGGAGCCGCGGCCAAAGAACAAAACAGTTGGGTATTTGAAGTATGCTGGGAAGCGGCCAACAAAGTCGGAGGCATCTACACCGTGATAAAAACCAAGGCTGAGGCCTCAGTGATGGAGCTCGGTGACCAGTACTGTCTCATAGGACCCCTGAACCACAACGCAGTGAAAACGGAGGTGGAAATCCTAGAGCCCAAAGGTCCGTTCGCCAAAGCACTCGAATCATTCAAGGAAAACGATATCGGATACGTTTACGGCAGGTGGCTGATCGACGGCTATCCGCAACTGTTGCTGATCGACCTCGGTACGGTGGCTTCTCGTCTGAACGACTGGCGAGCGGATACTTTCAAAAAGTCCGGTATCGGTCTCCCCGAAGTCGACTCGGAGTCGAACGATGCCATTCTGTTCGGTTACGTTACCTCATGGTTCCTGGAGGAATTCGTGAAAGCGGCCAGAGACGCCGGGCCTCCCTACATTGTCGCGCATTTCCACGAGTGGATGACAGGCATCGGACTAGTGCAGTGCCGTCTCAAACAGTTGGACGTCGCCACCGTGTTCACCACTCATGCGACCCTGCTGGGTCGATACTTATGCGCTGGAAGCGTGGATTTTTACAATAATCTAGCCGATTTCGATCTCGATCGAGAAGCTGGAAACCGCGGCATCTACCACCGGTACTGTATCGAGCGCGCCGCCACGCATACAGCGCACATCTTCACAACAGTTTCCGACATCACGGCTCTCGAAGCTCAGTTCTTACTCAGAAGGAAGGCCGAAGTCATAACACCTAATGGACTTAACGTTAAGAGGTAATCTGTCATCTGGTCTGCGCCCCCCCCTTCATGCCTCGAGACAGCCCTACGATTCGCTGTGTCCTCTCAGCCTGGGGCGTGTGGCTCCATAGAATCAATCACTCAGCTGAGATCGCCCAATAATAAGGGAATAATATCTTGTAGATTCTAGATCAACATCTTGACGCTATCGAGTGATTCGATCTCCAGGTACGAAGCCCACCATGATTTCCAGAACAAGCATGCCATGGCAAAAGAGAAAATCCACAATTTCGTTCGAGGCCACTTCCATGGACACTATGACTTCGATTTAGACAAAACCCTGTATTTCTTCATCGCTGGGAGGTGAGAGAAATTCTTGGGTTCCCTGGCGCACATTCAGGTGTCAGTGGAGCGAGTCCAGCGAACAGCTGACCTTGGAGTCGATAAGTAGTTTATCAAACAAGAGTTCCCCTTGTGGCTCGAGGCCAATCAATCCCGTGAGCTCCGCCCCCGGCAAAGGGGATCGGGGGCATTCCGATTGCTCCGCGAACTTAGCGAGAGAATCACTCAAGATTGATCCTCACGTATCTTTGACATCTGAGCAATCAGGGGCTTGACCCTGATGATTATTGTCCCGACCATCGACGCTGTGAAATTAGCTGGACATCATAATGTCATTTCCATGAGTCGGACTCCGCTTATGGGATTCCATTCCTCCATCGAGACAGATACGAATTCGGGAATAAGGGCGCTGATCTTTTCATCGAATCGCTAGCGAGGCTCAATCATCGCATGAAAACCTCGGGATGCGCTAATACAGTGGTAGCATTCATCATATTCCCCGCAAAAACCAGCAACTTCAATGTAGAGTCTCTGAGGGGTCAAGCAATCTGCAAACAACTGAAGGCAAGTTCCAACCTCGAGAACACAGGCATTCTGCGGCTTTTTGCCTCCTCGTTCACGAAGCAGCGTAAGGTGTAATCGTCGGATAATCTAATGAGCTCCTGTATACTCAGGACACATGTGATGAAATCCAGAAGCGAATCGGGGAACGGCTCTTCGAGACCGCTCTCAGTGGTCAGTTGCCAGATGCGAGTAAGCTGCTTACTCCAGAAGATATTGTCATGCTCAAACGAGGTGAGCCAAGTCGACGGAAAACTATCGATTCTCCAACCCGGTATATAGGTTTCTCCATCCGAGGTTCCCTGTGCTAAGTGAGCATTTAGGAGCCGAGTATGCACGTGCGTCGCGCTCTCGAAATGAGTTTTCGGTTCCGTCATCTTCCTCGGCCAAACTTGCTGTCAACGCGCACTGGCCTCTGGGCTGTCATCGATATTGGATCTACCCCGCGGGAGGACAGCAAACAAGTCTCTCGAGGGCTGCTCTCTCGGGAACTGATTGAACGAATAACCTTTTTGAATCACCTCGTTTCCAGAGCCGGGATCAAATCACGCTCTCGACCTTGACCCCAGAATTGCTCACAATGCCACCAATATCTAGCAGATACGCTTGACAGGCGTTCACCGGAGAAGCCGAAATGAAAAGAAAAACAAAATGAGCCGACCTTTATCTCAGGCTCACCAAAACCGTCGCCTCCTCATAAAGATAGAATGATCTAATCGGGATACTCTTGTTTAATCTTGTTTAGATTATTCCGTGTGCCTAGACCGCATTCATGAGCTAACAATGCTCTGCCATTCGAACACGTGGTCACGAAGCGATCGGCTTCGCTTCCATCGATGCGGCGAATCTGGATGAAAAACGATATTCTATAAGATTTGAGGTATTGCGGAGCGCCGACGAGCTAGCGAATCGCATTAAACCCTATCGCTTTTCGATTCTAGGAATTTATTCGACTCAGAAGTCCTCTCTACCCCCGATTTGCACTCACAACATGACCGAAGATTCAACCGATCCCGTCCTGTCCGCCTTCAGGAGGTGTCAGCTCTTCAACAACAGACACGATAAGGTTCCGAACTATTTGAGTCCTCTGACCGAATCTGCCCCGGCGAAGGAAAATAGGGACTGCTACGCTCTCATGGAACTCTTCGCATGAGTGATACGTATCGACCGTCAAGCATCTGACCACGGCCGAATTCCAGGTGAAGGTTGTGTTCCACCCCGAGTTCCTTTCGTCGACGTCGCCGCTCCTCCCCATGGACTATGAAGAATTCGTGCGAGGCTGTCACTTGGGCGTCTTCCCGTCGTACTATGAGCCCTGGGGCTACACGCCGGCAGAGTGCACGCTCATGGGCATCCCGAGCGTCACCACCAACCTGTCCGGTTTCGGCTGTTTCATCCAAGAGTACGTGGTGGACCCGATGTCGTACGGAATCTACATTGTAGAGAGAAAATTCAAAGGCGTCGAAGATAGCGTCGAGCAGCTGGCCCAGTTCATGTTCGAATTCTGCAATCTGAGCCGGCGACAGCGGATTATACAGAGAAACCGAACGGAACGTCTCAGTGATCTGCTTGACTGGAAGAACCTCGCACAGTACTATACGCAAGCTCGACGAGAAGCTCTACGCAAACTTCATCCCGAGCTCGATGCCCAGCTCGAGATGCACAAGATGCAAATCAAATATCCGAGACCTTATTCGGAACCTCCGTCTCCGTCAACGTCGCGTAGAGGTAGCGTGTACGATAGTGACGAAGACGAACCCGGCAGCAACAGGGAGGAAGGAGCTTGAAGCATTCCGTCATCTGGAGTCCCACTCGTCTACTCGAAGTTCGACGCTCTGCCCCGTGTCGAGAGTCCGTGGAGAATGACAGGGAGGTAATCAGGATCGACGTCGTGAATTGGAGAACTTTTATGGTTTTAGGATACACGTCGAACTCATAATATACAGGCATATGCCAAGAGCCCGTGGACGACATTGATTCATTTGAACGAGAAGAATGTTCCGAATTCTCATCCTTGCTCGATGAGATCAGGAACGAGCAGTTCTCTGAAGAATGCAAGAGAAGCGCTGTTATCTTGACTAAAAGTTTTTCAATTTCGCTCACTCAGATCTCTTTTTTTCCCTATCGAAGCAGAGTTCGAGGGATCGCCCACTCAAGAATATCACGAACTAGAGAAACGATAGGGTAGATCGTGAACTATAGCTCATATCTTCACATGATATCAGGGATAGCGCTTCCGTCACCTTCGCGAGTTGGCTCGTTTATTAAATAATTAAATAGGCTTCACCATGAGAATATGAATGACCTCAGTAGAGATGAATACGCTATCCGACAGAAACGAAAGAAGCTCTGCGTAGATCCCCTCCCTCCGTGAATATCGGTGAAGAGACGAAGAATAAGAGTTTGCAGATTCGAGGTAGATCATTATGATATAGACTTTTCTGAACAAACTATTTACAGCCTGAGATTCGATTCTCCGCGGCTCGTTAGGGGCCAGCGGACGACACCTGTACCTGGGAGTCGATGGACTCTCCGAGTTCACTACTCCTAGCCCTCTCGTTCCGCCGAGTGTCGCGGCCGAGAGAAGTATCTAGAATACATAGATCTGTCTCCGACCGGCACATGGAGTTCCTTTCAGTCTCCACAGAATTTTTGCTACAATACTATCAGCCTTTTGGGACTCGAGACGAGATCGAAGAGCCGCTCATCTCTTGCCACCGAATAAGTGTTTCGCTTGAGTTTTTCCTGAGGGTTTCCAGCACTTGCACGAACCATTCACCAGGAACCAATCATAGTACATACGGACGACGAAACATCCCACGCGATCATATCCGTCGCACTTCTGTTTCTTCTTCTGTGCTGGTTTCTCCTGAAACGGATTGTTGCGACCGTTATGGAGGAAGCCGAATCGAAACTCTTCGGAGTGACATCACATCGAGATTTCACACAATTTCTCTAGACTCTGCCATCCGAGGGACAACCCAAGACCTACCTCGTCATCCTCGGAGGCTGCCCGTTTACTTCTGCGGAAGTGGAAACCATTACTGTCTGCTACTCGCCGTTGAAGATACTGTTGGAAATTATGGAAATCCTCCACAGGTGGGGGTGGAGCTTGCGGCCTCTCGATGGGTCTCTGGTAGACCGGATAGTGCTTGCTCGGTGACGGCTGGGGCCCTGAGAGAGCTGTCAAGGGATTTATTATTAAACACATATCAACCGATTCGATGAAGAATGTTGAAGCTCGGATCTTTCGAGCCGGGGCTACAAGCGAAGTAGATTATCTGCATTCCCGTACATTTCTCATAGACAGAGTTCGGTCTTTTGGATGGAACGAATGACGGATGGTGCGGAGGGAGATGCGGCGGAGGTCTGGGCACACTCTTCGAGTGGGGGACGACAGCGTCGGGGTAGAAGATTTCGGCCACAAGGAGAGAAACCCATCGCGGACTCTCATGGCACAAGCCGTTGTCCACGAAGTCGCACGTTTGAGACCTGAATAGTATCAGCGTGAGAGCGGCAGAGTATCGGTGCTCGCTCGCCAGATTTTGCTTCGAGCGCCAAGTCGGATCGTGGATTTCGGAATCGGTCGCCAACTCACATGCAAGTCGTCTGCTGGATTGTCTGTGTCAAATAGCCCTCTTGAGGTATTTGCACAACGTATTTCCATACGCCTTGATAGTTCCTAGCGTAAACTGGGGTGACATATTCTTCCATTGAAGGACAGGGCGTTGGTGGGAGGTTCGAACCGCTCCTCGAAGATTGTTCATATTTGTCGCCCTTGTAAACCTTCTCCACCGATTCTTCGGATTGTTTTTTGAAGCGGTTGCTGTGGAAGACGCGATGGAATCATTATACGAGTCCTCCAAGGTCCCCAACCTGAGTATTCCCAATCGATGGAAACCGTGTCGTGACGCTGCTCATGGCTATGCGGGGCCACGACTGGGAAATGAGCACTCACCTGTTCGAATACATGTTGGCCAGTAACTTGACCGGGGATGACTCCGACGTCATAAGATCCAAAACTTGAACGATCGGTGACGGATTCGTGACGCTATTCCCGTTCGCTCCTGTTAACGCCGATAGGACTTGACTCAGAGGTGACCTGGGGATGGATTCTCAGTGAAAGAGGACACCGTAGGTGTGTGAAGCTCATTTCTCCTGTGAATGAGTATGGTCTATAGCCACGATTGGCAAGAGGAGAATAAACAGTTTTCCGCTCGAAGCTCTGCTGGCTTTTCAGAAAAATCGAGCAAGGGATATGGGTTTCGGGAGGAAACCACAGTGAAAATCTGCCGACGGATTCATTCCCGGTCGACGTCACCGATAATAGGCTTCAAGCTCGGGCTTGAAAACCAGGAACGGCTTCAGCTGAACGGAAGATGCCCCCGGGAAAGCGACGTAAGACGGTGTCGGCTGGCGGTTATCTGTGCGCTTGACGGTGCCTGCAGTTTTCTCACCTGGTTACGACCGGCGCCGGTGTGGTCGTGTCCTGGTTCACAGCGTTAAGCAATTCCCCTGCGTAGCTCAAAACATTCAAAAGATTCGTCGTCGTTGATGGACTTCCTCCAGATTCGGTTTGTACCTTCGCGGGCGGAGAGTAACAAAAGTTCCTTCTTTCAGATTACGGTGACAAGTAGTGTTGCTTCCGCTTCGTCTACACGTAATGCATCCCGATGCAATGTGCGCCAGGGCGGAACAAGAGCAAAAGCGAGTCAGTAACGGAATACCCCGAGCATAAGCATCTGCATACCTTGTTTGCAATTTGAGGTCCCTTGGCGAGATTCAGTAGGCCAGAAAGCGCATTCAACATCATGGCTGAAGATCCTGTCCGTTGTCGCTGGAGTTGATTCATGACGGTGCACAACCTGCTCGCGAAGAAGGAAAAATCCTGTAGGCCGATGCATTGTGTGTATGGGATCGATTTTGTTCCGATTTCGCCATCCCTTCGATTCTCAAGATTACGTATCCTGTTCTTTCTGATCCGTCATGGAGTTCAGGGGGTACGAGCCCAACTTCCCGTATTACGGAGTCCTATGATGCTGATTGCACGACGCCCCGGAAAGATTATCGACTGCAGGTACATATCGCTCCCATCATGGAACTCGTTGATTCTTACGGATGCGAAGGGAGAGAAAATGCGGATGTCGCCGAATACAGCGCTTAGGGCAGCATCGATTAAACAAGGGAGCGGATCGGGAGAGAGAGAGAAAGAAAGGAAGACATATTTAACTATTGAACGCGCGAATCTGTGTGCTAGGCGGTGGCTACGATGGCCTCGTTGGACGCCCCCTGTAAGAAGCAGTGACACGCTTCTAGCACGACCATTGTCATCTTCTGACTGAGACGGAAGTTGTAAGCCTGTGGGTGCGAGCGAGCAGGCGGGCGGGCGAGCTGGCCAGACAGACAGTCAGTCAGTCTGGCCAGCCTGGCTTTCTCAAAGCATTCAAATTGCGGACGCCTGGGCTAAGACATCAAACGGACCACTCGGCTAGCTGAGCGGACGGGCCACTGAGAAAATGGGAGACGCATCTGTATGGAAAATTTGCTCTCTTTCGGACTCCCTCACAGCTTTCGGGAAACAGCTGTTTTCTCCCACTCTCCTTGCCAGACCCAATTTTCTTGGGAGCTTTTTATCAAAGTGTGACTTCATCTCTTTGTGCCGAATCCTCATTCCATGCGTCCATGAGGCTCGCTCCTATCGCATTCAGAACGTGCGGTCCTGCACAATGATCGCGGCATGAGACGTCGGTCTAAGTCGTCTATTTGCTCGGCTCTGACCGTCTCTGTCAGTCAGGGGTGATGCAGTCCTGAGAGATATGGTATCGCTATCCTGGGTGGGAGGGAATAGTCCTTATTTATGGTTTTCCGGCACGAGATCTTACGTTCCATGAGCGCTTTGGCAGAGGCCGTTCAGGGTGGCGTTTACGACCCGATGAATCGCTTCTCTCGAAAGTTGCTGTCGGGCGTCGTTCTTCGAGTCATGAGTCTGATCGCAAGAAAAAAAATTTGGTGAGAACCATTGCTCCAAATGAATTATTGTTCTAATTATCTCATCGGACTCGTATGCAGCTTTGATCGAGCGCTCATTCGACTGATATCTCGAGAGTCCGCGTGATGGCTCGCCGTGCCTTCGGAGGGCGCCGCGACCGAATCCCTCCAAATTTACTTACCCCGTGGTTATTCACTCGAATGGTAGAAGTGTTCAGAACCTCATCTGAGATGGACCGACGGAAACGATAGACTGGACCCATCGGCGAACTGGCTTGAACCTGGACCGGGCCGCTGAATCTGGCGACTTTGGGGAGGTTCTGCTGCTCTTTCAGGAACGGTAGCGACCGGGATAGATACTCCAAGGTTTTGTTCTTGATTAAATCACTGAAATTATTATCACAAGGTCTCTTATCTAATCATCTTTTGATGGAAGTCTCAGATCACACCTCGGAAAAAGAAAAAGCTCATAGATGATACCGTTCGCACAGAGATCCTCTAACGGAAAAAATCGCTCCTGTTCGAGGACTGAATCATGAGACTCTGAGATGGTGGGAATCTTCGAGTCGCTGAAATCCGAATTTCTAGCGACGAACGACTTCGCTCCTTCCCGTTACAATCAGAGCTCGCTCCGAGAGTTCCCAACGTCTCTGAGCTGTCTATTCGACAATATGGGCCGCGTTGAAGGTTTTGAGGATCACGAGAGGGAATCTTCTCAGGCAAAGATGTTCAAAGGTTTGTTTCAGGTCAAGCCTGGAATCGACCACGGCGAGCGTGAGCTCTCGCTGATCGATAATCATCATCGCGTGGGAGATTCCACGTGAGGCCTCGACATTTCGACATCCACACCGAGGCTCGAGAGGTATCCTCCCACAACGTTGCCTCAGGTACGTTCCACCTTACGAGCATCTTGAAAGGGGGCAGAGTGATTACTCACCTTCCCTTGAACGAATATATCTCCCTCAAGCCAACCAAAACCCTCTACTCTGACGGCCGCTGCGCCGAGCACGAATAGAATCCGTTGTCGGTGAGGGATAAGTGGAAGCGCTCAAAAGCGCGAATCAAATAGGTCCGGCACGCTTTCAACTTACATCCGGCAGAGGGGCGGATTGTGCGATTGCCAGCGATGCGTTGGAAGTTTGGGCGGCTAGACATCTGAGAGACTTCTCTGCATTCAGCGCGGAGAAGACCCGCGGAAAATTTCAGGCCAATTCGTTCGGAAACGAGGAGTATCGGAGACGGCAGTCGAAGCGCGGACACAGCGGTCTCGTCGCGGGTCAACGAACCCGAAAATCCAACGGAGACGTGTCGCGAAATGGACGTCGGGATAAAACCGTCGTGCGGATTCGAAGCTGCGTGGTGCCCCAGCTCGGGGTGACTTCTCGGACTTCACAGCATTGCTGCGAATACGTGAGGTCTGCTTAAGCAGTACTCCGTAACTCATGCAATAGAGAAGAGGCCGACAGTATTCGAAGCGGTTGTTGCTCGCTACGTTTCCCAGTTCCCAACGCTGCAACGGAGTCGTAGGAGTATAGATAGCAGGACATGGGGAGCACAAGCGGACTGCGCTCGACGAAGAGCGCAGCCTGGATAATGAGTTATATGAGAGGGACTGGGTTCTCCTAGGGGCGGGGTTTCCCTGAATTCCGGAACATAGCTTTGGATTCGTTTACTTCACAGCATCTTTTCACTTAGCGCATCTGCGCGTGCTCCAAGTCTTCTCCTCCCCATCTTGATCCGTGGTCCTTTCGTGGATATCAGGAAATGTATCAAGAAAAGCGCCTATCTTTGCCCCAACGCTCACCACACGCGAAGCGTCTTCCCCAGTCCCGTTTCCGGGAGGCAAGCTTTCGTTTATTAGAAAAGGAATCCCATCCATCCGTCCTTGCTAATGCGAGCTGCCCAATGCGTAGCCCAATCGATAATCACTATGAGAGTTCCGCAGCGGATTTTCAATTTCCAGGATCCAGGGCGATGTTTTGGGAAAAACTCACCGAGGAGACCGCGGGGCGGAGGGTGGGGGGCTCCATCAGCTCTGCGAGAGGAATCTCCGTCATCAAACTCTAGCCATCCGATTCGAGGGGCGATTCGGCGCGCCGACACCCCGGACGTACCCGAGGGATTCAACGTGGAATCGCGTACAAGCTAGATACCTCCCGACAGACAGTTTTGAAGCCCCCAAACCCCGAATTCTCTCCGAGAGCGGGCTTCCTCCCAAAATGTTCCAACGCAACGGCATTGTCCGGCGGACTTCGCAGCTCAGGCTGTTTTCACCGGTGGTTTCGCAATGAAATGGCGGAGACATCGATTTGAGTGGATCGGGGAACGCTAATTATAATTAGCGTTCCCCGATCCACTTTGATAATTATCGAAGTATGGGCAGCGGAAAAAAGCGGCATCCTCTGACGCTACACGTACAATCAGTTGACCTCACGCAGCACGTAACGCATTCATGCATTATGAGAATGAGAGATCTGAGAACCCTCTCTCTGAAGGAAACTACGGCGTGAAATGGGGAAAATCTTGAGGCCGGATTAGGACAAAGTTTCTCCCTCGAGTTTCCCGTAATTGCATCGGACAGCCTCACGAGCGGGTTCATCCGATCGGCATCCGACCCCGGCGTGGAGCCAGGTCGCCACGGGTCCACGATTAGATTTTTTCGTGGGAGAATCGCGAGTGTAGGTTATCCGTTCGTGACCCGTTTGTGGAGCTATGGAATCCAGGAGCACAGAGGGAGGAAACTCCGCGCAAACAATAGATAAGACATTGCGATATCTGTGTTCAATGCTTCGCGGATTGCATGTGGGTCGCGTTTACAGGGCAAGCGGTATTTCAATGAGGGGTATAGTGAATGCTGTTTCCTCAGGGATCGCCCAGGCGAGAACTGGTGTCATTTTCTTCACAGATGATTCTCTGCATGGCTGAGCTTCTTCAAAGATCCTATAGAATGCGGTCATGTTCCTCGCGGCGAAAATCGGAATGAGCTTCTCTGGAGTTGGCCAAGATTGGTCTGACGATCAAACGATCAATTTCAAGCGGGAGAAAGGACTCACAATGGGTAGGGATCGTCGATCGCTCTCTGTCCCATAGGATTCAAGGGGATGACTCCTTTGTTGAGATCGCCGCAAAGCGTGTCTTTCGGCGACAGCTTGCCGTCCACAACTCTCTCCATGCAGCGGAATGTACTTCTATGGTATGGAGGCTTTCGGACTTTTGGAGGATGTTCGAAATCTTCCGCCTGAAAGAATTGTCAATGGATTATCCCTAAGCATGGATCGCTCCGTTCCGCGGACCCGGACACGTGACACATTGCGAATTCTTCGCTTCTGGCATAAAGATCAGGCGCACCTTGACGAAGGAATAATATCCTTGTTCTTGGTTTGGTTCGGTGAGAAGTCCATCGATCGGTCTGAACGATTGACTGCGGACCATTTCCACGAAGCACAAAGCCACCACGGCTGTTCCGATGTAGATCTTCATGATGACAGCGGACATGGAGCACCGCGACGACCTGCGCGAAGAGATCTTAAGTGAAAAAAAAACGGGATTCCGAGATGGGTTACGCGATTCCGATTCCGGGGCTTGAAGTTTGGAATAAGTCATTGTTTGTTTCCTGGCCGAATGCCCTGGTTGACAGAACCCGCTCCGTTCATGCCCGAAAAAGGACGACGGAGGGTTTTTCTGACAGACGAAAGTGGGAAACTTCAAACCGAAGCTTGTCTCGAGGCTCAGAACGTGGAAGAGAAACAGTGGTTTCTTCCTCTTATCTGATGGCTCCGGCGTTCCGAGGCGATCCAACCGACACTTTCCGTGCGAGCCGTCTGGGCGACATGGAGACAAGGAATGATGTGGATCGGATTCCAGTAAGAATAAGGAAACGACAGAACAGAAGAGACACGGATTGAGACACGGGGGCCCGGAACCCCTGGAGCCGCAGTTTCAATTTTCTGCACAAGGGCTCGATCACTGCTCAGCGTCGGCCCAGCCCAAAGACGTTCGACCACTTTCCCCTCATCGAACGTCATGGGTCTACGCTATCGCAGCTCAGAGTGGTATCAGGAAGCCGCGGCTATCGAATTCAGAGGTGAGCAAAACGTAATGCTCGATTCGATGCTGTCGACATGAAGCGAGAACGCCGAGCATCATTGATTAGATAAACCTTCCTATTGACTGTCCGGAAACGTTAACCAGACTTCCCGCAAATTCGTACGTGAGACCGACGCATTTAGGAATGATCCCGTCGGCAGGCTCCCGGATCCCGACTTGGTCTATTGAAATCTTTTCGTCCTCTAGGGTTTCAGGGGTTTCGCCTCCACAAATATTCACAATCTAACTTTAGTCCGTTGCAGAGATTGTCACGCTAGCACACCCAAGAAGCCCTCATTCATTTGCCGCGCTGAGGCACGGTATTTCATGAGGCGCCCGGCTAACCGAAAAAACGAGAAACGACAACGACTTCAGTCTCGAGACGAAATCGCGGATCTAGCAGGCGCAATAGGATTTCGAAAGTCGGCCGTTGTTCCAAAAACTCACTCAGCTTCGAATTCGAACCTCAGTCAGCGGAGCTATTATTCTAATCGATTCTGTCGCCAGAAATGAGATGGGATGTCGTTCGAAGTGGGCGCCGAGCGGATGGGAAAGCCGTTCGGGAGCAGCGATTTTTCCGTCCGCTCGCCTACGATCACTTTCGTTCTTGTGTTTCCTCTGACTTTCTATAGCCGGAAGATCTGATGACGTTTCTCACTGTCGAGAATTCAAGCCGCCGTCAGCGCGAAAATTCTTGTCGATTCATTAGCTCTTTCTTGAAGTTTCACTCGTTAAACTGAATCAACATCTTCCGTGAAGAGGAATTACACTGGCTTGTTTTTTTTTTAATCAGAAGAGCGTCGCGTGATATCAAGGTATTCATGATCTTTCGTTCCGGAGCTCGAGTCAGGAACGTGAGAACGGACCACGAATCTGCAGAATCACTGAGGGCTCTGGCATCAGCCATTCAGCAGCCTCTTTCGCTGAACGGTACCCTTCAATGAGAGAGATGGCGGGCATCTTCTGCTCAACTCCGCAGAATATCCCAGCGGACGCGAAAACCGCGTGTCGTCATGCGATAGGTTCCTACGAAATTCACACCACCTAGAGGAAAAGCCAACAAACGATTGAGGAGAAAATCGATGGTTTTAAGGAAATTCGGAGCAGTCTTCATGCCTGTTTTATGCCACTTCTGAACCAGCATTCGAATTTAGTGAGTGAGAGCAACTTTCACACCCTGGGATTTTTGATAGGCGGGAACTCCCCCCGGGAAACGAAGTGTGAATCGAGGCTCATTCGAATCCTTACCACTACGGAGGAGCGGAACGGGACGATTCGGAAGGATGGAACGATGCCCATAGAATAAATGAAGATGATGTGTTAAATCGTGGCGGACGTGAGAAATAACGGCAGAAGTAAGCAAAGCCATAATTATGTTTCTTTGTGTTCCTGGGGTGACCATGACTATCCGGTTCGTTCACCGGTCCCCGATGGAGCGAAGAGGGATCTTCGAAGTTCGATCATACACCGCATAGGAACGAATCGTAACGAACGACAGGCTATCGCTCCGCGCTTCGGATCGAGGATCAATGAACGGGTGAGGAACGTCTGAAAATCGTCTTCACGTGGAGATCTCGACAAAATCATACGAATTAGTTGGGATGGAATCATCCTCACTCGTCCACTCGCTCGTTCGTTGAGAGCCACAGATCTTTGGATCAGGCGTGTAATGAAATCGTCGCTGTGTCTAGCGCGGCTTTCACGCTCCGCTTCAGAATGGGACCACACGACTATGGGAATACGGAAAGCTCACGGATTCCCACCAAGCCTCGTCGGAAACGGTACGGAGCCGGAGCGACTATCCCCGAGTCGCGGGCAACAGTCGGTACTATACAATCGGTACTTCTGGACACTAGCGTCGGTTCCTGAGCTTATTCCAAGTGCCACCGCAAATCGGTATCTCCGCGAGTCCCGTTCGCGCCCGTGGACGGCTGCGTGTTCACGGTAGCCGAACACGAGGAGTGAAAGATGCGTGAAATTTTGATAACCCGAGGCCCAAGAGCGTGAATTGGAATTGGGTTCATTCAGATTTTCTAAGAGGAGATAGTGCTGGAAGAGAAGAGCTTCGCGGACCGAAGAGACCCAAGTTCACAGGAGCGATCTGATTTAGTTTCACGTTGTAAGCGTGGTCTACGACGGTATCACAATACAGAAGCGGTCAAGTGATACGGTTTTTGTTCCGAAGCGGGTGGATGGTTAGCGCAGAACGAAGCTTTGCAGATTCTACTCGGCAGCGGTTTCACTTGCTCGGAAACAATGACCACGAAAACAAGGAAAAACAGACCCTAAGTCGACAGAAACATTTCCGTTCCGATACATCGGTGGTGAGAAGGCGGGAAAAAACGCGGGAGATAGGGACCAGTGCTTTCCTATTTGAAGAACACGACGCTGAAGTTGTTAATTAACGCCGATCGGAAGTCGTCGGTAGCGACAGCCGCATTCGTGATTCCTCTGATGGCGCGACCTTTGATCGCCAGTACGCTGTACATAGGTGAACTCGATGTTCGGCTGTCCGTTAGAAGGGAGCGAAGACCTTCCCTGGGAAGGAACGATGGATGGCCGCAGAAGTTTTTGTGCTTTCAATCCTGGGCGCCCCATCACGCAAAAAAAGCGGACTCGCATCAGTCCCGCTCCCAAGAAACAAACATGAGTTCCTGGTTGCCCGACCAGTTTTTCGGTCATCTCTTCCCCGTTGTCTCCCACTTCTAAGTCATTCAGTCAGTCAGTCAGTCAGCCAGTCGAACTCACCGAAATTATTCGAAGCTTCGTTTATTCCTGCGTTATCAGAGATATTGATCCATAGGGGGAACTTTAGTAAATCCAGTGCCAAATGGCTGTGTGTGAAGATTCCAGCACCTGCTCTCGTACGTCGTCACAGATTGGAACCGCTATCTCAAAGTTCAAAGTTCCACGTCTCTCAGCTGAAACACCGGACTTGAGCAATGAGTCCTCTAAACACCGCGGAGACTGTGAAGATGTCTTCCCTTATAGCGGACCGAGATGCTGAACTTTCACTGCAGTTTGCCGGAGCGTTGGCTCTTAGGAGCACCGTTAACCCAGTGCCGAGTTTTCTTCTCTGAGAACGCCGTAACACACGGAGCTGACACACAGAGCGGCTATGTCGGAACCGTCAAACGTCGGAACCGCTACGTCGGGGTCGATCGACGTCTTCTTCTGGGTCTTCTTCAGCGAGTCAACGCCGGAGCGGGGCCCTGGCTTGGCCCGCCGGGAGAGGGATGGATCTTTTTGGAAGAGTGACGGGTACCGTTCCAGGGGATGACCACGTGACTGACTCTTGCAGCGGAATCACAGGAATTCACAGACCGTGCGAATGGCCTGCGCTGCCTCTATCAAGAGTGCATGCGTAACTCTCAAGGCCCCCGCGCCTTCGCCGTCGAGCAACACGTCGGGCCGTACCTGCGACAACCTGGAGAGCTTCGGCGCAGCACTGGGGCACTGGGTCAACTGAGAAGCGGCTCCAGACGCCATGGGCCCCTCAGTCTGCACAAAATCGCTTAAATGCGAGAAAAAAGGATGAGGGATACGAAAAGCCGCGTATATAAAAAGTACGATCCGATTCGAGCAATGGATCTACGGACACCAGATCTGAATCCATGAAGCTCGTCCCAGGGACGTGTAAGCAAGAGCAATCCGCATCTTATCTAACCACTCCGGACGTCAACACTGACCGCAGGGCGGATGATGCCAAGAGATAATGATAATAATAATACAGATAAACCTCTACTCAGAAAAACAAACTGCGTTCAGATTTCAGCTAGTCCTAGTTTCTCCCGCATGGTCGACAGACGCCAGAAAAGAAGGGGCTCGTCGAAGTTTTTTTGCGCTCCGGAAGCTCCACTGGATGTTCCCCGTCCGTGAGGTTGCCGTGTGCGTATGCTCTCGTCACTAGAACGCCTTAGTCGATCACTCGGATACTCCACATCGCTAGACTTCCGCTCGCAACTGCCGTCGGAACGCCGAAAAATAAAATGATGTCATTGGAATGCGGGAAGATCGACGGTGTGGTGCAAATTTTTCTAAGCTGTTTGCTCTCACGGAAAAGATCTCGTTTCATATATATGGAATATGGAAGCACAAATCGCCGAGAAACCTTAAAATTCAGGGGTCGCCGTCTGAATGGATTGTGTTTTCAGAATCGAAGGTCCAACCCTCTCCTGAACCTGGGCCATGCTCACGAGTGTCTTCCGACCGACGGATACCTAGTGAGGGACATTTCAGTCTGCACATCGCGTGAGAATCTGCGTTGACCGAATTGAAGTTGTATGTGGCGGGTCGAGAGACCTTCGGTGTCAATTCGACGGCCTTTTGCGGATCGGAGGAAGTTCCCTCCGCACCCTGCTGGAAGCGAGGTTCCCGAAACGTTACCGCTCTGAGAGCCCGGGCGATTTAGGTTCGCAAGACTTCACTGTAGTGGTTGGTCAGCCGAAGTCCTTCCCTCGAGATCTCTCGGGGTAGGATCGGAACTTTGCGAATCGCCAGGAGCCTAATTCACTCAGGGGAAGTCAGTTTTTTACATGGAAGCCAGCACGGCTGAAATCGGAAATCCATTCCAATGCCCCTGTGATGAGCCGGGCCACGAAGATTCCGCGGCTACGCGAAGCTTGTCTGGGGCCAAGAATCAGATACGCCGTATGGTGATTCATATGAACGTTGATAGCCACTGAAACAAACGTTACAGAGAATCGCGGAAAATCGCCGGAATTCACGACTTCCGATATTCGACAGGATTTCGGTGAAACAAGTTTCTTCGTGATGAAGACGCGCGTACGGGATTGCCGTCCAACAATGCAGAAAGGCCGTTCCGATCCACGTTTTGATAGCTTCCACAAAATGTCCGTGTTTTCATTTCCTTCTAATGTTTCGCGTCGGCAAACGATAAGCGATCCGAATGTTCCCCGATGATTGATTTCTCCGGGAGCTAAAGCCCCCGAGCTTCTACATTCCCGACCGAATGCCAGGAATAGGTGGAGGGGTGAGCGGGAAGCCTCCGAAAATTTTCCTCCCTCGGCCGTGATCTTCTGATCATCTCCTGCGATAGGAATCGTCGACGTTTCAGCTCTCTCGATGATCTCAAACTCGTGCTCACAGCGCTCGTTCACACATTCGATCGAACACTTCGTACGAATTCGGTCGAGCGGGAAACAATTGTCTCTTCGGGACATTTCCACTCACAGCACCGGCTCGTCGGCTGGAGCTTTGAACACGGACCAAAGTAGACGCAGCCCAGGATCTTTGGTCTGTTGCCCTCAAGCGGTTTCTTGCCCGGTAGGATCTGGATAATGTAAGAAGATTGAAATCAAAATGAGCGGTCTCGACGCGTCGTATTCCAAGGGGGAAAAGTAGCTTCCAAGGCGGCTCACGGTGTCACCGGGGTCTTCCGCTCGCGATACGTTTCTCTTTCGGGTGAAGCTGTGAGCAGTGTTCCATGGAAGAGCCGTCGCCATTATGCCTCCGACGCTGCTTCCCATGCGGCAAGTCTGAGGACCGGAGGAAACACTTCCGTCTGTCACTTCATCATTTGTCGACGCATCACCCTTCCAAGAACCGCCAGAGTTATTCCATTCCATCATAATGCATGACAAAAGTCAAAAACTCACGACTTCGGGGAATGAGCTCTCCCATCGGGGAATCTCATTAGCCAAACAGAAGACCCACCGGATTTATAGAAAATAGCGAATCCTTCACCAAGAGATTCGCGGAAATGACTTATATTCGGAAGAGGGTGTCGGGAACGACTGCAACTATGGGTACAATCCCTCGGAGAATCGAACATTTCAATGGACTGATGGGCCAGCAGTTTGACAAGATCATATCTATCTCACGATCGGAATATCGGAATCTTGAGAGCTAGGAGACGGAGCGAAGCTGACTGAGTACGTCGTATCGCCATTCCACTTGCAGCCCCCGCATGGGATCATTATCGATTTCCGCGTGAGCTCACCAGCGACTTGTCATCGGAAGCGTTTGTACGGAACAGCCAACAGCCGTATAGAGACGACAGAATCGGGCTGCTCGGCAGATCGAGCAGCAGTGATCACTAGCAGCATTCACGTCAACACTACAGCGATCTTCTCGAATCAGAAGATCGCTCGGAGGATGGTCAGGTGATCGGGAAACTCCCTTCGAACCATCTCTCTCGCCGGCGCTTGATCGTGTATCCAGATGAGTCCAATAGAAATGTCACTAGTGAGATAGTTACCCTAAGAGGTTCCCGAGATGGCTGAGGATGTCAGAGCCTCGAGAGACCGAATCTCGGCAGCTCCGGATGAAAATCAGCCAGTGAGTAATCGAATCAGCTGTCAGAAATCATACGTCGAAAATTCGCCCGATCTGTCTAACTGAACGGCGTGACAATCGACGAGATTCGTCCATTTGTGGGCCGCTGAGCGAGCGAAGGAGCTTAGAGGAGAAAGAGAGACCTAGCAGCTATTGGCTGATTCCCCGAGATTAAATAATGTCAACTGTGGAAACCCGGTACGCTCGACGAAGGAGCTCAATTCAGCAGGCATATGTTTGAGCGTCCGTATTCTGTGTCGGAGGATGCTCGTGGCAGACCATGTCTCGTATCGAGCGGTATGTAGAGTTTTTCCAAATAATCCGAAAACGTCCTCTGCCGGGTACAGTTTCTGTGGTTAGAAAACTCTGTTTGGCCGGAACTCTCAAACGACGTGCGTGAATGAGTGATTGGTGTCTTCTATTTCTCGGGAAGTGATTACGGGAAAAATGCCCGTGCCGCCAGCGAGTACTGTTCCGCTCTCGAAGCGATAGCGAAGCAGCTTCTTTGTTAGTCATGTGATGGCGGGACCGCGGAATCGCCTCGCAGACCCTCCGCGAATGTTTCTGTCGACGTCCGAGTTCGGCTCTACGGGAGCTCGAACTCTAGGTATCTCCTTGAGCTCGGGCGAAATTCGAAACTCTCTACGTGAATCGCCGCCGAAGCAGGAAGGTCGATTCCCCGCCTTATAACCCTCTGATTGTAAATTCACTCAGGAAACTCGCGCGGCGACTCATCGAATGAAATTCTTGTGAGTTGCTGATGAGCTCCCGCTTATCGCTCTGCAGACTGCGAGATTCACAGCACGGCGATTGAATCAGGTGATATTGTACCGCTCTCCTCATTCCTGTGAGGATCGAACTTCGGAATCGATTGCTAGAATCCTGGAGGGCTCGCTAGTCGAGGAATATGGTCTTGTTCGATCTCTGGAATTGATAGGCACCGGTAATCGCTAGCTTTCCGCTCTTTGAGGTCGACTCCAGGCTACGAAGGTCATTCCGAGAATTTCTTCGGCGGAGATCTGACTTGAGCTGGGCATGCATCCACGTGATCGCGCACCGGAGAGAGAATCTGTCCCGTTCCACGGAACGACGTAGATTCGGATCCGTGCAAAATGTGCTCGAGTCTCAGAGAGATTCGATATCGAGAATTAATGCTTGTTTTGTTACGTGATGCTCCACGCAAGCATGTCCATTATCACTGATTACACTACCTTGAGTTGCCCGCGGAAGGCAACAGCGGAAAACGTGGAAGACCCCGGCAGCATTCATTGCATTGAAGTTCAGCATTCATATTCTGCCGAGTGCCGATCATTCCGGAGCTGAATTTCAGCTTGTTGGCATTCCCATCCGGCGCGAAATTGATCCAGACGGAAGTTCTGAATGGCTTTCCCCGTTTGGCTCCTCTTCTCGCTGTGCGAGTGCCTTCTCCCGGATAGAAAAAGACCCGCCCACCGAGCTAGATGATGGGCAGCCGAAGCTCTGCTGTTTCAGTTTTTCAGTGGTTAGTTCTCATCGTGGTTCGGGACGTGTCGAACACGAGTGCCTGACCGAGTCAGACATCGCCGGCGCCGAGCCTTCCGATGTTGCTTTGCTCAAGCGTATCGTGAGTCAACGGTCAATAATGTCGCGGTTCCACCGCAGGATTCTTCCCGACTGTATCACTCGATCGGAGAAAGCCGTCGCGATATATTCCCCTTACCTCCGACTCTGAGCGAAACTCTTTCTTCCGCAAAAAAGCGTCCTCATCGATCGGCGCGCAAATTTCTGAACGGACGCACGGGGTTCCGAGTTTCCATACCGATCAGACTCGATTCGCTCTGAATCTCGTATCGCATTGGTGGAAAAATTCATTGTCCTTGCCTGGCACAAAGACGCCGACGAAATATTATACATACAGTAGATGGAAGGGACATTCCCCAGTCACCTGAGATTATTTTGAATGATCGCTCGACCTTGAGAAACTCCGAGCTGGCGGCGAAGCTCCGGAGTTGTGTATCGTATTTGTGCTCGTGCAGCTCATTCTTGGTAGGAATCGAGTACATAATATTACGAATACGGCACTATCTCTTGAACTCCATCTCTTGGCCCCTCCGTGAGGTTCGACTTCATCTCGAACACCTCCGGTGAATTTTGATGAATGACGCCGCTCAGGCTGGCGGCTGGAACAACGTCATTAATTCATTTGAGAGTCACTCAAACTTCTGACGTCAGAGACAAGAATGAGGCGGGAGCCTCCAATGTGTATGACGGGGTGGCGAAGGCTTCGATTCTGCTCGGCCGAAAGCTTCCATCGGTCCCTCACTGCCGAGGAGTAGGCGAAAAACACATGATCGTCACAGATTGATACCGACTCGTGAGCCGAATCCGCGATTCTATAGAGGGAGTCCACACAGCCTTTCTTCGAACGATTGTTGTTGATCTCGCAGAGAGAGAGGACCGAAATCTCGTCCTCTGTCTCTCGAGCTGGCTCCCTACGTTCACAACACGAAACGTGGTTCGCAATTGGAATCGATACTTCCATGGTGCCCGCCACGGTGCCTTTCGAATGTTCCGATCACCGGCCGAGAGTGATTCTAGAAATTGCTCCAGATAGCCTCGATAGCGCTTGATTATGACCTCTCTTACTCAAAGCATTCTCTCTCGTTCTCTCTCCGCCATCGTCATAATGTTGGACTCGTACGCGAGCTCTGTGTCATCACGTGTCGCTGACAGCCATGGACGAGTTTTCGAATAGCGTTGTCCAGAGTACGAAGTCTGACACTTGCGCGAAAATAATCGCATTGTGGTCTTCGATCCTACCGATCCTGAAGTTTTCAGCATGCACCTCTCCTCTGAGATGTTGCTCGGATAACGTAAGCCGTCAGAGATTATTTTCGGAATCCTGCTAAGATTCAGAGCAGGAATTACAAAGTCCCTCAGAGGAAACTCTGTTAGCGGTCTACGCGACGCCGTCCGTCAGCCGCCGAGTGAAATCCAGGATCGGCGGGCTTGAGCCGATGAATCGAATCGATAATCCGCGATAGGGAGGCTTTGAGACGGATGAGTTCCCGATGAACTTCCGGCTGAACTTGAGTTTGTTCCGGGTGCATAGTTTGCAAGGATCTGACTTACCGTCGTCTTTTTCCTCAGGCGATCGCAACAGTCAATTGTGTCGGCCCTAAAGCACAATTACCGAGGATCCGAGACGCGCCATCGAGTTCGAGTCGCAGACGGAGCTCATCCGACACACAGAAATCTCTTCGACGGAACTACAGCTTCCTCGACGATGGTGAGCTCGCCCTCCACGCAGGAGATACAAGCCGAGGAAATTCTGCGTCCATTCAAATCGGCGACAGATCGACGCGGCGACTCGATGCGAGCATTCAGTGACCTACTCAACCCCGATAGAGTTGCAACGGGTCGCGAAACAGCGTCCCGGGTCGAGATTCAGAGGGAACTTTCTATATTCAGGTGCTCGAGACGTCCTGGCGCCAACTGAATGGGGTTTCCCCGTCCCCAAGAAAGGTCAATCGCTCTGCGACTTCCTCTCGTCGGGGGACTTTCAGACGCACATGTCCCCATTGGACAAAGAGAATGCCCATTTCTACATCGCCGAGGCCATAATCCAAGCAATCGAACACCTCCACTGCTCCGCAGGTCGTCGGGGAACGCAGCGTGAGCATTTTCCAGACTCGTTAGCGTGCGGTGAATTCATTGAAAACTCTTCGAATCCTACACCCTGGTCTGGGGATGGGCATTTAGCAGTAGACGAGCTCATAGGCTTGAACAATATTTTCAGATCAACCAACAAGCGAAAGCGACTTGGAGTCCACCACGAATGTACCCTCGAAACCGCGACGCAAACGTCGCGAAAAGAAACTTACGACCGACTCAAGCGATTCCGGAACCGTCGCGCTTTTGAGCACTGATTATGCAACGTCACTCAGTCCCGAAAGCTCGGATGAGGCCGACGATGCGTCCGACACCTCGATCGCGTCCGAAAATTCGCAAACGCCCATGAGCGCTGAGGGAGTCGCTCTGTGCTTGCTTAGGAACTTCAGGGATAAGCCCCTGCCAAAAGCCAGTGATCTAACTTGGATGATCACCGACGACGATAACGTGCCCCAGCAATTGATACCTCTGCCTGACAGCTGGCCGGTAGCACCCGACGAACCTTCGCAGTTTCGAACTCGAGGGAATCAACAGTGGGCTCCCCCCAGAAGGCAGATAATCTACAATAAGATTTTCCGTGACGGAAACGCCAAAGAGGGGTTGAAACTACAGAACTACCGATGCGCAGGTTGCGGTATGAAAACCATGCCGAACACCCGATTGAGGTGAGATCATAGCTCGACCTTAGAGACGATGGCTGAGCGAATATCGGAAAGCGCGAGACGTGCAAACAGTGTTTGCCTCATCTTACAGGTTGTGTCACTACCTGGGGAAGTATTTCTGCCAGTTGTGCCATCGAAACGCAAAATCCGTCATTCCTGCGCGCATCGTCATGAAATGGGATTTCTCGCAATGTCCTGTGTCAGAATTCGCTCGTGAGCTCCTAGAGTCGCTCTACTGCGATCCGGTGTTCGATCTTTTCGACTACAGTCGGTAAATAGCCGCAATTTCTTTAATGTCTCACGGAATTATCGCTCTCCCTTCTGATCTCTCCCACCGTCCGACAGATCCGAGCGTTCTCTAATCGATTTTTCTTCCTGATCTTTCAGGAGTGTTTTTACAAAATCACGCACATTGAATAAAGTGACTGAACTCCGCGGCGCCCTCCAGTCAGCCGCGCAATACGTCACTTTGTGTAAAAACGCCAATAGGGAAAGGCTTCTCAGAGTGTCTGATTATCTGTATCTGGATCAATTCAAATACTCTCTGAATGACTTTGTGCAAGTGAGTTATCGTCTGATTAGCGGACCCTTCCATCATTCTTGCGAGGCCTCCGAATAGCAGATATGCTCCTCTCGTATGTCTTCTGTCTTCTCACAATCGCCGTCTTATAATAGGAATGTTCATTCTGCTTCCAGGCACAAAGCGGCGAACTATACCGAGCTTTACTAGATACTTATCAACGGTGTGTCGATCATATCCGAACGTGTCAGCGCTGTCACAGCCAGGGTTATTTCTGTGAGCTTTGTAGACGGAGCGAGATTATCTTTCCTTTCGACAGGGAATACGTCGTGCAATGCGCTTCTTGTCGCGCTTGTTATCACAAGTCGTGTGTGAGGAGAGGTTTCATCTGCAGCAAATGCAAACGACTCCAAAAGTAAGTTCGCTTCCTGTTTCAAGCAGATCTTCCTGAGTCTGTGCCTATTTCAATCCCAGTGATCGGGAGAATCAGCGGGAGAGATTTCTAACATAAGAGACCATTCGGAACGGAGTTCTTGCTCCTGAAGAAGAGCCGATTTCAGGAATCAGAATGAGATTCCTTCGTTTGAGGGCGACCAGGGCTGTTCGAATCTTTCCTTTGCAAAAGGAGACGCCTCCTTATAACCTATTGTCATGTCGGTCTGTCTTTTTGTAGTTCGACGTAATCATGAGGTCCTCTCTATCACTAATATTGTACGTTGAGTGCTGCCCTGGGTGAGTTTTGACCAAGCGAAACATTTCGATAAGCTCTGGTGTTAGGGGAATGACAATCTTTGGCTTTTGCGCCACTGAGCATGGGGAAGCGAACACCTGGAGAGCCCTTTGGGCACCTCCGCTGAAACAGTGTAAATGCGAGAACCTCCGAGAGTCCTAGAGTATCCGTCCAATCATGGACGACATTCTCCGCCGCAGGATGCCAAAAAATGAGGTCCTTGGACAATGTTTTCATATCTGGCAAGAACGTTGAACAAATGCGAAAGTTCCAAGAAATTTGCTGGCTTCAAACAGGTGCCCTGAGACTCCACTGGAAAGGCCTTTTGTCTGAAGAGAGCTCCCGTGCCTCTTCGAAACTTCGCGACAGCTGATTTCGTGCTGGCTCCTCTCACGCTAAGTGCACATTCCTTCGAATCCCACTTTTCGCACGACTCGTGGTTTTGAATCCGAGTCTCCCTGTCGGGAAGGTCGTTACCAATTCGGCCGATCTGTTTTCGGCTGCTCCGCCTCTATGGGAAATGAGTCTCAGGGCACCGAGTAGTCCCAGCACCGGTGTGATTCCGGCGAATCGGTCGTCGCGCCGGTCCGTGATCACATAGAAGATCGACGCATGGGCGGAATAAGATCGCGTTCTCTTTCACGATGCGGATCGAAGTGTCAATTAGTTTCTGACTGGACGTCTGAGGCAAATTCCTGTTTCCTTTACAGGCGAATGTATGAAACGATCCAGGAGGCCGAAGAAGCTGTGGAATGCTGAAGTTCCGTCTCGATGAGGGTCCCGGCAGACAGAATCAAGGTTCAAGTGACTCGGATGGGGTTCATCACTTTGGAGCGAGGACGTGAAGACTCGAGATCTCACAGCCCGTTCTGGTCGAGAGAAAATCGAATATCCGAGGCTTCGCTCCAGAATGGAACATTCTACTCATTTGACTCTTGGAACGATTTCATACACTGGCTGCAATTCATCTTCATCCTCTCGAGGAGCTGTTGTCATCGAGTGATCGAGTCATTATCATCGGTGCGCCGATGGCAAATGCAGAAAAGAATCACCGATTATCTCTGGCTAAACAATATTTCCTCTATAAGGATATCAGAGTCAAACTGAGAGATTCGGGAAGAAAATGTTCGGTAGCATGCTGCCCGTCGGTAAGCTCTCCGATGGCCGACGATGGGGTGTATAGTGTTCATGTATCAAAATGTATACTACGGCGCCGGAATAACCCAGAGCTGAATAATGCTTTATCGTTAAGTTCATCTGCACGCCGAGGCGTCATTTATCGCAGTCTTCCGATTTATCACCTGCAGACCTGTGAAAATTAGGGCTTTTCATGAATCTGACAGTCATGTTCGATTGCGGATTATAAGACGAATGGAACACAATGGCAATATAAAATTAATAAAGTCGAGCGAATTCCAAACTCGAAAGAGGGGAAAGATTGCAGAACATATAATTTTCGGAAGAGGAGTCGAATTGTGCTCGGCGGTTAGCTGCCTCCCATGCACTGTCTACACTCTCCCGTCAAAGGACTCCATATTTGTCGCACTTTACTCCGCGTTTATCTTGTAGGCGTCTCCCCACACTTACATACATCTGTACGCTATCTTAAGCATACGTACAGGCGTACAAAAAGACGCCGTACAATCGTACGAGCGTTCGCGCCGAATTTCATGCGCCCGCCTGTCAACGGGGAGGTCGACGTTGTCGACACTCGCCCTCGCCGATGGAGAAGACGAAACTTCTAAGAACAACACGCTCTTACTCCAGACGATAGCTCCGTCGGTCAACGATCGTCCCAGAGCTTACTTGGGGACAAAATGTCGACATTCTTGGGGATCGTCGGTTGCGGTTTTCGCGCGCTCCATTCCAGTCCAGAACCGGGTGTTTTTCGGAGTGTCTTCAGCCTCTCGGAATCTTAGGTTTGTCGCTTCAATGTTCTCGATACGCGATAGATTATTCCTGATCTGTAAACATTCTGCTCTCGCGTTCCGTAAGGGACGACTACCGGTTCTTACTCCTGTATCCGACACGAGCTTCCTCCCCGGCTACTGCTTACAAGGGAAGTTCCCGACATGATGAGCGAGTTCGGAGCTGAAACTTGGCTGAAATCTTAGTCTATTCGAGGCTAGGAAAAGCCTAGATTATTACGTCCCTATGAGCATTTTTGAGCGAATATCGAAATGGTAATTTTCCCATAGAGCCCATTTGACGTCCTGGTGCACTCCGTTGCAAATTCCCGATGATCCGAGATTGAGGAACTTTGAATTCACGAATGAGTTGAAACATGCGTCGGCTATATTTCTCACGTATTCTCACGTAAAGTCATAACTCATAACTCATGTACATATGCACGTACGAAAGATTTCGAGCACGTGACGAAAAGGTTCCGGTACTTCGAAACGGTAGGCGCGACAAGAGGTCCGAATGTGCCTTGCACCTCCTGCATGTGCAAGGCACATTCAAGGCACGTCCGATCAGAGAACCCGACATGTTCAGCAGCGGTTGGATGGTGTAACTATGCGTCAAGGGGTGCATCGCTTGGATGGCAGCTCGGGTCGCGCGTTCCCCGGTTAATGACAAGGTTCGATTCGTTTGAATGAGATATTGGAATCCCGACTGATCCGTGTTGAGGATTTGCGGTGGGTTGTATCGAGGCTGCCCATTATCGGTGAAATCCAGAATCGATTCTATCACTTTGCTCTCGATATCCTCCCGCTTTCGCTCGTTCTTGTAAGTGACGTACTTTGTGATTCTCCTTGATGTTATTCGATATATGTGCTTGAAGCAACTAATCCAATGGTGAGAAGCGCGGAAACTCTCTAGCTCCAACTCTCGGGCTCTCTGCAGGGCCCACATTCGTATCGTTCGATCGTGAACAACCAAGAGGTTAGCCCTAAATTCATCGAACCTCTCCTTACAGTGTTGAGCAATTTTCTTCAGGCAATCGGCTCTAGTACCTTGACGAGCCTTGTAGTTCCGAAATCGAGAAAAATAGTACATGTGTTTCACGCGAGGGGATCTCCTCCTGATTGTTTTGATCCCGTGCCCTGGATTTTCATCGACGTATTGGAGAACCTTGCTGATAAATTCGTAATCGAAGAATTCCCGCACATTTTCAATGTGACTTTCGAATACAGGCATATGGCAGCGTCGGAGCTCACAGCGAGCGCATTGAACTTCTGCTGTAACAGAGCGATCAGCGTATCAAGCCTCGCAGACATTGTCCCCCGAAGTTCCAATATAATTCGTAGCGAGGAGCAGAGATTGGTTTGAGTTTTCCTCAGTATTCAACGTTCCGACTTCCGACCGCGCGCAAGTTGAGGAAAGGGAAATCGAAACCACCCTGGATAGCGAGTGATTCGAATCGACACATTCCCGGAGCGTTGCGAGCATATAGATAACATATTCATATCATCAGATGGCAGCAGGAAGCATTCTATGGGACTTATATGGGCTCTATGGGAAAATTAACAGAAATTCGGTTTTCGCTCAAAAATGCTCATAAGGACGTAATATTCTGGGCTTTTTCTAGTCTCGAATAGACTAAGATTTCAGTCAAGTTTAAGCCCCAAACTCGCTCATCATGTCGGGAACTTTCCGTTAGCTTGCCACATCGAACGTCTTCAGTCTTCTCTCTCCAGTCGGACTATCATACGAACGAGCATCATTCTCTCACAGGGCCACAGATACAATTCGATCTACGAGGATACGTTCGCGTCTCCAGCCTGGGAACTAATCGAGTCAGGATGGTCCAACTCGGCGAGAACTCTACCTTGTCGCTCAGGAGCCTCCAGAACGCATGGCCCGTAGCCTTGGTGTTAATTTTTTTCGTCGAGAACGTCGTCGCGGAGGTCGTCGTGGACAGGGACGGAGACGTATTCCTCCCTCCCGACGGAGGTTGGACCGAAAGAATATACTATGCGACGACAGATGATCCGGGAGACCCGATCGGAGGGAACTGCGAACCTTCCGATCGAAATTCTAAGGTACAACATTATTCTTCCCTACGGTGATTCCTCCCTCTTGTCTCACCTGAACCCTCGAAAATCTTTTCAATATTTATCGGATCTATCGTCTTTCGTTCCGAGAGAATTTGTCGAGAATTTCGAATACAACCCGGACTATCTCCCCTCCTGTGAGAATATAGGTGCATGGCTCTATCTCTCTTGTGGATCGTCACATCTACTCAATTTTCATTGTCTTCTGATCTTTCCCTCAGGGCCATGATGAGCTTGTTGGTGTTCGACGACGTCTGCGTCGGCAAGGATAGGGATTAGATAGGATATAGCAAGTAAGAAATACCGTAGCTTAAGATGAACAATTTTCAATTACGACAGGAGCACTAGGACTCCATCAACCCACTCCAGATCGACGTGATTGGTTTAGGGATTACTTTTTCAGGAACGTTGTGTAAAGTACGCGGCTTTCGGAGGAATGTTCGGGCTCGGTGTGGTGGCCGTAACTCTAATCGCGATAAACTTTCTTTGTAAGCAGAAAGAGCCACACAGATCTGTGCATGAGAACTTCAATACAAACATTGAACCCCTCCAGCCAAAATACCAGCGTTTTTTTCCAGCGGAGATTCCTGACGTCGACATTGGCAAGAACCACACCACACGCTAGGTCGGAAGAAGTTCCCAACATCACCATATACGCTTCCTGAAGACCCGAATGGATGCGAGTGTGAATAAATGTTTGACGAAGTCACCACATAAGTGAACACAGTCCTAGCAATCCTTTCTCACTCATGTTGATTCCACGATCTGGGGGGTCATGTGGAGGAGTCAGGTCGAAGATGAAGTTCAGTCCATTTCTGCTGGTGCTGAGATAAATATCCGTAATATCAGATGTTCCTTGCATCCCCATTGCGCAGTAGAACTTTCACTGTTAGATTCCTCTAGCCGAGCGAGGTTGGTATCTCGCAACTGGTGCTACGAATTCGAGCGGTCGTCCTCTACATGTGTTATTTCATCTCGGCTCAGCGGCCCTCTTTCAGATTTTCATGAAAACCGTTTTCGATGGACTAATTCGTAGGCCTCCTCTCTCTAGATGAGCTCCAACCATGTCCAGCATATTTTGCATCTAATTCCTGTTCTGATTCATGATGATCATACCATCCGCAAACATCGCTACTGTCCCGGTTCGGAACTCCTCAAAGAGTTTCTTTGGTGGCTCCACGAGAAGGATCGAGAACCCGACGCAACTCAACGAGTCCCCCTGCGGAGTTCCTCTGGTCCGCCAAATGACAACTCTCCTTCCTCCTCCCACATCAGCTTGTAGGAAGTCTTGATGGAAGAAACCCTCTACCACATGAAGTCGTCGGCCGTTCACGCGAGCTCTCCTGAAGGCATCGACCATCCGTTGCCGAGGTGCCAGGTAAGGAGCATTGGCGTCCTGTATAATGGAAAGATTTGTTCATAAAACGTCACGCTCGAACAAGGACATCTGCGTAGATTTCGAGAGGTGACTGAACACAATGAATAGTATACATACAGGTGTCCCACCTAAGATGGGACGTTTTAACCCTTCTCTGAGAAGGAACGCAAGCGATTGAGGTGAGCGCTGCGTCGCTCGTTCCAGGCGCCCAGGCGCCACGTTTTCCCGACTGGTTGAGCTCTCTAGCCTGATGGTAGCGATTTCCGCGCCGGTCCTACGATTATTCTAACCCCGCCGTTGTCATTCGAAGCTAAATTCAGAGGCCGTGCTTGTAGAATTCTCAAATGGTTCAAAACAATTCTCAAATTGAGTCACTATTATCAGTGCGCCGATGGCAAATGCAGAAAAGAATCACCGATTATCTCTGGCTAAACAATATTTCCTCTATAAGGATATCAGAGTCAAACTGAGAGATTCGGGAAGAAAATGTTCGGTAGCATGCAGCCCGTCGCGAAGCTCTCCGATGGCCGACGATGGGGTGTGTAGTGTTCATGTATCAAAATGTATACTACGGCGCCGGAATAAGCCAGAGCTGAATAATGCTTTATCGTTAAGTTCATCTGCACGCCGAGGCGTCATTTATCGCAGTCTTCCGATTTATCACCTGCAGACCTGTGAAAATTAGGGCTTTTCATGAATCTGAAAGTCATGTTCGATTGCGGATTCTAAGACGGATGGAACACAATGGCAATATAAAATTAATAAAGTCGAGCGAACTCCAAACTCGGAAGAGGGGAAGGACTGCAGTACATATAATTTTTGGACGAGGATTCGAGTTGTGGTCGGTGGAACATGGCTGCCTCCCATGCACTGTCTACACTCTCCCGTCAGAAGACTCCAAATTTGTCGCACTTCACCCCGCGTTTATCTTGTACGCGTCTCCCCATACTTACATCTGTACGCTATCTTAAGCATACGTACAAGCGTACAAAAGTACGCCGTACAATCGTACAAGCGTACAAAAGTACGCCGTACAATCGTACGAGCGTACGCGCCGAATTTCATGCGCCCGCCTATCGTCGTGGGGGTCGACGTTGTCGACGCTCGCCCTCGCCGATGGAGCAGACAAAACTTCCAAGAACAACACGCTCTTACTCCAGACGATAGCTCCCTCCGTCGGTCTACGATCGTCCCAGAGCTTACTTGAGGACAAAATGTCGACATTCTTGGGGATCGTCGGTTGCGGTTTTCGCGCGCTCCATTCCAGTCGAGAAGCGGGTGTTTTTCGGAGTTCCTTCGGCCTCTTGGCATCTTAGGTTTGTAGCTTCAATGTTCTCGATACGCGATAGATATTCCCTGGTCTGTAAACATTCTGCTCTCGCGTTCTGCAAGAGACGACTGCCGATTCTTACTCCTGTCATAGGCGAAATCTATCAGGGACGTCTATGGTCAGGTGCACGTTGCATGATCGTCACCGTAGGCCCTGATGAGGTCAGTCGAGAGTTGGGTGTCGTAGCCGACGGCACGCGCGACGCTCAGTCCAATCGAGTATTCGCCCAATAAATTGGTGAGTTGAAATAAGTCGGCCATTCCTCCCTTCAAGCTTCAAGCCATTCCCCATAGTAGGAGTAGTTATCACAAGGCAGCGGTGGGATACTTGAAGTGGAGTTGAATTTGGGACTCAGGCTCGCGTGTGTGCAGGCGACGACCACGTGATTCAGCAAGTCAGCCGAAATATCTTCAGGAAAATTCAGAATGGAGGTCAAATTGGCGTCCATGTTAGTGGAATGCTTCAAGCGAGCGCTCGCAAATGAAGCATCAGGAGAAAATGCGCAGGAAAATCAGGATTTTCCACCACCGGTGTGGTCGAGGGATAAAGTGAGAGATACAGCCGTTGCGCTGGGCGAGTTCTCAGGGGAAGGTACTGTTGCTGAAGCCGACGAATGGCTAGATAGGTTGATTTAGGCAAGAAAGGTTGGCAGATGGTCCGAGGCGTACACTCAGAGTGTGCTTTTCACGAAGTTGGTTGGTCCCGCGGCATTTTGGTATAAGACTTATGGCAGCAAGGTAAATAGCTTCGAGGAGTGGAAAAAGGAATTCGAGGAGGCGTATGTGCCTAAGGAAGATGCAGGCAAATTGATGGAGGAGTTTATCAAGGATCACCAACGGAAGGATGACGATGTAGAACTTTACGCGCGGAGGAAGGAGCACATGGCGATCAGATTAGGCTTAGATCAGGAAGTCGTGAAATCGCAGATTCTCCTTGGGTTAGCGTCAAAGTATGAATTCATGATTCCATCATTGAGGATCGTGAACCATAAGAACGTCATAGAGTTAGGTACGTAATAACAGGCGTTTCCATAGGAATTAGGCATTCGCTCAGGCCATTCATCAGGGTTAGGATTAGGCATTCCAATTGATCGGGAGATCAAAAATGGTAGCTGTGGTCGAATTTCATAGGCGAAATTTATCAGGGACGTCTGTGGTCAGGTGCACCTTGCATGATCGTCACCGTAGGCCCTGATGACGTCAGTCGAGAGTTGGGTGTCGTAGCCGACGGCACGCGCGACGCTCAGTTCAATCGAGTATTCGCCCAATAAATTAGTGAGCTGAAATAAGTCGGCCATTCCTCCCTTCAAGCCATTCCCCATAGTTGGTGTAGTTATCACACTCCTATATCTGACACGAGCTTCCTTCTCGGCTGCTGCTTAGCTTGCCACATCGAACGTCTTCAGTCTTCTCTCTCCAGTCGGACTATCATACGAACGAACATCATTCTCTCACAGGGCCACAGAGACAATTCAATCTGCGAGAATACGTTCGCGTCTCTCGCCTGGGATCCCATAGAGTAACGATGCTCCCGCTCGATGAGAACTCAAGGCTGCCGGCTAGGAATCTCCAAAGCCTGTGGTCTTCAGTATCGCGCTTGGTGTTTTTCGTCGAGAACATCGACGCGGAGTTCGCCGTGATGAGGGACGGAGATGTTTCCCTCCCTCCCCCTGGAGGTTGGACCGAAAGATTATACTACGCGACGACATATGATCCGGAAGAACCGATCGGAGGGAGTGGCGAACCCTCCGATCGAAATTCGAAGGTACAACATTATTCTTCCCTACGGCGATTCCTCCCTCTTGTCTAACCTGAACCCTCGAAACTCTTTTCAATATTTATCGGATCCATCGTCTTTCGTTCCGCATGTCGAGAATTTCGAATTGAACCCGGACTGCCTCCCCTCCTTCGAGAATGTAGGTGCATGGCTCTATCTCTCTTGTGGATCGTCACATCTACTCAATTTTCATTGTCTTCTGATCTTTCCCTCAGGGCCATGATGAGCTTGTTGGTGTTCGACGACGTCTGCGTCGGCAAGGATAGGGATTAGATAGGATATAGCAAGTAAGAAATACCGTAGCTTAAGATGAACAATTTCCAATTACGACAGGAGCACTAGGACTCCATCAACCCACTCCAGATCGACGTGATTGGTTTAGGGATTACTTTTTCAGGAACGTTGTGTCAAGTATGCGGCTTTCGGGGGGATGTGCGGGCTCGGTCTAGTGGCCGTGGCGCTCATCGCGATGAATCTCCTGTGTAAGCAGAAAGAGCCACCCAGATCTGTGCCTGAGAAATTCAATACAAACATTGTACCCCTCCAGCCAAAATACCAGCGTTTTTTTCCAGGGAAGATTCCTGACGTCGACATTGGCAAGAACCACACCACACGCTAGGTCGGAAGAAGTTCCCAACATCACCATATACGCTTCCTGAAGACCCGAATGGATGCGAGTGTGAATAGATGTTTTACGAAGTCATCACATAACTGGAGACAATCCTAGCAATCCTTTCTCACCCATGTTGATTCCACGATGAAAACCGTTTTCGATGGACTAATTCGTAGGCCTTTTCTCTCTAGATAAGCTCCAACCATGTCCAGCATATTTCGCATCTAATTCCTGAGGCTGCGAAGAGCCGGAAATACGCTGAGCTGAAACTGAATACCATTTCAGTCCGCTTGCATTCGAAACAATGGGAGGGCCCGGTTCCTTGACCGTGGCTCTGATCACCCAGGTCGGTGAGGCTCTGGAGAAGGCGCCGGCGACGAGCGACTGGGGCGATTCTTCGCCCAGAGATTGTCGCTCGATGTCCAACGCGGATGCGCTGCGTCGGTGCTCGGCACCATGAGCAGCTGGCGCCGGCCGGCCTGGTGGGAGGACTTAGACTCGACCATGCAACACACAATACAATATAACGAAATAATCCTTGAAATAAAGCTGAATATATTCCTGTTCTGATGCATGATGATCCGCAAACATCGCTACTGTCCCGGTTCGGCACTCCCCAGAGAGTTTCTTTGGTGGCTCCACGGGCAAAATCGAGAACCCGACGCTACTCAACGAGTCCCTCTGCGGAGTTCCTCTGGTCCGCAAAATGCCAACTCTCATTCCTCCTCCCACATCAGCTTGTGGGAAGTCTTGATGGAAGAAACCCTCTACCACATGAAGTCGTCGGCCGTTCACGCGAGCTCTCCTGAAGGCATCGACCATCCGTTGCCGAGGTGCCAGGTAGAGAGCATTGGCGTCCTGGATGATGGAAAGATTTGTACATAAAACGTCACGCTCGAACAAGGACATCTTCGTAGATTTCGAGAGGTGACTGAACACAATGAATAGTATACATACAGGTGTCCCACCTAAGGTGGGACTTTTTAACCCTTCTCTGAGAAGGAACGCAAGCGATTGAGGTGATCGCTGCGTCGCTCGTTCCAGGCGCCCAGGCGCCACGTTTTCCCGACTGGTTGAGCTCTCTAGCCTGATTGTAGCGATCTCCGCGCCGGTCCTACGATTCCGGCCCCGATTCTAATTCCTCCGTTGTCATTCGAAGCTAAATTCAGAGGCCGTGCTTGTAGAACTCTCAAACGGCCGGCAAGCGGTTCGTCATTCCACCGGTCTTAAACGCTACAAGTGTGTGGGATCTGAGTGCGCGATTTAGGTTCTTGCAGGACCTAATTTTTCATGCACGGGAATGCAGGAGGCTTAATTCTGCTTCGCGAAGATGGGTCACCCCTCTGACCCCCGAATCCTCAACCGAATTCAATGACCCTCGAAGCGTTTTTGACCCATGGATAGACGGATTGCGGGCCGGTCACCCAAACACGCTAACCATCACGGTCTCCGAATTGAGCCTCAGGAGAGATCGAGGCAGGCATCGGAGAATCAACGTGGAAATCGCTACAGTTTAGCTAGAGAGTTCAACCAGGCGGGAAAATGGAGCTCTTGGGACGAGCTTCCGAATGCGGCGGCAATCCATCTCCATTCTTTGGAGGAGCTGTTATCATCGAGTGATTGAGTTACTATTATCAGTGCTCAGATGGCAAATGCAGAAAAGTATCACCGATGAGCTCTGGCTGAGCTATTTTTTTTCCATACGGGTATCGGAATCAATCTGGGAGACTCGGTAAGGAAGAGTTCGGTAGGATGCAGCCCGTCGGTAAGCTCTCCAATGACCGACGATGAGGTGTACAGTGTTCATGTATCAAAATGTAAACTACGGCGCCGGAAAATCCCAGAGCTGGATTATGCTCTATCCTTCACTTCACCTGCGCGCGGAGGCGTCATTTATCGCGGTCTTCCTGCAGACCAATGAAAATTAGGGCTTTTCATGAATCTGATAGTCATGCTCGATTGCGGATTATAAGACGAATGGAACACAATGGCAATATGAAATTGATAAAGTCAAGTACTCGAAAGAGTGGAAAGCTTGCAGAACATATAATTCCCGGAAGAGGAGTCGAATGGTGCTCGGTGGTTAGCTGCCTCCTATACACTGTCTACACTCTCCCGTCAAAAGACTCCATGTTTGTCGCACTTTACCCCGCGTTTATCTTGTACGCGTCTCCCCATACTTACATCTGTACGCTATCTTAAGCATACGTACAAGCGTACAAAAGTACGCCGTACAATCGTACGAGCGTACGCGCCGAATTTCATGCGCCCGCCTATCGTCGTGGGGGTCGACGTTGTCGACACTCGCCCTCGCCGATGGAGCAGACGAAACTTCTAAGAACAACACACTCTTACTACAGCTTGAGCCACTGCTGCGGCTGTGAGGGAGCGAGCATTGCTGTGGTGTGCCGCTAGCTGAACCCGTCGTTCACGATTTTCTGCCATTTGAGCAGTTTCCTCGATACCTGAGGGGAGTTGACTGAGATCATTCCTGTTCCCAAGCTGTCGGAGAAGCCCTCTGCAAGATTTGTCCCGCGGAAACCTGAGACCTTCCGGCGCGAGAAAGGTACACAGTCGCGCTTTCCACCCCTGCCGCGAGCCAAACCGACGGCCGCCATCCAGGGAAGAGCCCTGCAAAGAATTTTCGAGAAGTTTGCAAATAAAAAGTTGTTGCGATGTCCTTCTCTTTGCGAGCTTTTCTCCTTATTTCTTCCCAATGGCAGCGGCTGCGACCGGCATGGCCATCGCGGACGGGCGTCATATCTGAGCCGTCAGACGAATGTCTTCATGACTTCGATGGGGAGGCATCCACAAGATATTTATGTGGCACAATCTCGAGACTCGAGATCTGCATGCCCACGGTGTTGTCATGGAAGCTGGAGCGCTTAATGGGACCAATTTAATGACTCACTAAGTTCGGTCTGTGATGATGGTCGGACCCGGCTGTGGCCGGTTCTAATTCCGAATTCTCGAGAAATTCGTCGATTTTCTGAGTTTCCCCAAAAAGGATGATTTTGGATTTGTTTCTAGATGAGGTCAATGATCTTGTTCTTTGGCTCTGACGAATGAACCTTGTTGGCTGATGATCTAGCGCGATGCACTCCGCGTCCCGAATATGGCGCCAAAAACCCCTACTCGAACCAAACGACCATTCGGCATTCGACTTGGGAGCGCCGTTCAGGCTCTCGACTCGTCGAGCTGAAAGCCATGCAAAACGTCGGCCCGGCTTACTCCTAAGGATTTCGAGGATCTCGCGGCGAAGTTCGAGGATCAAAAAGCGTTCCGAAATCATGAAGCCTGATCCTGTATCTGATGAGGGGGCGGAGTGATTATCTCCGATCCCTCATCTATACCCGACCACCCATGTTCCGAGGGGCAACGTCATATTATGCAGGGGCGGAAGACTGTATTGAATTGCTTTCGCTATCTTAACCCCTGATTTTCCTCTGTCTCCAGATGGCTTCCGGTGAAGACAACGTTCCTACATCCAAGTGTGTACTCGTCGGTGATGAAGGTACGGGGAAGACGACCTTCGTGAAGAGACATTTGACCGGAGAGTTCGAGAAGAATTACGTAGCCACTCTCGGTCGGCGGTCGACTGCCGGTTCTTACTCCTGTATCTGACACGAGCTTAGGCTTGGCTACTGCTTAGCTTGCCACATCGAACGTCTTCAGTCTTCTCTCTCCAGTCGGACTATCATACGAACGAACATCATTCTCTTACAGGGCCACGGAATCAATTCGATCGACGAAAATACATTAGCATCTCTCTCCTGGGATCTAATCAAGTCAGGATGATCCGACTCGGTGAGAACTCTACCTTGTCGCTCAGGAGCCTCCAGAACGCATGGCCCGGAGCCTCGCTCTTGATTTTTTTCGTCGACAACATCGACGCGGAGGTCGTCGTGGACAGGGACGGAGACGTATTCCTCCCTCCCGACGGAGGTTGGACCGAGAGAATTTACTACGCGACGACATATGATCCGGAAGAACCGATCGGAGGGAGTGGCGAACCCTCCGATCGAAATTCGAAGGTACAACATTATTCTTCCCTACGGTGATTCCTCCCTCTTGTCTAACCTGAACCCTCGAAACTCTTTTCAATATTTATCGGATCCATCGTCTTTCGTTCCGCATGTCGAGAGTTTCGAATTGAACCCGGACTGCCTCCCCTCCTGTGAAAATGTTGGTGCATGGCTCTATCTCTCTTGTGGATCGTCACATCTACTCAATTTTCATTGTCTTCTGATCTTTCCCTCAGGGCCATGATGAGCTTGTTGGTGTTCGACGACGTCTGCGTCGGCAGGAATAGGGATTAGATAGGATATAGCAAGTAAGAAATACCGTAGCTTAAGATGAACAATTTTCAATTACGACAGGAGCACTAGGACTCCATCAACCCACTCCAGATCGACGTGATTGGTTTAGGGATTACTTTTTCAGGAACTTTTTGTGAAATATACGGCTCTCGGAGGAATCTGCGGTCTCGGACTACTGGCCGTAACGCTCATCGCGGTGAATCTCCTGTGTAAGCAGAAAGAGCCACTCAGATCTGTGCATGAGAAATTTAATACAAACATTGAACCCCTCCAGCCAAAATACCAGCGTTTTTTTCCAGCGGAGATTCCTGACGTCGACCTCGGCGAAAACCTCACCTCAGGCTCGGTCGGAAGAAGTTTTCAACATCACCATATACGCTTCCCGAAGACCTGAATGGATGCGAGTGTGAATAAATGTTTGACGAAGTCACCACATAACTGAAGACAATCCTAGCAATCCCTTCTCTCACTCATGTTGATTCCACGATCTGCAGGGTCATGTTGAGGAGTCAGGTCGAAGATGAAGTTCAGTCCATTTCTGCTGGTGCTGAGATAAATATCCGTAATATTGGATGTTCCTTGCATCCCCATTGCGCAGTAGAACTTTCACTGTTAGATTCCTCTAGCCGAGCGAGGTTGGTATCTCGCAACTGGTGCTACGAATTCGAGCGGTCGTCCTCTACATGTGTTTTTTCATCTCGGCTCAGCGGCCCTCTTTCAGATTTTCATGAAAACCGTTTTCGATGGACTAATTCGTAGGCCTCCTCTCTCTAGATGAGCTCCAACCATGTCCAGCATATTTTGCATCTAATTCCTGTTCTGATGCATGATGATCATACCATCCGCAAACATCGCTACTGTCCCGGTTCGGAACTCCTCAAAGAGTTTCTTTGGTGGCTCCACGAGAAGGATCGAGAACCCGACGCAACTCAACGAGTCCCCCTGCGGAGTTCCTCTGGTCCGCCGAATGTCCACTCTCATTCCTCCTCCCACATCAGCTTGTGGAAGGTCTTGATGGAAGGAACCCTTTACCACATGAAGTCGTTGGCCATTCACGTGAGCTCTCCTGAAGGCATCGACCATCCGTTGCCGAGGTGCCAGGTAAGGAGCATTGGCGTCCTGGATAATGGAAAGATTTGTACATAAAACGTCACGCTCGAACAAGGACATCTGCGTAGATTTCGAGAGCTGACTGAACACAATGAATAGTATACATACAGGTGTCCCACCTAAGATGAGACTTTTTAGCCCTTCTCTGAGAAGGAACGCAAGCTATTGAGTTGAGCGTTGCGTCGCTCGTTCCAGGCGCCCAGGCGCCACGTTTTCCCGACCGGTTGAGCTCTCCAGCCTGATTGTAGCGATTCCCACGCCGGTCCTACGATTCCGGCCCCGATTCTAACCCCTCCGTTGTCATTCGAAGCTAAATTCAGAGGCCGTGCTTGTAGAAATCTCAAATGGCCGGCAAGCGGTTCGTCTGTCCGCCGGTCGTAAACGCTACAAGTGTGTGTGATCTGAGTGCGCGACTTAGATTCCAGCAGGCCCTAATTTTTCATGCGCGAGAATGCAGGAGGCTTAATTCTGCTGAGCATCTAGTCACGTCGGACCCTGTCGACGACGTAGACCCGTCTGGCACCGGATTGGTGCATTCGACCCCCATCAAGTCGGAGTATTCCTGCTGGAGCCCCTCGGATCCCTCAGCTCCGAATGTAGTTGGACGCTTCGAGTTTAGTTCCAGCTCCGCGACACCTCTGGTGTATACATTTCGGCGCAATCCCCGTGATCCTGATTCAGTGGTTTATTCTCGCAATCAATGTGTGTCTGAGCAAGTTCGAGATTGCCCCGAGCCGCTGAAAGAGGCAAAGATCATCCACATCATGAACACCACTTTCCCTTCGGAAGATACTTTCTTCTCGAATTTCCCGCCGCTTTCTTTCTGCATGCGATCCTTCGCACAGCGCCATTCATGCAGTCGTTCGGCTTACTTAGTACACGCGCAGTTTATCTTCCGAGACGACATCGAGCCGTGTAAGCCTTTCGGTCGAATTCTGGATCTGAGTGTTAGTAAGCCGGAGAGAGGCTCTAAGTCCTCTGCTCAGGCTGGGTCTCCTCTCCCCGAATGCACCACACAATCGAAGAGAACTCTATTTTTAACAGAGAGGGTAGATCTTCTCATCTGAAAAAGGAGTGCGCCATTCTCTCACTGAAAAACCAGGAACACAATTGCCGGCATCCGGATAATTTCAAGCACGGTGAGCGCACTTGACAATCGATCGAGGACGGAGGTGCGCATGGATCTCTTCTCGATTTCGGCCGGCTACTCTACATGCTCGCAATCAGGCGCTAATCTTTGCTGGACACCGGGAATAGTTCACCGGTGACCATGCGTTATCCCCGAAGCTGCCCTCGATATTCGCCTTCGATATCAGTTTCATTTTCGTTCGCTCCTTCACGGGTCAACTTCGACGACCTCCCACCGGACCTCCAATGATATCGACAATTCCTTCTATTGGTTTCAGAGAATGTCTGCAGCCAGTCCCGCGGCTCACAAATCGAAGTCGAAGACGAAAACGCGACGCAGTGCTAAAAAGCAGAACGATGCTCCGACGCAGGAAAATATTAAGGTGAGAATGTCCGCGGATGTCAAGCTGTCGAGAGATTCCCGCCAGCTTTCATTCTTCCCCTGGGTTACCGCTGGACGTGCGCTGTCGAATACGGACCGTCCTCAAATTTATATCTGGGCTCTGACAGGCGGACGTAGCGGAGGACACCCCGCGGACCCCACCCACAGCCGAGGAGCTCGCAAGATTGGAGGCTTTAGCCACCGTCGCCGCCGAGAAAAGCGCCCTGGAAAACGAGAGAATGAACGACAAAGGGGTCCGGAGTCTTGCGAAGACTCTCTCCGAATGCAAGGAGACGGCCGATGGTGAGATGAACTAAGCGCATACAGTCCATTCACGACCGAATTCAATATTCGAGACAACCTGATGTGTTCCTACTCCGCTTGAAAAACAAATTCCTCTATCTCTTCCAGAGATCAAAGCTGGCGTCCAGGAGGTACTCGGGAACCGACAGACCTACGAGGCGGAATGCATCAAACTGGAAAAAGACATGAGCGAGAAACTCGAAGCGCTGTCCCTGGATGTTCAGAAATCTGCCAAAGAATGTACGTTTCGAGTTCTCGCGCATTTTCGCGTATCATGTGACCAAATTCTTCCCGAGCTCGATCTGGGACATGCCTGAAGCGAATCATTGTCGCGAAAGCCATTGAAAAAAGAGATTCCTCCCTCAGGCACTCCGGAAGAGGCCGAAGCTGAAGTCAGATCCTCGATTCCGCCTTCGATGAGCAAAGAAAAACGTTCGTCCAAGAGTGCAACACCACCACCTGTTGAGAAAGACAAAGAGCGAGCTATCCAGGAAAAAATATTAGACCTCACGAAGCAGGAACCAAAGAAGGTGAGCCCTACAAGCAGTGTTAATGATGCGAGTCGCGGTCGGGAACATGATTCCGGAGGTTTCCCTGGAATCGGGAGCCTTAGAATGAGCAGATCGTGACAGTTTCTCTCTCCTTCCGAAAGCTCTCAACTGGGTCCAAAAAGAAAGGCGTGGACAGCATTCTCAGGAGTCTGACCGAATACGAAACAGCGGAGGAGAAGCTGAAAGCGCTGTGCGAGATGCACTTCGATACATTAGAAGAGCTCAAGGAGGCCCAGAGCACGGTTGAGAAATGGAAGAAGCAAGTCCAGGCTGGCCAAAAGGATTGCAACCGAATGCTATTGGCTAGAGACAGGTTGGAAGGTCTCTGCAGAGAACTTCAAAAGCAGAACAGTGCCATTAAAGAAGAATCCCTGCTCCGTCGTCGGGAGGAAGACGAAAAACGGAAGCAAATTGCCGGGAAATTCCAAACCACGCTAACAGACATCTCGGAACTCATGGCCGACACCCAGGAAACCTCATCGAAGCTCAGGGAGGACAACGCCCAACTCGCCAATAAACTGCGGACCCTTGTTAATCACTACGAGAACTGGGAAAAGGTTCGAGCTAAGGTTGAAATGCAGCGGATTATTTTGTGTCGGAAAACTGTTCGAAAAAATAGGCGTGAAAGAATATCAGTACGCTCGAATAACGACGTTCCCCCATTTCGGAATGCAGCACATGTCGCACATGCTGAAGCAGAAGTCAATCGAGATAGAGCTCGCGAATGCGAAGCTCCGGGAGAGCCTACTTCACCGGGAGAAGGACTCCAAGGAGGGAGAAACGTCCCAGGTCATTATGGAAACGACGATCAAACAGCTTCAGCAGCAGCTGGAGGCCTCTCTGAGGAATGAGATTGGACTCCGCGAACAGCTCAAAATCCACAATGAGAAGTACGAGGAATTTCAGGAAGCTGTCTCAAAGAGTAACAAGGTGGGTGCACTTCGACCGAATGCTGGCGGGAATGAGAGAATCCGATGTGATATCGTCCTCGGAAGAGGGCTCACTAGACATCGATAATAATTTATTGGCTCATCTAGGTCGAAATTGAATTTATTTTCTCAATCAACTGATAAGAAATCCTTGATAGATAGATACATATATATTCATTTTTCTTTCTGTGAGTTGGCTGACATTATGAACGTGGCACGGTGTCTATCATCAGCCGCTGAGCAAACCAAGCTCTCAAAGGGCGCCAGGGTCGAACCGGATGCCAGTGATGAGTCGAGCGTTACCCCTTTGAACGTCCACGGCGAATCGTTGTCTGATGAAAACGACCCTTGAGATAGACATTCGAACAAATCTGAGTGCATTTGGGAGCGATTTCGCTGCGAGTCTCAGTCGCTGACACCTTCCCCGAGGGGTTCCGCATCGTCGGAGACACTCCTTTCGGGTCTCCTTTCGCGACGAGAAGCTGTTTTTGCCCATCCTCAATATTTTCTTCGCGTTCCCCACAGATGTTCTCGGACTTCAAGGGAGAGATCGACGCGATGTCGAAACAGACGCGCCGGTTCGAGAAGGAAGCTCTGCATTGGAAGCAACGATGGACCGAATCGAACGTCGCAACGGCACGAGTCCTTCAGGAGAAGACCAAAAGTGATCTCAGAGTCGAAACCCTCACGAGACTCTGTCGGTCGCTGCAAGAGAAGCTCAAGTTGAATGGTGCTGTTGTCGCGGGAAGTGAGTGACAGCAGAGCTCGCTATATCTCGGGAGCTCCTGCATCCCAGGGATCCTTCTAGCATCCACTTCCGTGGTCCGAAACCAAAAGGCTTCTTATTTCCAGTGGAATCAGATTTCGCCTCGAAAGTCATCACGGAAGAGAAAGCCAAGCTCGAAGCCGAGCTCGAACAGAAGAAGGCCGACATCGAAGCGCAGAAGAAAGCCATTCAAGAAAAGCAGAAAGAAATGCAGCTAGAAATGTTGGCCGAGGACCTGAAAGCGAAAGCCATCGAGAAGGAGATCGCCAAAATCCAGGAAGAAGCCGCTGCCGGTGACGGAGCTCAAACGCAGGCGGTCCACGAGAACCCACAGCAAGAGACCGCCGTGAGTCGCATGCAATAATTGATTTCCCTTTCGAAGGGGCGAGCGTCATTCAGCCCCGGTCGAGAAACTTGAAATTCACCAGAACTCTTCAATTAGAATGTTGACTCTCAATTCCAGGAGGAGTCATCGAGTCCGAAAGCCGAATCCATCGAGCCAGTGAAAGTTGGCGCGAAGAAAAAGAGCAAGAAGTGAAGGACTCCGGAGTCTAGTCGAATGTCCCGTTGGAGCTTCGAGCTTATGAGATCGAGAGCCCCTGAGAAACCAGGGAACATTCAATCTTGTTCGATGACTGAAAGCCTCATGGCCACACAGATGATTCGCGTCTCTGGGGCACGAGGATTTTCATAGGCATTCGATCCTTCTAATGAGCATTGTTTGAATCTCTCTCATTTTATATAGCCTGAAACAATCATTGGTATGGAAAACTACGGGCCCGTTAGTAAGGCTGATCCGGGGCGGTCGCCTTTCAAACGACTATCATCGGAGCGCGGAATCAGCCCAACCATGGGGATAGATCTCCATTCTGAAGATCAGAAGAACAAGCGGGTATGAACAACATGAGTTAGCGCGAATCACGTGCGAAAATGTGTGACCATCCGAAGGGAGTCGTTGCGAATGTGCGTTTACGGTTTTGGTTGGATACCTATTTTTGTCGAAGTGGCGCAGGGGGGGTACAGGAAGCCTCGCTTATGGAAGGGAAGTGTCGGAGAATTAATAAAATAAATTTCACCGACCACGGTCGCTGCTTGAAAATCGCTTGGGGTCATTTCTAGAGAGCCACGTCGTATGACCCGTCAGTATTCGGGCTGGTGGGAAGTCGTCGCGGATACTCTCGCTTGGATTCCGATGGAGCGAGGGATCGATCGGAGTTCTGTGGAGATCCTACGAACTCCATGGTGGACTCACTCGATTGTGACCGAAATTAAGTCAGTCTACAAGGTCTCGGATCGAGCCGTCTTCGCCAAGATGAATATGATTATACGCTCGACGAACTTGAATACTTCGTCCCATTGACTTTGTGAGCATCGTCTCCGAGCATTCTTGTTTCTGTGGCTAGTATTCCGTCAGAACAGACGATGTGCAGAGAGTTCTTCGAGGCTCCGCATGCGAACTGAGAGTGTCCGTCGCGGGATCGAGTCGGAGCTCAGCTTGTCCGTGACCCGGTGTCCGAAGTGAGCATTTGATCCAGGTTCCCTACGTGCACCGAGACAAATTGGGCCGACCCTTGCAACACTTGTTACATTTATTCAACGCTTCAATCGTTGAAGCGTGCCATGGCAGTCAGCGACATCCACTTGACAGATTGACTGATGTGAGAAAACCGAAGAACGTTGTGCAAGCTCCGCGCGTCCCGGCGCCCACCGCCCGATTGCAGCCACCGCGGAAGAGATTGCGTGTTTCGGAGTCGCGTTTCCTCGGGCTGCGCTCCCCGTCGCGCTCGCTATCACCACTTCATTCCGCTGTCGGCTCTCTTTTGTGACAGACATCCGAGCCCTTTCTCCTAACTCCCTCGCCAGACAAGCAGCACCCAACTACCACCATCTCAAAACGCATAGAGATCAGAAAGATCCTGGACCCCCGACTGGCGTCATCATGCAGATTCTCGTTGTTCTCTCGGTCGTGGGAGCCTGTTTCGCTGGCGAGCTCTTCGACATCAAGCCTCTAGAGCAATGCGGTGAGTTACACGGACGGTCGAAGATTCTGAACCGTCTTTGGAAACCGCGTAGAGACGAACGCACGCGCGGACAACGTATATGTACATGTATATAAGAGTTCCGGATCCGCGAGCATTAGAGAGCTCAAAAATCTCTTCACGAATTGTTGTGTACTCCGTTTAAGCCGGGACCGAGATCGAGTTGTTCTCTCCGTGCAACTATATACAATAATGAATTTACTTCCTGAGACTGCTACCGTATATTTCCGTGAATGGGATCCGCGCGATCAGGACAAATTGGGATATAGCATCGAACAACAAGTCGATCAATGCTCGTTGCGAGCTTTGGAGACTGCGGTGTGATCTATCGATCGAATTATACTGATCGAAATAATGCTTCCCCTTGAAGCTGCGTGGAGCTGTTCTTCCGGGGACAGGGATATCTTTGAAGAGAGAAATTCGACCATCTCCAACCTTCGTGTGCTCGAAGATCATATCACTGTGCTGGGTGCGACATTCGAAGAGCCCTCTTTGGCGGTTCCCGATGCGCTAGCGATATTTTCCGATAGAGGGCAATCCTACCTTTCAACTGTCGCTCATTATCTTTCACTCGAAGGGAAGCATCGACACCTCGTGAATCACACTACCTGGAGGCAATCATTCAGGCTCTTCCGAAGCTCGCATTCAATCCGATGCGCGCCGAGGTTGGAGACGTGGTAAGACGTATGACCCTCACGATTCCACAAAAGGATTTCACTGTTTCCCACAACATTCAATTCCTCAGCATCTTTGCTTCTCCGTCCGTCGGTGTCGGTAGTCGTACATTGAGAGAATGATCATATTCCGATCGACTCACTCCACGGCTCTGAACTACGTCACTGAACGAAGCTGCGATAAGCGAATCTTTGCCGGAAACGCGCGATCGTTCCTGCCGCCCTATAGTAAACATTCTTCTGGAGGCTACAGAGTAGGGCGGCGGATTAATCATTGGGAACTTAGACGTCGATTAGAAAAAATGGGCTGTAAGAAATGGAGACCTCCACGGTGGTGTGACGGGAAATCCCTGTAGCGTGGCGTCGAATTTCCTTTCTGTTTCCATTCTTCTAAGCCATGATGATAATGACTAATGTCACTCGATTCCACGTCTTAATACTTTCTGTAAAGAACCTGTACGACGAGATTTTTTCCCTGTTTACAAGAAAAGAGCGGCGGTCTCGCTCCAGCCCGATGGATGTCTGAACAGCCTTGGTGTCTCGCAGCATTGATCTGGGACCGTATCTATAGTGGGTTGAGTAAGCGGAATGAAGAAGTTCGCCTTGCGAGGAGCGAGACCATCGATGAAGTCAGGATTATTTCTTAAGCTGTAGGCTAGATCGACTTTTGAAAGAGAAGGGCGGGAAATTTCTCCATAACTCGACAATCAGGGAAGGATATTTCGGTTAGGGGCAGCCGGTGCGCTCCACGCTCGCTCGCTTGACTCCATTTCTCACGAAGGATGATGCCGCGCCCCCCCCCCCACGCATCGAGAAAGCTTTCTCGTTGTCGGCATGTATTCTGTGGACGCGGAAACGCGGTTTTCGCCTGCTCGCCCAATTATTCTTTCTAAGCGTGGATTTTCGTCACAGAAAAAAAATGCGGAAGCTAAAAACAGACCTCGAGGTCTCCTACCGCCAGATGTGATAACACTTATACTCCATATTCCACATTGTTCCCACTTTCGAGGCAATGTCTGGATATTGAGCTCCTTCCACTACTTTTGAGTCAACGCAGGACATCCTCCGGAAACCATGATGCGCTTTCAATTCATGAACTCCACATTGGAGCGAACGGGCCTCTCTTCCCACGAGAAGATCGTTCTTCTCACTATGGACCAGCACTTAATGGAATGGACGGGTGACTGAAGCTCGGCTGGATTTAATCGAGACGTCCGCTAGGCCTTCAGGTTGCTGATCAGAGCGGTCCACGCTCGTATGAGCTCGTGGGACGGACTGCAAGAATAACGAGAGGCTTCAGGCTCGAGGGAAAATGAGCGGTGTGGGCTTGTTCGACTCCTCGGGCCTCAATCCAGAGGGATCCTTGATTTCCCTAGAAGAACGTATCACTTCCTACTATTCTCCTATCGTTTTGCAGAGGATTCAACCTCCATTAAGCACGTTCAGGTCGAGAACTGCAACGATCCAACGCTGTGCCGCTTGATGAAAGGAGCGAACACCACCTTACGAGTCGTGATGGTTGCCCGTGAGTATGCATTCACGGATTTTGATGAAAACGGAGCTCCGAGTCAGATAGGAGTCTCACGGAACCGATATCTCCGACACGACACTGGAATTCCGAAAGATCGACGGTTTAACGGCAGTCCGATTGTCATTCAACAGCCAAGAAAGTCACGAACGTGAAAGCTTTGGTGACCGGGACGGTAGGGGACGCAGAACTGCCCTTCCCGGGTTTCGATCGCTACGTATGCAAGCATCCAGACAACAAGAACTTCTGCCCTCAAGAGCCCGGCAAGGAGTACACGCTGAATTTGAGTCTTCCCATCCTGAATCTCTTCCCCAAGGTAAAGAGAAGTTTCGTGGTGGTCGATAAAGGAGTATCACGAGACTATCGTGCGTCAAGCGCGAGCGACCCCGGCTTACGAACGCCGTTCCATCGTCGCTGAAAGAGAACGGCTCCCGGTGTCGATGAGATCCCTGATCCGCAATGGGGCGCAATAACGTGAAGACTTCTCTTCAGATCAAAACGACGGCCTTCGTGAGACTCATCGATGACGATGCGCCTTCCGAAATAGAAGAGAGACTCGGTTGCTTCAAGATCATGGTCGAACTCATCGATAATCCGAACGCTCCGGTGACCAAGAGGCCTGACGACGACGATGAGGAGGAATAATAGGGAGAATGTACCAACATATGACTGCAGGACGAACGATAAACCTCGAAAAGACGCACCGGATAATCTGTATCATTCGTGACATCACTTTGATGCGGGCCTATTCATCGACATGATTTCGGAGAATTCAATCGGGAAGGATTGAACACTTATCAGAATGAAGATTCCCTCTCAGGAATTGATCAGATTGTATCTTCTCGATTCCGTGTCCGCGACTCTTCGGATAACGGCTGCCTCTTCGCCAGAAAGGGCTTGACTGAGAAAAAATTTATTCGATTTCTAAAATATCCAGCTCAGCACAGGGAACGAAACAAGCCCTTTTCCGAAGCTCAAATCGTAACTCAAACAGAACAGTCGAAGGCAAAATCCGACCGATTCCGATTTCGCGATACTTAAACAATACAAGGGTTCTGAAAAAGAACAGAATCTTACCCTTGGATGGGATGCCAGCTCAATCATTATTATCTAGCATAAAAAGTCCTAGTGTCGAATCCTTGAATTCTGGACTCAGACTTAGCACGGTCGGCACTGCCAGCAATCAACTTAGCTGAAGCGACGACTCAATTCTTATCTCGAGGATGAGATAATGACGTCATCCGGATAAATTGTTGTTAGAGGGCGACGCAATTTTTTTCCTCGGGGCGTAGGAAGCAGTGCGGGCCCTTCAGTCGTCTAAAGCGTATCTCCGTGGCGCGTCTCTCTCCGAAAATTTTCGAGCCGTTTCCTGTTCGGCGGGGACCCTTTTCGGTTTGGAGTTTTTTGAAATTCGCTGAGTCATTTTGGGTTCATCCTCCATCGGGAGGCGACTAGAGGGCCTTCTGATCTTGGCTCGCACCCCTAGCGATGGCCTGAATTGCCTTCGGAGATTCCTGACCACTGCTTTTTTCGCCGTCTCTTCTTCGGGGGACCGGAGAAGATTTTCCGCCCTTTCCTCCACACGTTCTTCTTCAAAACTACTCCTCGGCACGAGGACTCGGTTTCTGGTGTCTCCTCGTGAGCTCCGGCTCGCTTTAGGAGTCTCCTTCGTTGACGGTTTCGTGTTGAAAACTACCTTACGAACTTCGCCCGGCGAGCTTCTGATTTTCGCGAGCGACACCGACTCCGTCTTGATCTGGTGGTCCTTCTGCGAAAGTTTGGTCGGAGTGTCTTCGGAAAGTAAATCGAGGGCCGATCGTTTCGGCCGAGCACCCAGTTGAGTGATTGATTTCCGTCGAATCGAGTCTGGAGACAAGGTTTCCTCGAGAGGATCCTCCGCGATCGGTAGCACTTTGGAGGTCGGAGTGTCCGACTCGTTCTCGATGTTCACCACTTCTGTCGGGTGCTCAACGAGGTGCTCCGGATTATCCCCGGCAGACGTCTTCGGTGCCTTGGCGGGGAGTTTCCGGATACTTCCCAAGAGGTCAATTACTCTAGGCACAGTGACAGGGATCATATCCACGGCGTGATCCTTGATTTCTTTATCCGGTACATTCTGATGTGGAGTTTTTTGGGATCGTAAACTATGCCTTCGACGTCGCTTATTTCAAAATCTTTCGCGGGGGACTTCGGCTTCCCAGCTTCCGCGTCGTCCAGTCCCGGACGTCCCTCATCACGTTCTCCAGCGTCTCGCTTCCCGACCGCAGCTTCGCCTCGGTTTTCGACCGAGAGCCGATCAAAGCTCCTCTCGAGATCCGAGACCTGTGTGAGACTCGAGTCATCCGTGAGACTCCTTCGTCTGTCTTCCTTATCCGTCGCGGGATGCGACGGCTGATGATGGGTTGTATTCTTCTCGTCTCGAGCTCCCGCTCCGTGATCGGGTCCGATCGTGACGTTTGTCTGAGCTTCCTTCGTATCGTCGTCGCCTTCGACGAGGTCGCTCTTCTGCTCCACTACGACATCGTTCGGAGGGGCTTTGGGATCGAACTCTGGCTTGTCTTGCTGGGTTTCGGAATGCAAAAGCATCTGCGACGATTCTGTGTCGACTTGCGCACTTTGACGAACACAGACCGCACTGAGAGCATTATCGATTTCCGTGGAGTCTTCGATCATTACGTCACCGTCTTCCGAGATCTCGACCACCGTTCTGGTGTGGACCGCGGTCGATTGGTCGCCGTCGAGCTGCACGAAGCTCGTCACCTGAACTGTACTCACGATTGGCATTGTCACAGAGAGCACTGACGCACCACATTCCGACCCTCGACTACTGTTCCAACATCACCGAAGCCGCTCAGCCGCTTGTTCCGAACATCGGGTCCAAGTCCCGATGCGCTGCAATCGACCCACGCTGACTCCGCTAGCTTCGTGTCCTAACTGGATGGGTCGAAGTTGTGCACAGATCGGGATAGACTCACTGCGCTGCTGGCGCGTTGTCCCTTCCTATTTGGGCAGGTATAGATGAACAGATATCCAGCGGGTGGACAGACAAACGTACGGCGGCCGGGCGAACGGACGCACAGACCGAGTCATGGATAGAAAGCAAGCAGTCGGTGCAAGGGACAAGCAAGAAACTCATCGTATCTTCGGTTGAAAGAAGCAGGTGCGTGGAGATGGAGCCAAGGGCGAAGCTCAGTCGTCGAAGGTAGTGGGCAACAACAGTTTCGTGGGCGATTGACTACCGCACAACCAAAATCGCGTATCCTGTGAAAATCGCTGCCGACTGCAAATCTCATTCATAAGCCGTCAGCACATCGCGGTATTGTATTCGTGCTTCTTCCATTTCGGACGTTTTCACGCTTGTACTTCGCTTATTTCTCACTGAGTGGTTATCACTTCCAATTACCGCTCCAGTCGCTCAACAAGTCCCCCAGTGTACACCACGCACAAAGAGCAATTTCTCTGACACGTCAATGGCACTAAGGGTCGTCTTACCGAAAAACTGTTCTTCGCTCCGGAATTTCGAACTCAGTCGGAATGCTCTTCTCGATTCTGAGAGCATCGAATACCCTCTCACATGTGCCGTCACATGACTCATGTGACATGACCCAGATCCATCAGAGGATGGAGGGAACATTTTCAGGTTGGAATCAGAACTCTTTGCAAAGCCAAGACCCCGAGACTGAACAATCGGCGCAGAGCACCCTTCCCAGGATTCCGGGCGTTGCGGTTTCCGGGACTCCGAAAGACGGCCCGAATGTGAACTAGAGCTTCCGTTACATCGTTCGGACGATATTCAATCAGATCGCGCTCGTATCGAGACACCTGTATTGACCGGCGCAAGCGCGGTCAGCCATCTGATCGGCGATGTCTTTTTGATGGCCAGGCATGAAGGCATGAGTCTGTGAGCGGCTTTGGATCGCTAAGTTAATGCGATGACTCCGTCGGTCGGCACTACTCCAGCGGATAGGAGCGTCACGTTTTACCTTCGTGGCTGAAGACGGACTTCCAGCAGCGTTGCATGGTGATTACGATCTGAAGTACCGTGACCGTATTTAGAAATAATTTCATTAGTTTCAACGAAATTTGGCCGTCAGCCGACATTTCTGGTGGCTTTCGCCTTCTTTGTTTACGGACTGCATTCGAATGAGCGCCCTTTTTCCGTTCATTATCCATGCTGAATTTTCCATGTGCCGCGACCGATTGCGAAGATATGGCTCCGGGTGCATTCTAGCCCGAGGGTCAGAATGTTCTCATGCAGGAGTGACTCTGGAACTGCCCCTCGGAGCTCCCGATTTGGTCGGGACACGGAACTAGGATTCAAGAGGATCGAGAGGGGCTGGAGAGAAATTTTGCCAATTTGGCGGATGCCGCCTGGAAACAATTGTTTCCGAATGCGATCGCGCACGACAGTGAGACTCATGGGACGCATGATTTCATCTTCTCCCCGATCGAAGAGAGGAAACATTGCCATGAACGAAAACCGACATGATTGAGCTGTCGTGAGTCGTACGCGGATCAAGCGCCGATCGTAGTGCTACACGTCGGATGTTCTCCGAAGTCAAGGCCATTCAAGCGGCTACCTGTCGATCCTTCGCATTCTTCGAGTTCGAGCACTCACGGCATGCAAAACACATTATTTATCGGTGAGACGAGCGCCGCAGGATGTTAATTAGTTTTTCGATTGATTAGAAACAATTCTATCGAACGATCCGGAGACCCTTCTCGGACCGACACCACCGAGAACTCTGCGTATTGTCTTGCGGAACGATGCCTGGCAGGGCGGCAAGTGATTCTGACTTCCGACTTTGGATCAGAGAGCGTGCAATTTCACGAGGATACAGGTGTCGAAAAATCGGGCCAAGGAATGAATTTTTCTGGATTCCGAAGAATGAGGTAAAGAATGCTGTCTTGAGTCATCACACGTCGCGACAATCCAATCGGGAATACCTGACAGGTGTCAACTTCAATGGAAAACTCGAATTCCGCTCCTAAGCTTTATTTACGACCAATGGCGATCGCTCGATATATATTAAACATGACTCCCAGACGGCACTTCTGAGACGTCAGGGATCATAACTCGGTTTATGAAATTCCCGCGACGATATATAAGTACCTACGTACGTTCCGATCATTTTTTCCCGATTCGCGGGAACCATCCTCGAATCGCCGCCTTTGCGGACATTCATCCCGAAAGCTGTGAGAAATCACAGCACAAATCTATAGAAAAACCTTGATGGAGCGCGGAGCCGGAAGCGGAACTCCGAACCAGAAAATCCTCCACTTGCCAATCGAGTGTTATCCGAAGACCGACGGTTTAATCCTAAATCGAAGAAGGAGATCTCGGTCCACAACTCGTCATTCGACTCTAATTCTTGAGTAAGTTTGGGAATTTTTCGGCCACCAGATCCGCGAGTTGATCTCGTGACGCTGTGGAGGCGAGCCGTGTGCCCTCGCACATTTGGGACTGCTCTTTAGAGAGATTCTTCGCGCAAGTTATCGGATGAAAAACATGTACCAGACCGGGGTCCGGCGCTCTGAACACAGTCAGGTTCGAATGAACAACCTTATCGAACAAATCTACATCTTCTTTGCCCCAACCATGAATGTTCGTATCTAGACCGCCCACCATCATCAAGTCGGAATGGAAGATGCTCACAATACCGAAACCGAACTGTCTCCAATATCCGTGACGGTCGTCGATCCTAGCTTCGTTGCCGACCACATCTGGATCGTATTGGCTGAATACAATGGGGAAATACACAGTGTTGCCCTGTATCGTGTTCCAGCTAATTCGTTGGACGAGTCCCCCGTCGAAGATCATATCGACGTCGACGAAGAATAGGAGCGCATCCATGGAGAAAAGCTTCGCTCCGATCTCTAGAGCTTGCGCTCTGGAGAATTGGCCGCTCGCTTCAACCAGTTTGACATCGTGATCCTTGTATCTGAAAAGAGGATGTCGACTTTGACAGACATAATCATTGCAGTGATAATAAGTCATGGTTGAGCAGCGGTTCCCGGTGAAAGTTTTCCTCATCCCCGGTCAGCGGAGCCGAAATGACGTCCCGCGCTCCCCATAGGCTCATACTTGTTTCTGAACTCCTCCAAGAGCTGCTTAGGATCTCCCTCCATAGAAGTTCCCCCCTCCGGAGTTCTCGAAATAGACCACAGCCAGTGCGGTCGCGTGTTTTTTCAGCACACAATTCTTCTCGTATGTTAGGAGGAACCGCTGGAAGGCTTCTGATCGGCCGGCGAGTGGAACGATGAAGTGCACCTGTGGGTGAAGCGGATTCCTCTGTCACGTTTTCGCCTGCAGCGAGCTCTCGAGTAAGGAGCACTCGAGCACTCGCTCGCACGAATATCCACTCGTGACAGGTCGAGGAGGATCGATTTTCATCATATCGCCGAGGACCTTACTTTCTTAGGGGGACCCTCGTCTATGACTTTGACCATGGGTTCCGCGAAGCTCCTCCGGATATACGCGTGTCTCCTTACCGGGATGCTCATCCTCCGACCGCGGAACTTGCGATAACTCAATAGGAGATCCAAAATGTAGTCGATTCCCTGACCAGGGGTGTACCTGTCGAAGTAAGCTCAGGTGACCACCATTTGTTCCGTCCAGAGGAAGCGGAAATCTTTTCATAAAAAGGGGCATCTCGAACCTACCGAACATAACCGTACATGATGTCGCGAAACTCAATCACGCGACCTCTCTGCTTCGAATATCGATTGATCATCGTCATCAGATCTGATACCACCTGGAAGGTTGCCGGGGAAAGGAAAATTGGTCCAGGTCACAACCGGTGCGTGTTATTACATTATCATTATCATTGATCTGCGGGTCATCTCTGTTCACAGACTCGCTTGCTGAGTGACATCAGACACGACAATCACGGTACCCTATTGATTGCGAGCTCATTGTAGGACTCGATTCGGCGTCGCGGGTTCAGGCTGGCCGGACTGTAATAGTTCTTCGCGAAGAAGTCCCAAACTTGAACATCTTCCAGAGACATGGGCTTGTATTGTTTGAAGGGATGCTCGAGGAGTCGATTATCGATGGCTGGGCACTCTTCTCCATTTAATAATCTACATTCGCTTCCTGCAACCGACAGAATCATCAATTTCCTACGATGCTTTTCCGTGAGGCATCCCGTGACGATTCGGGCCGCGTACGAGGCGGCGTTCCCTCATTCTCGAGTAGTAGAAACCTTGTAACTTTAGCATGAGCGCAGCGTCCCGGTCGAGTTCAAGGATCTGGTGTCGGAGTTCGGCGGCTTTGACTTGCAGGAAGACTTTATGCATCAAGTACATCTGTTGAGGTCGTTTTATCGGATGAAGAGTGATGGCTTTCTGCAACACGGAGTCCGCAACGGCTTCGGCTTCGATCTCCCCTCGAAAATTGTTGTGAAATATCGACTGCATCTCGTACGACCATGTGCAAGGCACGCCTTCGAGGAGAACAGAAAGGGAAAGAGAGAGTAGTTCGTAAGGTTCCTCGACCCCGAGGTCTCGGGAGGGCTCGATACAAGAAACGCTGGGATCAGAGATTCAGGCATGTTTGATCTTAGTCTCGAAAATCCGAACACATCTGTTGGTTCTCAACTGACCAGCGAATTTGTGCACGCATCGACCAACCTCGACGTCTTCATGTGTTGAATAGAGATGCTCCAAGCAATACCTGGAAGAAAATAGGCTCACCAAAAAGCTCGCTTGGGATTCGTGCGGCGCGCATCGCGCGAACATCACCCAATGCAGCTCCTTTTCGATGTTCTCTCGAAGCGTTTTCGAAATACCTTATGTGCGGGCCTATGAGGCTTAAGGTTTTTCTGCTCATGATAATCCCTGGTCCTCCCATGCAAAAATTTTGGTTCGGCCCGAGATTGAGTTGGCCGTGCTCAGCTTTATTCCCCAGTCCAGCTTGACCTAGTGAGAGACAACATCATCATTATTCATTCGTGGAAGATCCCTCCCAAGAACACGTAGGTATGTGAAGTCGAGGATTTCAGACAACTTTTTTTCTCAAATCAATCTGAAAATCATATGCTTTTGAATTGGTCACGTCCTCATTCTTCCTCTTCGATATTCACCGATCAAGAGAGACTTCGATGAGTTGATGGACCGCAGGAAGAGTTCCAGGCGTTCAGTGTGCACGTATACGTCGTCATCACAACGCATGAACCATTCGTACTTGTCCAGAAAATTCTCGTACATATATTTGAGCATCATGAATGATTTCTTTTGCGGCGGGTAAGAGTCGTCCACGCTGCGTAAGGCGACTAGAGGTAGTCCTTGCTTGGAAACCTGCAATCGGAATTCGCTTTCTGGATCACACATCGAGCTGTGGACCCAACGATCGGCAGAAATCATTTCCGATTCCCTCGCTTCTACTCCTTGGAATATTCCGGTCCTCCCTGAGAAGAAAATGAGATGGACGAACCGTTCCCTCGGAGGAGAAAAAAAGCAAGCTCCCAGAGCTTGTTTGGCCCCATGTTTCGTATATGGCGACAGCCCGTGAGTCAATATATTTCTGAGCGGTCATGACACCTGAAAAACATTTTGGCATGAGCGTGCGGTGCGCGGTCAACAATGCTCCGCGCCTCTCGTGATACAGGACCACTGTCCTGGGCTCGATGCAATCGCTCCCCCGATTGTCTGCCAGGAAGCGGAGATCCCCAACAGCTCATGCCAGAGTGGCGGGAGACGATCGGAATTCGCTTTATATTCGGAGCTGCGCGTCGCTCGCTTCTGGAAATCAACCTTGTCTGTTCGACTCGAATTGTTCCTCAGCGGAGATCCGCTTCGGCGCGTGGTTGTGCTTATTCAAGGGTAACTATCAACGCGGTCCACGTTAGAGATTCAATGACCCGGTCAGCGTCAGTTTGAATGAATACCTGCCAGGCCGACTACCAGAATAAATGAATAATAATAATAACGAATGACACGATGAAAGCGAAAGGACCTTACCGGTGAAAAGCAGCCCGCTCTGACCGGCGGCGTCCGCGCTGACCAAGCTCTGCGCGATCCGGCGTGACGTTCTCCTTGCGACCTCCCACAATCCATTATCACAGCTACTGTTGTATCTGACTCGAACAAGAGTGACCTTTCAGTCATTATACCCTCGAGCAACCAGAGAATCTACAAGTCGCTGGACTGGTTCGAAGACAGGACGATGAAAATCTAACTCCAAACATCAGCTACGCAAATTGTTTTCAACCCCCTATCGCTCTCTTGTCAAAGCCGTCTCTGGGAAGTGTGCCCTCAGTCCTTCAAAAGGAATTTCGAACGGGCAGCGAGGGAGGAGTTCTCCAGATTTCCAGATGATATCGACTCGTAAGCCAAACGGGAAGCGAGGAGAGAACAGATCGAGTTCAGGACGCCGGAGGCCAGAAGCCACGGTTTTAGTGCGCTAGGATAACTCACCTCAGCCAATACAGAAGTTGAGAAGATATCGAACATCCAACAAGACAGCCCAAGAGCAGACTGCAGATAGCATTCAGATGTGTTCGGCGTAGCCTCACTCTCCTTGTGATTTCGGGTGAGCCCAAGAGAGGCTCGCGACCCCCGATCCTCATGGCGACCCGGTGTTCTCACTCCATGATTCCAGCGGGCTCATTCCTCCGCGGCTGCCTGTGGATCAAAGCGCATCTTGGAATGCTTCGCTCCGAGCTGTGATTCGAGCTGGAGTTCACTCAAAAAAGTAGACTCCACGACGGCAATATTCTATGTGCAGTATACACGGTAGAAATAAGGAAAAGTTCTCCGATTGGCATCGAAAGGGAACGGCTCCCGTCATGATATGATTCGATGAATAAGAGCGGTTGCCCCAAAGCGCCACTTCGACTCCGGATTCACTCGACTCAGTACACATGACTTTAGCTGAGGGTCTGCACTTCAGTCAAACGCTCCACATACGACGCAAATTCTCTAACGAGGAGTGGTTACACGAAGAACTTATCCGTTGGATGAGACGAACCGTTGAGGAATCACAATTAATAATAATCGATATCGACGTGAACAGGGCGATCAACGAACTCTTGGAGAAGAGTTCGACGTGATGCACATCTGGCACAGAACATATGCGCGCGCGATCGCTCTCCCGGCTTCGAGTGAACGATCTTTCACCAATTTTTTCTCTACTTCTCCTCCCGAACGGGTTACGCACCGAACACGTCATGGAGCAGCACAACATCTAGTTTCGGTCCCCGCGATGCTGTGAAACTTCCGACCGAACCGGAAACAACCAACAGAGCCACGAGAACGCCGCCATCGAAGCATTGAGAGAATGGCGTGGAAGCGCTTGAAGAGCGAGCCTTGGGAACACAATGCGACGATGAGCCGGTGCGGCTCTCCGATGATACGCTCCCAGATAAACTGACGCAACTTTTTTTCTTGTCAACGTTGCTTACCGTCTGCGCATCAGACTGCAGAGCTGCTGGATCTCGACGCAAGTGCTCACCGTCGTGGAGTAATCCGTTGACACGAGCTGCCGAACGAAAGCAGCTGACTGTGAGCACTCCGAGCGGATAGCGACTTATTGGACCGGCTCCTTGAGCTCTCTCGTGTTCAGGCGCTCGAACGACCAGTTCGACAGCCGTCGCCCGGGCAGCTTAAATATAGAAACAGCTCCTTCTCCGAGCGAGTCGAACGGGGTCGCTTTCCATGTCGCCGCGGAGGATGTAGAGACCGCTCCGACAGAGATTGCTCCGGATTCAGTCGTCGAGCTGGGCCTCCGAATGCTCGGTCTCGCAAGAGTCTACGACCGTGAGCGGTCGCTACTACTACCAACCACTTCCTGGAGCCGTGGTTTCCGGGAAAATCGAAATCTACACTGGAATTCGACCCTGACCCACACAGGACCCCTGCTCAGTCCTTCGGAGCAGCGGATACATCGAGATCTGCAAATAAGTTTCGAGACCGGAGCCGTTTGGGGATGTGTTCCCCGGAAAAACGACTCGGCACTTTTTCTGGCATGCGCGTGAAGAATCGTGGAGATCTTCGGACAAAGGATGCTGTGTTGGACCGGAGGAAAAAAATCCGATAGGAGTCGCTTACCTTGAAGGCCATCGATGCCGTGACGAGCCCGCTCGCCAATATGTTCAGTGATCGCTGTTGCAACGGTCCGGTGGTGCGGTGAATCTATGTTCGAAGTCTTTCATCCGCTGCTCTTCTGGCAGGGGTCGACTAAACAGATGTTTCGCATAAACGATTGCGCGGGTGGTCCAGAGACACACGCATCGCAGGAGTGTCAGAGGAGTTCAGCGTTTTTCGGGAATGTGCGGAAGACCTGGATGTTTCCCCTCCTGGGATTCCCTGCCCAGCCTTTAGGATTCATCTTCGCCGAATACAATCGGGTATTCGGTTCCAGGAATCGATAAGGGTCGTGTTCGCCAGAAGGACGACGACCGACGACCTCGCAGGGTTGCGGGACCCAATTCCGAATTCGCGCCGGGGAGGGGCTGTCGTTCCCGCATCAGTCCCTCACACCGACAAAGAGAGTCGGGCTAGCGAGCATTTACGATTCGGGGATCCCGATATGCAGTTTCTCGAGGAGACATCATTATAAGCGCAGGAATCCTCTTGATAGATTTCAGATAAATGGATCTTCGCTCCATCTGGGACGATCCCTTCGAATCCTTTGAGCGAGATCAACGAATACTCCGGGTCATCTCCCTTGCTGGGAGCCTACGCAGCTGGAATTACCTCGTCGGTGGGAAATTGGCAGAGGTCAAGGTCATTTCTCGCGTCGACTTCCCTCGTGGTTCCGCGGGATCGTACGAGAGCTTCACTGAGATTTTTGCAGGTTATACTGCCGATAAGTAGCGGATTGATACCTGGAACTTCCGAACATTCTGTCCTCCTACATGCCGTTGCCCTTTGTCCTCCCGGGAACCCGTGGATAATTGCTGTCGGGTCCGGATCCACTCTCCCAGCGAAGGGAAAAGCGAGCTCAACTTGAATATCATATTTTGATCGGATACTCGAATTTTTGTTTTGTAGCTTCTTCAGCTCGGGAAATCTCTCCCATCATTTATTCCACTGCTTAGAAATGACCGAGTGATAGGAACTAGAACATTGCGAAGCACCGGAGCTTCAACTCGGCAGCAGAGAGAAATTCCTAAATCGAATGGAACATCCAACCCCCCAAAACTTAACGGACTATAACCAGAATACTTACGTTACAGAACGACCATGAAGAGGATAGGATCTAAGAGCGCAAATGTTCATGACAAGGTTCAACAAGGGATTACCGTCAGGACAGCGAGCGGGAAGCGTCCAACTCCGAATAAAAATCACATATCTTACTAGAACAAATAAGAAGCCCTTCTCCCGCATATTATCCATTGATCAGAAAGGTCCGACCTCAACAAGAATGGTCGTCCCCGAACATTTTCCCGTCCCCCCTACCCAATACAGTAAGTCGTTCGATAACTGCCGCCTAACCGTCAGAGTCTTCGACGACCTCCGATGTCGAATCCGGAGCGCTCGTGCTACGATCATGCGAGGCCATCGAGCTGTCGGCTTCCGCGAACGACGCGCTGTGATCGTCAAAGCTGTCGTCGACCAAAAACGATGCACCGTCGGTGGGGTGAGAAGTCGTTTCGAGGATCGATTGCTCGATCACACTCTGATCGAAATCGTCTTCCTCCTCGAAAGCCTTATCGTACGCAGCTTCCTCGATATGGCGCTGCTTTTCGTCCTCGTCGCTCGAGGCCGGCGCCGACGGACTTTGGCTCTCGCTCGAGAGAACCGGACTTGGGGTTCGTTTCACAACAGCAACCGAACGCCTCTTTGACTTTGCGGGGGAGGTGGACGGGATTTCTTCCGGATCTTCGCTCGCCGTTTCTTCCATTTGTTCCTTGACGCTCGCTGGGTTGCAATCCGAGCTAGATTCCGAGTCGGATATCCGATTGCGCTTGGGACGCTTCTGTTTGTTAATGATGCTATCCTCCTCGTCATCGCTTTCGATAACTTCGAACTTTCTGCTCCCTCCGCTGTGGACGCTGAGTGGGGAAGCCGCTTCGTGGGGAGACTGCGTGCGTTCTGCAGCTGCTGACGACTCCGGAACTTCATCTGATTTTCGTTTTTGGCCCAAGATCGCGGCCTTGACGTCATCTTTCTTCTTCGAAGGTTCCTCATCGTCTGACACTATGACGCATTCGCTGTCGTCGGCAGACGCCTCCAGTCGACTAGGCTTCGACTCGTATACTATGCTGACCTCCTCGTCGTCGGAGCTCTCGCGTTGCCTCTGTCTCGGCTGCACCTTCGGTTTCTCATCTTCACTATCGTCGTCTAGAATGATGCAATCACTCGATGCATCGCTTTCCGACCTGAAGAAGAATAGAGTCGCGCTTCAGGAAGACGGCGCTTCGTCCCGGAATATTTCGCGTAGAGTCACTCGCCCTAGATCCTTACCCAGCCGAGTCACGTTCGACCCTTGGGGGCTCGTCGCGGTACACGGGCGGCAGGTGAGCTGTAGCCATTCGCGCGGCGAGATTCCTCTGTTGAGCTGAACGACTGTTCACGTCCGGAACCAGATGCGGATTACGTCGAAGATCTTCCTCGATGATCTCCGCATCCTTCTCTCGTAGGACCCGCGCTCTTTGGACCTGGGAATCAGGATCGTGATTGAGTGAATACGCTCGTAATCGCAATCTCCGGACGAAGACTCCAACACGTCCAGAGCGTCGAGATCCTTCGCGGCCCTCCGGAGTGGCGGTGCTCTCACCTGGTGTGTTATGAATTCTCTCTGTTGCTCGGAAACGTCCTCTTTCTCTTCCTCGGTGGAGAACATTAAATCATGGTGAGATACACCGAATACCATGTTGGTGCTCATCAGGAAAGACTTGTGAATTTCTATCTCCTTGGACAATAATTTTGTGTGCATTTGTTCTAATTGAACTTGCGTCTCAGATCGGAGCGGATCGTTGAGAACAAAAAGATCTCGCAGCTGACTGCGGGTGAAATATCTGGAAGATTTAAGGAGACAACGTCTTGGACCTCGCACGGTGAGGCTGAGCGTGGCAATCTGTTCATTCGGTGACCAGTCCAGAGTCCTGACCCTCGAGGAGGTCTCTGAACTCAATGCATGTATGTATGTGTATGCATACCTGGTGGGATCGGCGACGTTCCCAGTCGTCTGCTTGATAATCGAATCCTTGAAAATCTGACGCGCGTAAATCTTCTCCTCCACAGTACCGCAGGTGATGAGTCTGTACACAAGAACATCTCGAGTCTGACCAATACGGAAAGCACGATCAACTGCTTGCGCGTCCGTGGCTGGGTTCCAATTAGGATCGTAGATAATGACGCGGTCGGCGTTCGTCAAGGTCAAACCTACGCCACCGACCTGAAGAGGGAATAACCTCATGAAGTCCGCTCAAAGTGGGTCGGCCGCACGCCCCTGACATGTCGAATTCTGCCGATAAAAAAACAAGATAATCGCTTCGTACTTGCGTGGTGAGAAGGAAAACGTCGCTTCCTTGTTTCTGGAAGGTGTCCACGATGCGTTTCCTCTCAGCGGTCTTGTGTATGGTTCCATCCAGACGCGAGATCGTGAAACGATGCGATCTGAGGATGCGTTGAATCATGTCTAGGATTCTCCGGGATGTAGAAAATATCAGCGTTCGATGTCCTGGAAGCAGAGTCTCGTTCAATCACCCCGAGATTCGGATCGATATCAGAATTGTCAGTTTCGTTTGTGAGGGAAGTTCCCCGCAGATTTCCCGGGTCCTAACCTTCTTCGCGAAGCTGTTCCGTAAGTTTCAACATGAGTCGCATCTTTCCGCTCTCGTTCAAGAGATCCTCGTCACTGACGTCGTCGATGGAGAACGGGCAATGTTTGTCATCCTCGAGGAACTCCTGAATTTCCGCTTCCGTCATGTCGTCGCACAAACCTGTCACGGAGAGCCAAGCGTCGCTTCATCAGAATTAGGAAACCGTCGAATGAATAATTGTTCCAAATTGCGAATCGCCTCGTCGCGACGCTTTTTCTCCGCCTTCATTCCATCGGATACGCTCGGAAGGCTCGGCGATTACCCACCCAACTGAACGCAGGCTTTCTTTGGAAGTAAGCGTGGGTGATCACAAATTTTTTTCAGTATGTTCAGTTGCACGAGAGGAGACTTCGAAGTGAGCAGAATGGCTTTCACGTCGTCGGACTGCAGAAAGTCCCGATAGAGCTCTTGTTGAGTTTCAGAGAGATAAGTCCACAGCACGAGATCTTCTTTTTGCGCCTGCAACATTCATGAATGAATTCACGGTTCTCCCGCTTCTCCAATTGATTATAGGCAATGAAATCTCCGCTATCCCGACCTCGATTCGAGGCCCGGTTCCGCTGCGGAAGACTTCTGCCTTCGTTCGTCGCAAGAAGTACGGTGCGATCATCTCCTTGAGCTGTTTCGCCAGTTGAACACCCATTTCTCGTTCACCTGGTTTCGCGTCACGTTCCCGTCCCCTGGAAACGAATGTCACGCTGTGAGCAATCCGAACTGAGGTATTCTCAGGAAGACTCGATCGTTGATAGATTAGGAAGCGAATCACAAACCTATTTATTGGAGTTTCGAAATCCTGCTTGAATCCTGCGAGATTTCCGAAAAGCGTTCCCTGATGCGTGAAATGATACAAGCTCCACAGCTCACTGAGGTTGTTCTGAACCGCTGTTCCGGTCAGCACCTGCGGACATAGAAACCATAATACGGTCGCCGTCCCCGATACCAATGTGGAGAAACGCGAAACACTGATTGTGAGGTATTTCGCTGAACGAGCAATGATCTTCGTAGGCTCATCATTTACCAATCGATGATGTGCTGGCAAACCGAAAACAGCGGACTGCGTCTTTGTGGGATTCTTAATCTTATGACCCTCGTCTAGGATCACGTAATCCCAGATGAATCTACGGCTCCCGTTGTTCCGTAGATCTTCGTGCCGCGTCGTGACCATGCCATACGTTGTCAATATCACACCTCCGCGGTTCATCACCTGGACGCGGAGAGAATGTGAACTCAAGTACCAGCGTCCGGCAAGCGTTCGCCGAATCTGTGAGAGGATTTACAGCCTGATACCAGGCTGAAACTCTTTGGGACCACGATGCGACCGAGTGTCCACCCACTTTTTTGAGGAAGAGCTCTTTCTCTCGCTTGGTTGCCGAGTGGTAATCGTATACAGTGATGCCGGGTGCCCATTTCTCGAATTCAGTGCACCAGTTGCCGATTAGCGACACGGGCATGATGAGGAGAACCGACTTCACTTTCTCCATGTCGAAAAGTCCTGCGGAAGATGACGAGGTCAAATACAGCCGCAGGTTCCATCCCTATAGTATTATGCCTGAGCTAGGGGAACGCGGTCCAACACGTCCATGTGTGTCCCAACTCACCGGCAAGATAGGCGATTACTTGGATGGTTTTACCCAAACCCATATCATCTCCTAGAACACCGCCTTTCTTCCGCTGATGGAGTCTGTACATCCATTTGAGAGCGTCGATTTGATAAGGGAATAGCCTCGACTGGATTTTCTTGTGTAAGTAATATCCCGGTGTGAGCTCCACCATCTGCAGAAACAGAGTAAATTAATAGTCGACATCGCTGTCGCCATCAGTTCTCCGCCCGACGCGATGTCTCTCGAGCGCACGGCCACCGTTCCCGACGTCAGACTCGTTACCGGAGAGTCACCGATCAGCTTTCAGTCGGTCAGCGAATTGAATGTCGAAAATCTTTTCGAGTACGCCAATCTCTTAGCAAAGAATTCAGTAGATGGATCTATTGGCTTGCCTCCTCTCCCATCTTAGCTCCTTCCTCCTCAGGTGCTGAATCTTCGCTCCCTTGCTCCTCGAGGGCTTCCCGCAGCGTCTGAACCTTGGATTTGATTCGTTCATCATTTGGGGTAATTCTGGAATGGATATCTGTTTTATGAAGTGGCATCTCCCGCGTAAATCATGGAGTTCCGGAAAGGAACGAGAAGTTAGAAGCGCCGCTATGGGGCGAGCTTCGTTCAGCGTAGCGATTCGGGAGCCTTAGGCCCACATGTTGTTTGGACCACGGTTTCGGCTCGGTCGGCACGAATCTATTCCCGCTTCCACATCGCTGAAAACGACGGTGCACTGTACACATCGCACTTTCCGAAGTGGAAGGCTCCCCGCACGATTGTTCTCACGATACGTATGTATATCCAGTCTCGACCTCGCTCTTACGGGAGACGTGCGGATACACCGAGAATCGGCTCAAGTGTCACAAGAACTGAATCTGACGGAGCCTCAGCTCGGTACGTATTCGAGTAGCGAAGCTCCTCGGGGCAATCCCGACGAGCTTGTCGAACAGAGAGTACAGTCCCCGCCTATAATCAGCTGATGGATCAAGACAGGAAATAGGGCCCGCGATGCAGTTTCAGTCTAAGATTCAGGACTTTTTTTCCGAGACCGGCTCGGATGCATCTCTTCGTTGACGGGAACCCCCGGTAGGTTGACAGCATCAGGGAGTCGACCGAGTCGATCTCAGAGACTCCGTACCGGTGCTGAAGCGATCGACTCCTTAATGGCGGCTATCCCACGATCCACGACTCATTAGCTCATTAGGGATTCCCCATATCGTGGCTCCTTAAGGAGGACATAGTCATCTTCCGGAGGAGAAAAACGAAGTTCAGCTCACGTCGGGACGTGTCCACTCGAGATGGTACTTCGCTAACCGTTGCTGATCGTCACTCACTTGAGAGCATCTTCGAACAATGTCAAGCATTCTTGCAGCTTGCCCTCGGCTAAGAGATTCCTGCCGCGTTTCTTGAGATCGCCGTACTCCATTGTGCTCTGGATCTACGGGAGATCGCGAGTTAAAAAACTGAGAAATCACATTCGGTGCACCGGCTCCCGAAGACACAAGTTTGCCGCGCCGACAGGGGGCGCTGTGAGTGATGCTCGACCCGCGAAAGTTCAAAGGCGGAATGTGTCTCGTCTTTTCCAGATACCTACTGTTTTGAGTTACTCGTAACAATTCCCATTGCCGCAAGTCGCCGGCATTGTCTCTCGCTCCCGGTCCATGGGCGGGCATCAACATGCTTCAATCCGGCTTCGTAGACCCGCTACATGGATGTCTTTTTCCGGGAACGAACTGGACTCCTGAGTATTGATGAAAGCGACGGCGTATTTCCGTTTGACACTCAGTGACGTATTTCACTCAGACCGTGGCAGCGTCCCTCTCGACTATCGACCCTTCGTGCTCGAGTTCCGCTCCGTTTCGACCCCCGTTTTTTCAGTATAACGCAGCTCTGATTCGGACAGGGCCCTCCAGGGGTCGATCGGGCTGACGAGCGTATCGTGGGCTTCCCGCTTCTCGGAATTCTAGCCTCTGAGAGGCCGAGCCCGGAAGATAGCGGTTCCCCTCAGAAGTCGGGATGCCAAAACCGTGGGACCTCCGCTGAATCAGATCTTCTTCTCCCCAAATGTGGAGGTCCGTACGTGGGGAGCTGATACGGACCGGCAGCCGATCACGTTGTATGTTTCCCCCAGCGGCATCCTCCCAGTTTAACTCGTTCTCCCGTCATGAAGTCGGACGGACACCGAATTCTTTCCTGAACACTGACAGAGTCCATCTTGATGAGTTCCAAGCGGAGGAAGCCACATGTCAATGAGAACTATTATTCGAGAGACGCTGGAGAGTCCGGTCAGCAGACTCCAGGCCCAGGATAGGAGTTCAAGAAGACCTAGTTTGGAATCCCTTGAAACGAGACGCTGTCTTGGAAGGCATGGAATAAGCAAGGAGTGCAATTCGCCTCCCGTCACCCCCTCGATGATGATTCGCTCCGCTACCTGCACGTCTGAGGCCAACGTGCTCGCCGAACATATTTCCGCGCTCCCGGGGAGTTGTTTTTTCGGCGATTCTGATGATTCGAACTTCATTGTGTGCGTGTTCGCATGGGACGCATTCCTCGCCGAGGGGTTGCCTTATTTTCCGAGCACCAGTTCTACTTGGAGAGTCTGAACCGAATCGTCGCGCATATCGAACATCCCGTGAATAACCCCGTGGTCCCCGATCTTGTTTATATCATTAAGAACGTATTCTCTACTTGAGAAGGGATGGCCAAGCGATACCCTGAGAGACGGTAAGTCCTAGATCTAGATGAAGCGGACATCCAGCCCGACCCTGGGCGGGGGTAAGGAACATTATCTCACCCTGCGAGGATCTCCCAGAGGAGACTCGGAGAGTCGCCCCGGAGTTGCCCATTTCCCTGTCGATTCGAATATGTGCCCTGAGGGAGTATAGATCGGTAGCTCGGAGTCTAATCGGTCACTGATCGTTTCAGCGGCGATACGGCAAGAGCGACGGTGAGTTTTGCCTCGAATCGGAGGGCTCTCCGATTTGTTCGGAGAGCTCTGATTCTAGAAACGTCGGGGTCGATCAGACTTTGAACCTCCCGAGCATCCTTCGGGTACAGTGTGACGAAGCCGGGACCTAGAGCTCGGGGCCTCGACTGCGAGGGAATTCCACCGAAGGTTCCGATGTAGAGTTTGATTGCTCTCGTGGGGTCGCGACCTGTCCAAACGTGCTTGTCGTATACCTTTAAATTGAAATCCAACTTGCAGAATGATCCTGTCACGGCGAGAATTGGTGAGGAGGATGGATCATTTTGCCTAGATTCCTGGAATAGGGAGTCCTAGCGAATCCAAGGAGCCAGAGCGGAACGTAAGGTGCATGTTTACGTAGAATCTTTTCTAATCAAATCACATCCGTCTCCCCAAGAGCCCTCGACGTCCGACCTGTTACGGAGAAGACCTTCCGACACAAGAGAATCGATCTCCGAGCCCATCGACCTGTCGGTCAGAGCCCCTCCGAGTCCTTCGGCTACGCGGAGTACGTTCCCTGGATTAAGCAGGAAAATGCCAATGAAAATCGGAGCGCGTAGAAAACCGGCGCAAGAAACCAACGGGGACATGCCGAGCACCTCCAGAGGCCCGACGGACGTAGAGGAGATATCTTTCCCGGAAATGATAGACAGTGACGATGGAATGCGGAGCCCAAACTTTCCGACCAAAAGAAGATTTTTCGGAAAAGGAGACGAAGGAGAGGAAGAGGACGAAAGACGTCCGCCTCTGAAATCGGACGCCCGGCTCGAGCGTGCTTTCGGCGTGACACAGAGACCTGCGCCCATAGACATTCAGACTTGGCTGAACGGCGGTCGTTGTGGGATGCTGAGCCCATGGAAAGGAAGCCGGCGTCGAACCATTGCAGAGTCTCACGACTCTTGACTCCGTCTGCAATCGCAAAAACATGCGGACGTTTGTTGCCGCCAGAAGACCTCCGAACGTAATGGAGCTTTTGCTCTGAAGCTCCCTCTGGAGCATCCCTCATTTTATCTTTCACGAAGGATAACGTGGCTAAACATTCATTGTATTCTCCTGACCAATTACCGAAAAAATGACTAAAACATATATTCTTTAACGTACCGAAGTCACGTAATTTACCTTCTGCCAGATACGGGAGATTCGGCCGATCGGGCTCTGTTTCATAGGTTAAGCAATGCTTCGCCGATCAAACCGCACCGCGCGCCCTGCCCCAGTCAAACGGAATTTCCTGAAGAGTCATCTCGGAGATTCAGGGATAGAAGCTCCTAAGATCCCTCTTTGACGCGACGAGTTCGAGTTCAGTTATTCCAGAGTCAGGAAGTCAAGCTCCACTGTCGTGTCTTTTCATGGGGAATCCGCCCTCTCCCAGGCAGTCGCGGGCCACGACTCGTGGCTGGGATAATGTCCGAAAACACGAGAAACAAGACACACTCACACATACCGCACTCGGACCGAATATATTATCCGTCGGAGCGATCTGAACATATGTTTCAGGAAAGACTCTGGATCGACATAAGTTTTTCAGACATGGCCAAAGACCGGCGGGAAAGGAGGGGACGTGTCTGGAGGTCCGGCAGGATATAATATATGTAGCAATGTATTGCTCGCTCACTTGTCCGATTTCATATTCGGTCCCCTCCCCCCCCCCTCTCTTGTGGAATACAGTAGCTCCTGTTCATAGGAAGTGACCGACACAACGTGATACGAGGAGGTGGAGTTTCTACGCAGATAGAGGGCAGTATCTCCGGAGGAGACCACCGGGCTATATCTATTTCCCAATCGCCGAGAGGGTCATCACTCTATTCGTGTACCGATCTAGTTGAGCAAGTCGTTGTACCTAGGCTTATTCGAGAGAGATGATGAAAGAGAAGGTAAAATGTAACCCAGATACATGTGTACATAGAAGCCGAAAAGCTACCGACCGCGCACGCGGTCGAGTGGGACGTTTTCGTTGTTCAGTGAAGAGGTGGAGTAGCTCTGGTTGTTTTTCTTTCTACTGGTTGCTACTGGATGGTTATTATTTGGCATTATGGTAATGATGACGGGCAGGCCGTCATCAACCGTCAAAACAAGTCGAGTCTCTTCTCCGCGCGTTAGATAATCTGATGAAATACAAAAATCTGTCTGGGTGGTCGCCTCCGTTCCCCAAGTCGATCGCCGTCGGACGTAGCCATTGGCCCACTCAATCGCTCGTTCGCTCCTCCGTCTGTCCGTTTATCCGGCTACCGAATTCCACGCTCACGGTAGTCTGGTCGTAAGATCGTCATCGCTTCGAATGCGCCCCTTTCTTCCGACCTCGTCTTGAAACAAATACTCTTCAAAAACCTCGTTTGTTCAGACACCTGATTGAAATGTCAGTCAGAGTCAGTCTCGTTCCCGCGATACCTGATTGAGAAAGGTTCATTGCTACTGCTGTGGCTGGACGCGAAAATCCGACATTGGTTCCGAATCGCACTCTGAACGAGGTTCGAACGTCTCGGAATACATCGCACGGAGCGGAGGAAGAACTGGAGTTCTCTTCGGAATCGGGAAACTTCGGGTTTTCAACAATTGTATCGAGGGCCAGACCATCCACATGGAACGAAGCGAAGTCAGAGGCGAGAGATGATGAGCGACAGCGATACGAAGCCGATTGAGTGAGGGAGGCTGAAATTCCATCGTGCACCGATGCCAGGTTGTGATTTCATTGAGCTTGTTTTTAAATTGTTTGTAACGATGAGTGCCGGGCGCGTATCCTCTCCGTACGCTCCGGATTCACCGTTATAGTGGAGAAGAAAAACGCAGGAAAATTTATCAGGTCGGCACCATGATCCAATGACTGGGCAGCTGGGAACGCGCAGCTGTTCGCCACGCGTAGCTATCCACGGGGCCGTCCGTTCGATTACGAGCGTCAAAGAGACAAATTCGACGTTTTCTAGAAAGACATTTCGCTTCCTTCATCGTTCCGTTCGATCCCTTTCTTCTATTCGCTCACTTTTCGCTGATCCGATCGAGTAGGAGGCAAAGAGAGCGCTGAACATGTCGGGTCATGGAATTGCTGCGGCGCGCGACAGGCGATTCGATACCGGCCATGATCCATGATGATTTGCCGAATATCCCTGGATGCGAAAATCGCCGGCCGACCATTGAGTCGAGCGAAAAACTTCTTCGGTCTCTCCTGAGCCTGTTTCTGACAATCGTCGTCCCTGAGATTTATTTTTCCTTCGAGAAGAGAATGAGCCCCATTTGCATATGGACTTCCGAGACGGAACGAAAAAAGAGCCCGGCGCGTGCGGTGTCAACGACGAGCTCATTTTGACGAGTCCTCCCACTCGATCATCCAGAGGAAGCGATGGCTTCTCATTGAAGTATACCGGTGCCTTCCTCGGAGGTGAAGACTCGCAGGGGCGGCCCCTTCAATTTTCGCTTCAAACAGTGCGGGGTGCCTGTTCGGTTCAACGCTGCCCGATCGCTATCTCGCATTGATATTACTTAAGTCCTAGGTACCACCTATCATTCGGTTCCGACTGCTGCTGCTGCTCTCTCTATCTGAGGAATCGGCTCGCAGCAAAGCTATCTCGGTGAGTACCTCAAACGTTCAACGCGCTAGTTGGAATAGACGGACGACCTGCCGGCCGGCGCGGCGGTACACACTGCAAAGCTACTTAGGGGTTGGTCGATAAATTCGCGCATTTTTATGAGGACAGTTCTAGCGCATCGCGGCAAGGTGAGAATGTACCTACCCCCACTTGCTTCGAGGACCCCCGCTCCCAGCCATGGGTCAGCGCGAGGAAACGGTGGTCGAGTCTTTCGGGGCGAAATATCGCTCGAGATCTTAGCTCCATACGCCATCATTCACAAACTAAGCAAAAGGGAGCTGGAGAACCGTTAGCGGTGAAAATAAAAGTCGCTCTTCTCTCGGCTAGCATCGTTGAATCGACACGCGAAATGAAGCTGTCACTTTTGTCTTCAAAGAAAATTTCTACCCTCGTTGATCGCCCTCGTATGTTTTGTCGTTTTCAGTAACAGCGCCTTCGGCAGCGGAGGGACGAGATAGAAAAATACAAGATACGTTTTTTCTTCAATCGATTCCCGTGCTCAGAAAACAATGACACTCTTTCAGTCTCCCGTTCGTTTCCCCAACGCGGCTGCTGTCGTAGTCGTCTCCGATGATTTCAGAGCTCTTCCCCGTCTACCGACAACCAGCTCAAAGTGATTGGATCCCGGGCGTCTACGACGACGCGAGCACCTCGTCGGAAAGATCGAAGAACGACGGTGAAGATCTGGGGAACGAGCAGGAGGAGACGACCTGCTCGTGTTCACCAGAACGCGCCAAGTGTTGATTATTGGAGTGGTCTGTCAATGTCGGAAACTCACCCGGAATCGGTCGCTACCGCGGTCCACGGAGCGACAAGGGATTCGGACGGAGAAGTCGATGCTTGACAGTTTTAAGAGCCCGCCAGGATTAGAGAAATAGTGGAGAATGAAGAATACAGAAAAGCGCCGAGCTACCTCACAGTCAAATCCGCGCATCGGATCTACGCGGCTCATAAATCAAGCCCGTATCATCACCCACGGTTTCGTCACTGAAAAAACACCGCTCTCTTTCTACCTGTCTCCCTACTTAGTTAGCTGGCCATGCTCATAGTTCGCTGCGAAAACTATCGTTCAGCAGGTGATTTGGGCACACGACCAGCTTGTAGCTCTTTTTCTCGATGCTCCTCCTCTGGTCAGTACCTAATACCGCACCATAGACTGTAATTTAATCTCAGCCTTCGCGGTGCCCAACGGTATTCAGAATTCCGCGCCTCGAAGCCTCTCCGGTGATCATGGGTGCTCTATGCTCAGTCGTTCGATGGTTTCAAGAAACCCGATTCTCCTTAATGAAGCTGCCGTTCTCGATGACGGATGCTCAGCAGAAAAAACTCGGAAGAACCCCTTGCGTCCCGGCACTAGAACTAGAGACGGAGTGCTCACGTTCGCTGGCATCCTGAGCTTGCGTCTTTCTTGCAAGACGGAACGGCAGACGTGTTTTCAGTCGAGAAGCGATCTACTTAGCGGCATGCTCGATGTTCGCGCCGTGTCAGAGCGGACATCAAGAACTCCAAAAGCGAAGCCACCGATAATTATTGTACCGCTGACATTTTCCGCAGCGACAGAAGCAGTTACAGGAGCGTAGTTTCTGAACCCCCTGTCGCGATCCGAAGAAGTGCCGAAGTCCGTCGAATCCCGCAGAGACTAAAGACACCGATGTTTGGAGAGCGGCAACATTTTGCGTCAAGAATAAAGCGGAGCCGTTCTAGCGTGAGGGTCGCATGATTTCCGACTTTGGAATTCTCGAAAAGTCCGATCTTCACTCATGACGTCACCGGTGTCAACTAGGCTCGGAGAATCGCGGAAGTTCGCCTATTCGTGAGTTGAGGCTTCGCGGAGCATTCACGATCCGATTCACGTCTCACCGTCTGCATCGAGCGAGGCTTACGTTATCGCCCGAAGCTGCTTGTAAAGACGGTTAGCGCGCGGATATGATGGATGATGGAATTACTGATTAGAACAATGAATGGGCGAAACGCTGGTCGCTCGCATGGGCCGCAGAGTATTGCAGGAATTCCGCGCTCTAGAGGCAGTGTTTGGAGAACAAAACGATCGAATAAACGGTACAATTATTGAATCCGTCAAATCTCCCGAGCTTGAGCGTTGCTGCAGTCGACGGTGGCGGCGACTGGAACCGACGTCTGCGCAATAGCTAATTTGTCCTTGGGGCCTCTCTCTTCATGAATGTTCCCATGACGAACGTTGAGAGGTTTCGATATGCCCCCGTTTCTCACGATGCCGTCAGCCACTGCGTGATAGCGGGCACCCCGTTTTCTTCGTTTTGAGACAACGTGCAGTGTGTACTACTCCATACAAGTCGAGCAGGCCGAGAGATGCCCCCGATACAAAACGTGGGAACTCAGCTTCAGCTAATCGATACTATTCCACAATGAGGCCATCATGGGAAGTTCTACAACTCATTTTGTCGGGGAGTCTCGGAGTCGTGCCCGCGGCCATAAGAGATCGAGTACTGCCGAGTCGGCATCGCCAACCACGAGACGGATTCCTCCGCCTCGAAAACAAGGTTCGGCTCTACGGAAATCGCGATCCGTCTGAAATGCCGATCGGACCTCATCTTCGGATATTCGGGTTCGGGCCTACGTTTGGAGAACCGTCAAGGTCGTTGCTGATATAGTCATCAGAACTCGGTGTTTGTTTGAACAAACGATGTCCGCCATTCCTTCCGTCATGTCGCCAAATTAGGGTTGACTTCAAGGACGCGATGTGCATGTCCTCCGAGACATTCGGACCGTCTTGACACACGAAGCCTACAGTCGGTAATGATAGTGCTTGGGGGCATTGACTTTATGTGACGAGATCCGTAGACCACGTCGTGCCATACAGTGATGCAGAAGGAAGGGAACGGCGACAACTTGGAGAGGTCGATCGACTCGAGACGTCGGACCAGTAGCGGCCAAGTTCCTTAAATCATTGTGCGTGAGCGACGTCATCCGCCGACACGATTGAGTCATTACTAGCCAAGGAAATTAGCGCTGATAGGTTTGCGCTCCGACGCGCGCTATTCGCGACGTCAACAGAATGTCATGGCTCGGGATCAATTAAGTAGGTATATATTCCTAGGTACAGTGAAACCGAAAAAACTGGAGTCTGCTCAGTCGGGCTGACCCACATTGCCTCCGAGAAAAATCCCCATAGTCGTGTCACCATTAAAAACGTTGTAATACAGTCACACACGCGCCCACGTCGGTTTTCGTAGATGACAGGACCGAAGCGGAGAGACGCCAAGTTGAACGTCGACCCAGATGTCACCGCAGACCGTAGAACAATTTGGGGCGCCCAACCCTCGAAATCATCGGTAATCAGGTACACATTAAGAGGAATGTAAATAAACCAGACTCGTTTTCGCTCTAGGCGTTTCTTCCCCGACTCCTCGCTAGTTCCGAATTCGTCCCGAGCGCACACTGCTAAACATAGGGTCGGCTCAGGCGACAGACGTAGTCTGAGGTTTGGGTGCCGATTCTGGCTACTGTTTCGATCAGAATTTGTGAATGCTTACTTCGTCTGGTGACCGACGGCGAGAGTCGTCAGACGACTCGGTGATTCATTCTGAGCGCCGAGTTCGGACAGCGAGAAGAATCTCTTCGAGCGACTCCTTGGATAAATCTTCGGATCTCACAGCTCATTTCTGAGGCATGTATCACCGGTTCTGTCATTCAGAGCCTTCATCCACCGATCTGTGGAACAATTCGCGCCCCGCGCTCACATCCTGTTGTTTGTCCATTCAGGGTGTTACCTATGACCGGAACCTTCGAAGGAAGCTCCGAGCTGATACTCGAAAGCAGAAGCGACTCGGAGGTACAGGGAGCAGAATAACAGGCTCAAAGGGTTTGGAGAATCGTTTCGGAAGCGTAGGGGTCGTAAAACAAGGAGCTCGTGAACATCGTCGTAACGGCTCGTAAACATGCAGATGATACAGAAGAAGAGCAAAAGTACCTACATCTATATAAAGCGGGACGGCTGCTTAGGGTCACTCAAGTAGAGCACCACGCCTCTATTTGTATACAAACGAGTGTTGATTTAGAACTTGAATCCTACACGGGAACCATTGCGGCCGAAGACAGTATCAGTCGACTTCATTTTAGCGTGAAACGAAAGTCAGGTAGAGCTTCCCTGCTCGTTAGCTGTATCAGGAGGGATCGGAGATCCGATGTCTCAAAGATCTCCGCCTGAAGGAATCACTGAGGAAGCTCGAAGATACGGATCTCATGTCTCTTTCAGTACATCTTATGTCTCGCGTTCTTCATTCTCTCCGAGCGCTCGCGAATTTATCGTCGACGTCGGCAGGAAGCTGAGAGGAATCGAAATTTAGGTGCTTATGTTCGACTACTGACCACCCGCAGCCGACATATATCTGACTTAGGTTCGTTAGCGACGCTACTCTCGCTGCCCTCCTCTTCCGTCTCCCTTCTTTTCCGTCTGTTGAGGGTAGATAGCCGCTAAATCCGCTCCGAATTGTCACTGAAGATCTCCGAACAGAGTACGTCGGCTCCGGCGTTCGGTCGATGGGAACGGAACCATAAAGACGGTTTTCGACTACGCTAAATGTCCTCGTGTCTTTCTTGTTTGTTTTATGGCGGACTCAGTCCTCGTAGGAGACGTGGTCCGCTGATCCGACGAGCCAGCGACCTTTCGGCTCCGTAACGAGGGGCCGTCAGCTTGACGTCCACCCCTTTTAGCCGTACGCCAATTAATACATTCGCACGCACTAAAATTCACGGGGTCGACACTCGACACTTCGCTTGAGCTTGAGCTACGTGGTCGCGTGATCCGCTGTCCGGTTTCCGTGCGTCAGAAATGAGACAGAAGTTAAGCTTGAGCAAGAGTTGTAAGCCTTCCCTATGTGATCCCGTGAGCAAGGCTGCCCCCGCTCCGCAGCGTCGGCGGAGAGACGAGCGTGGAACGAGTCGAAGAAGACATCCCCAATCGGCTAACGACAAGAGCGTCTGACGACAAACATTCGCTCAAGAGTATCAACGACCAAACAAACAATATACATTTTCGAAAGAATGCCCATCAGATGAGATAATTGTGATCCGGTCTCTGTTTCCATGATTGAGACGGGATCAGATCGCTTTTCGCCGCGGTAATTCCTGGTTAGATTGGTAAGTACAATCTTGTGTCGGCGAAAACAAGTCTGACCAGCGGACAAATGAACCGTGTGTTCCTTTCGATGGAAATTTTTCAGCCACGTGGACAAGTACTGGTCAGCAGGATCCTGTTTCGCTGCCTCGCCGCTCGGAGCTTTGTCGATCGTGGAAGAGCATCCCTTTGGGCTCGAGGCCGCCAGGCCGAAACGCTGTGACTTCGAGAAACATCGGGAAAATCACCGCTCTCTGAAGCACAAGTCGCGAACCTCGCTGCGCTCCTATTGCGGGAGCGTTCGCGTACCGGTTCTATCGTCGACCGAGCGTCGATCAGAGCTTCGAGTGAATTCATAACCGTCGGCGGCGTACCTCCGACCGGTAGCGAGCATGAGGTTTATGCGATGAGAGCGGCGACCTCAACGAGCACGACGTAGACGCCGCAGGTTCTTTATGGTCAAGCAGACTTAGGTGTGAATATGTGTTATCTTCCGATCTCGCCGAAATACTCCTGAGTGAGCTAAATTGAAAGTTTCCTGACACCGACGCATTCATCACCTCGGGCTAAGGGAAGGGTGGAGCGAGTGAGAACTCCACGGTAGAACACCGATGTGGATCCGCTTCATTGTTTCGATCGTTCTCGAAGGTTTATCGTTACTGTGCCGCGAATCTCGACTGCAGTCGGAGTTTTCCTAGTCGACCCTTGGGCTGGGGGAAATGGGAACCATTTGTACGACGAGAAAATCTTCGACGAGCTCATTGTCTGGCCACGGCACAGGACTCGCAGCACGCCCAGACCGTGTTGTCATCGGAAGAACCAGCCCCCATGGAACTCAAGTTAAGCTAGGGCTCGACGACGTCCGCATTCGCGTGTGGTTCTCGGTAGGCATTATTCACACTTGTCAGGGGCAGATTATCAGCGAAAGTTTTATATCTCAATTAATAAATGAAAAATATGCTCAGACTCCTTGGTCCACAAAGTTTACGCGCGACGAGATTCTTTCAAAAAGAAGTCCACGACGACAAGGTGCGCGACCGGCGCGAGACCGTAAATGAACACCTGCGTAAGAAAAATAATGTCTTCTCACTAGTGTTGACTCGGCAGTACGTCTACAAGCGTCGAATAGATTATTCACCCTTGAAACGACCGGAGGGACTCGATACAGTAAGTCAGAGGGAAACCATCGAAATATTTTGAAAATGATCTGAGGTCTGGAACTCCGTATCGACAGGCCGGGCCTCGAGAGCAACTCTTTAATAACATATTTCAAGACGCGTGTCTCGTCCGCACTCGTTCTTAATCGGAGGGTACGTCCCCCGAGCGGATTGTGCGCGACGGAGACTTTCGAACGGGACCACCCATGGGCGCCCATTGTTAGTATTTGCTCAGACCGCGTGTACGTTGCGGACTGGGATTTATGAACTCATTCAAAGAACCCCTCTTCTCCTTAGCGCCACATGATCCATCAATAGGGCACCCAATCGATCACTATTTTATTAGTCGGCCACCTGTGAACTTTGTACGAGAGCATTAGGAGAAATTACATATGATGGCCATTCTCAACATAATATATGATATATTTCTTCAAGAATCTCGACTTCCCACCATATCACCCCTCGAATTCCGATGCGGGGAATTTCGAGGAGAAACATTTGCCTTCACAAAGATACGGAGTCGAATATATTCCCGCTACAACTCGGGTAGAGTTTACTTGATGCCACGAGCTACCGCGGCTTCGTCGCTCGATAGAAGGAGAGACTTGTGGGGAACGCGCGCCAGTCCGCGGAGCCGGAACCGAAGTCTGGTCTTCGGGCTCCAGTTGACTGCGCGGCATAGATTACAACGTGGTGCGACACCGATCATACGCACACAGATCTGCCACACAGCCGGAACTCCCGGAGCGGTAAGTGATCTGTTTGAGGTCGGAAGTAGTATAAATGCAGTAGTATGCGCGGCCTGACCGACTCTCCGGCGCATTGAACCGTCAACGAGCAAAAACTAAAGAAAACCTGAGCACGCCGACTCGCCCTAAAAAATCGTGCGACCGCTACCGCGGATGCCGTCAGTATGTTTGTTGCCGGTGCGCGAAGAGGATTTCCGAACGGGTTCCGAAGATCCGTGATTTGACAGGCGCCACGGACCTCAGTCGATGGCTACCGAGACAATTTTTTGGCAAAGTCTCGAGAGTTTCCATTGAATGAGAATGAATTTCGGGGGCGGAGACTTCCAGACTTTCCTCCCTGAAAGAGCTCGAGATCGGCCGGAAGGCTCCCCCAAGAATCCAATCTTGGAAGATCTCCGGCTTCTTCTCTCAGCGAATTATCTTACGAATCTCAGATGATCTCCCCATCCTGACTGGGTTTCAAGGGTGGATCGTTTCTGCAATCTCATACTGAATTCGATCGATTGATTGTCGGAGCCGGAATAATTGGGCGTGCGTGGAATTACTTTCCGAACGCTGATGGGGAGCATCCTCCATATTCTCGACTTGGGATTGATTTTCCCCGAACGATTTATCGGAGCCTTGGCTCCCAGTAGCTCGAATGGGTCCCTCAATCAGCTTCGATCGCGTGTCTCTGGCCCCGTGAGCGTGAAGGCTGATTCTACCATAGTGATCAACACGCTCATGAGAGTGGTTCTCCCCCGTTTCGCATGTGTAGCTTGCTCACCGAAATCCTTCCTCGGGAATTTCATGCACTTTCCGTTCGCGCATACTTTAAATACTCTAATCGAGAGCCGGCTCGTCTATTTTCCGAGCCCTCCGAACCTGCCTGACTTCAACACCGCTCTCCCTCAGTCTTCGGGCCCAGAAGGTGTCCATTCGTTAGGTATACTTCTCGAATGTTATAGACTGCCTCTTCATTAATTTCCCCCCCCCCCTAGAATATTCAAGATAGAATCCATGGTACTTGGGTACATTCATTGCATATGCTGAAACCGCTTCCTGTCTGAATTCCGAGCTCATAGATGCAAGGTCTCTCCTCGCCTTCCCGATGGAAGTATATAGTAAGAATGTCCATGTGATAACCGAGAATAAACGAGACATTCGTTCTTCGTCGGTGAAGAGTCGTCCCTGTATTATTGTAGGGGGAGTCCGCAGATCCACACCGGAGAAGAACAAATTGCCTTCCGATGTTGAGAATTCACGTTGTCATCGGTCAGTTTAGCCGATAATCGCATACGGGAACGCTTCTTCATACCGCAATGTATCGCAAATTGATGATCCGGTCTCCTGATGGGGAAGACAGACGTGAATTGCGAGAACAACAGGATTTATCAGCCATGCGCCCGTCTTCGTGAAAGAGAAAAGCAATTCATGTGTTCCCCTCGTCATTCCCGCGATCCGACAGACCATACTTGTCAACCACAGATACTCATTTAAGAAACACTCGGTGGCCGGCTGGGGAAACGAGACACGGGGGTTCATCCCACATGCTCTTCGGTATCTTCAGATCTGACCACGTTACGTAACCAGATCTTGAGTCGCGGTTCTGGTCTGGGCCTCGCGTCGCGTGCGTGCAGCCAACCAGCTGAAGCGGAGTCAATCCATGGGCTGAACCTCACGGTGAAGGCGGGACACCGCAGAAGTCTCGTGCCGCTGACGTGGAGAGAGTTTCATCGAAAACCCTCACCGTGGAAATTGTAAAAGCTTCTGAACGTGCTTCTGAAGTCAGTCGTTGTAGCGCATCTCGTGGTCACAAGATGGATGATTCTTTGTTCGATGTGAATGCGGCAATGAATGGAATAAGCAGCCACTTCAACACCGCCGGTATGACGGCAGCTGGGAACAGCATGCATCATCATGTGGAAACTCCAAGAGGCCGGAACAGTCTGAGAAGGTCAGTGTCTGGATCGAGTAGAGCAGAAGGATCCCTCTCCAAGCGGAGCGGGAGACATTCCGAGTGGGCAAAAGAGATCATAGGTCAAAGTCGATAATTTTCTTCAGGTACGCAAACGTTCCGCCCGGCTATACCGATACCGTCTTGCGGAGGAACGAACGCGAACGGAATAGAGTCCGCCAAGTGAACCACGGGTTCGTCGTGCTTCGACAAAAGATTCCCATCGAGAAAGGGAACAAGAAGATGTCGAAAGTTGAGACCTTGAGACTCGCTGCCAAATATATCCGTCAACTGCAGTGTGTGATCCAGAGCGCGGACCAGATGACGAGACAACCGGTCGGACCACCAGCGGAATTCTCCTCTTCGAACTCGTTCCCGTCTTCCACCCTACAATCGAGCGTCTATGAGTCGCCCACGACTTCGCCGAGCACCTTCTCGTTATCACCGACAACCTCCCCCCAGAGCCCGCATAGTTTGAACACCTCGAACGATGCAATGCCGAGCGTGCCCGTATATCAGCAGGACTGGTTCCACTTCTGATCATCTAAACTTGAGATTCTAAAGCTTCGCGCTCAGAAAATCTAGTCCCTCGATTGATACGACGCTCTGATTCGAGAATCGATTCATGTAGAGTCCACCTGCGCGAAGAGCGAGCGAGTGAGCAGCTAAAGAAAGCCGAGCCCACGTCGAGCGAACGCACGTTCAACCAGAACCGGTTCGAGCTCCGATCGATTTTTATGAGGCACTACGGAGTCACGGACCCGACGGAGCGTACCGACCAGTCGAGCACTTCTGTACATATTGCGTGTATACATATAAATAGTCCACGGACAGAGTCTAAGCGAAAGTTGGAGCAGCAGCCGCACCGAATAAGATGAGTGCTGGAGAAATAGAGGGTATATGGAAGACATGGAGAATAGGGGAACGTACATAATATCGAAGGGAGAGAAAGAGTTGCACTTAATACAAGCATTCGATGTTCGATACTTCGTGGAGTTTTCTTTTCGAGAGGCATCTGCGGTTAGTCAGCCGAGGGGGAATCGACGGTAGCTGCGGGGCCGATGAAGGTTACCTTTTTCCAACAATGATCGGCAACCCGGGTCGATGAAGAGAATAAGCGACTCACGGTCGTTGCCGTGAAGCCGCCTTCGACGGAGCATCCTGGAGGAGCATGATTCCGTGCTCCAGAGGTGTAGTCACGGTTCTTGCTTCACCGTCACCATTCATCAAACCATCCAGGATTCAATTTTCTCTGAATAAACCGAAAGGTAATCCAGGAACTCGGAACGATGTTCTGATCAGAACGATGTCCCCTGAAGAGGGACATGTCGTTGAGAATTGAAGAGTTTCATGGCTCCAATGCTCAGGGGGTGGACTACCACAATTTTTGAGGGAAGTAGGGGAATCTTCTTCTTGCGGCACCTTCTCGAGAGATTATCGAGTTCCCCTGTGTGTGACTGGATTTCCCACTCGATGATCGATTCGAGGTAGAGTCGGCAAGTCTCTCTCCGGAGGACTAGGAGGAAACGGATGAGTTACGCTACGATGAACCTGTCCGTCGAAGCAGTGACGTTATCAGTCCCTGAATTTTGAGTATGCGAAGGTACAGATTCAGTCCCGAACGTGATCATATCTTATGATCATTAGGACTCTGAGAAAATCCAGCAACGCCATAGATAGCGAATGCCGGCGCCAGGATCAATACGCTCGCGCCGGCTTCCCTAAACCCGAAGTCTGAACATTCGTCCTGAAAGCGTGGGAGTGACGGCTGATGGAGTTTGACGGCCTACGCTCGGGAACCGATTCATGCTCAGGGGACTCGCAGCGCCTGTGCGACTCCGTGACACCCTTCGATACGGCCGAGTTTCGACTCTTCCCGTATTACTCGTGCGAGGAGTAAGTCACGTCGTCAGTGCATACGGGATGTCTGAGAACGTCTGGAAATCTTCTAATTATTATCAGCATCGCTCCTGGCATAGAGATCGTCACCGTTAGGTTCATCGTCTGACGCGCTAAACAGAACTGCGCGTGGTTTGAGTGAAACCTCTGCTGCTGGCTCCGAACGTGGGGTAGGACCTCTCCGTCGATTGCGTGAAAGGAAACCTCACCTAGTGAAAACCCAGTTCTGGTTTCGTGCCCGTCACCGCATCGTTATGAATACCCTCGGTGCGTTCTGATTCGCGCAGATGCCTCGTCTGTTCAATGAGGTGCTCACAAACGCTGGGTGGATTCTTTTCATTTCGTTTTTCGCTCCGTCTGCTCTGCCTGTCGCGTTTTTCGTCAATCGTTCGAGAGCAGCCGCGCCACGGTATCATCACCGATTTTTGAGAATCAACTTGAAACGTCGATTATTATCATCGGGAAAGCGAATGATGGAATCGCTTCATCGGCTCACGTGAGCTTTCCTCACGCTCGGATCTGCTCGCTTTTTTTAAGCTCGCGGCTCTACCACAGATTCCAAGAGAGTCGAGACCGCTCTAACGACCGGAGTGGCGAAATAGCATCGACGGCTCGGTCCTGAAAGAGTTACGACCTCGCAGAGCACGGAAATTCCATGTTTCTGACTGCGACGTATGCGCCCCCCGTCCCTCATCCATGCTTCTCTTCGTCTACTTTTTTTCATTGTAATTCCGCGCCGGAATCCCCTGTGTCCGGGGGAGCGAATTCATTCGGCTAAAATCATAAATCATAAGAGACATCCTTCAATGGAACGCCTCCCCGTTCAGAAGCCCAGCGCTGAACGGCCCGAGCGCGGAGTATCCCCATCGGCGATCAGAAAATTCTGAAAGAAATTTTTGGCTTTCTTCTGCTTCTCCCACCGCTACTCCTGGCTGTAGCTTCTGATGCCTTCGGTGGTAATGCTTTAGCCGCTACTGCAATCGCTGCTGATCGCGGTGATGATGGTAGCGCTCTTAGCGAGAGATTTCACTCGGCTCAGTATTTGCCGAAGTCGGAGCGGATCAGCTTGCCGAACTTCTTCGTCTCCCGACAAAAAAACTAATAGTTTGATTAACCCGCTTGAAAATCTTGTTCGATCTTCAAATCTTCTTCACAGCCTCCGACAGACTTAGCGATGGTCCATCGAAGAGCACCGACATGCGAGAAGTTTTCGCGAGGGGAGCTCTTCGGGCTCGAGAATGGCTTCCTCGCCCTCCGGGTGCCCTGTCCCTTCCTTCAGGCGACGAATGACAACAAATGCGGAGAACATGAATCTGAAATCCTATCGGGAGATTCCACCCCCCTCCACCTTGTGTGTTGAGCGCGAGACTATCGGGATGGCTCAGCCACCCATTCCAAATTCAGAATCTCGCCACAGAAACAATTCAGTTTCTCGGGGCGCTTGTCGATTCTCCTTTTTTTTGTTCCCCGTACGCGCTCGTTGTAGAAGTCGACGTTCCATTGAGGTGAATGGCTTCAGGAAGGAATATTGTCGTTGATTAAACCGCACCATTGTCCATTGGACGCCGCTGTGGCTCCATTCCGTGAAAGCGACGACGACAACGATTGCTTAGACGAGCAAAATATGCAGAGGCTTTGAGAGGTGTTAATGGGAACTCTATGAAAATGAGAAAAAGGTATCACACCTAGCACCCGTCTATGGTAGCTTGGCTCGGCGGTCACCAAATCATAAAATCTACGAAACGTAGAACTCACTCATTAGGCGAGGAACGTGACGTGACAGACACCGATGACAAGAACGGTAGCCGCCGCGGCAGCAGCAGCAGCAAGGATGTCTCAATTCGGTCGATACAGGCAAACAAACGCGACTGTCCGACTGACGAGCGTGTGGAACACACGCGATATTTAAAGTGAGCGGTCAAAGATTCTTTCCTTGACTTTCCGAAGCTCTTCAATTATTTGATCTTCGTGCGATAGCGGGTGGATCATTCGGAGTCGCATACGACCAGACCCATCATTGGGAACTCATGGTAATTTGTACAACTTTTCTTAGAGCCCCAGCTGATCATCAGTCCTCCGACTCCTAGCTGGGACGGAAAGTCTGGTGTTTTGAGAGTTTTTTAACCCGAGATTATTTCGCGTTCAGCACCTAATGCGAATTCCTCGTTCCTTGCCGACACATTGCATTGGTTGATTATATCGGCATTCCCGCGAGTCCCAATTTCTCGGATGTCCGCATGTACGGTAGGCGGGCTGGCCAGTCGAAGACGGCAGCCGACGACGCGTCGCTGGTCTGCTGGTCAACGCATGATCATGTGGTGATACTCCGACCACAAACGATAGGGACACGATCAATCTTGCGCGAATACTTAAACGCTGTTGAGAGGTCACGGTATCGTGGGAGACGATACGGTTCGAGAGGAAGCTCATCGGAACTAATGTTCGAGTGGTTTCTGCTTTCGAACGAGACACATCGCCATCAACAAATCAAAGTGCGAGCGAGCCGGCCGGCGGAGAAATTCACATAGACTGACATAGACCAAGACACGCATCCGAATAAACAATGGCACTCACGTCTCAAGTCCGTGAGGTCCATTTGCTAAATGGCGCTCTTCGACGCTAAATACGCTTCGGCTTTATTTACGAGGTAGAAAATTACTGACAGAAACTGTTCCGACCGGCCACCCATAGTCCAATAGGAAACACTTACAAATGGGTGCGCGTATTTGTTTTCGGCGGTCGCGGCGCCCGAATCCCACCCATCTCGTAGTGGATACCTACTACATCGCCATTTATACGTTGCGAGCATTATCGTCGCTCCACCGCGCCGCCGATCGGCCCAATGTCGTCTCTGCTGCCACTGCCGCTTCTTCTCGTGAGCGGCAGAATCTATGCGGGTTTTGAGCTTCGGTGAGACGGGTGAAACGGCCTTGCTTCGAACCTCGAAGGATTGTCCAAGCGGTTTAGAGGTTGCGTCAACATCGAGGAATCTACTGGGTATGGCAAGTAGCGGCCTGAACTCATAGAGAGAGAGAGATGAGAGCGTTGACGTGATACGAGCGATCTGAATTCAGAAGAAAAATAGGGATCGCCCCGTTTCAATAGGGAGACAAAATGTGCGAATGAGCCAAAAAGTTGCCAGATGTCTGAGTGAGGGATCTCTGCCAGGAATGAAAGAGAACGATCTGAAAGCTTTCATTGGCACTTGGGATTGTTCACGCATTCTCGTAATCAAGATCAGATCTTCGCCAAACACAACGATGGAGCTTCTTCATCACAACTGATCAACAAGGTGCTCAGTGGATAAAAATCGATTGCTCGCCTGGTCGGCTATTATTCGGTGTGTTATCACTTGTACGTGCTATTCTGTAAGTTCCCTGTACCTCCCCTTCTCCCGTTCTTTTCGGTAAGGGCGTTGATACGACTCGGACAAGACTTCGATTGCTTTCGTCATTCCCCTTGGGTTGGTTCTCGGTAGAGCACCTATTTAGGAAGTCGGCGATTCGACGGAAGGGCGAGCTTGCGGTCCGTCCTTCCATCGGAGATATCTATCAGTTCCGAAACGAATGCTTAACATTCAGCGGTTTTTTCCACGGACAACATACGGAAAAATAAGGAGCTCCCAGCGGGGAGGGAGGCAAGAGCTCCTCTTCTCTCAGGGACGTTCAGCGGAGAATGCTGCGGTTACGGATTCGCCGCTTTAAGTTTTTTCTCTCCTCCTTCAGTCAGAGCAATGGGTGGGACCGAGGGTACTCCATTCTCAGTAGAGAAGCCCTTCATTGCTCCGAGTGGCTTTCCCGCGACTTCTCCGCGGGAAAGAGTTCCAACTCAGAGGCTTCTGCCTTTCGGAGAGTACAGAGAACTCGATGAATTTTCTTGGTATGTACGTCGATTGAACATCTATGCCTCATTGACTACTCCGCTCAACGTTGCCGTAGACCATCTCCCTGAGCTCCGAAAGCGGCGCCAGCGGAGAAAAAATACACAAGAAAGCAGGGAGAAACAACCGAATGGCGCGTCATATCCGCTCAGTGTACGCTTCGAAACAAGATCAACAATTAATCTTCTTATTAAATATATTTGCAGATAATAAATAAGCGTAAATGGGGGTTTGTCGTCAATGGGCGGAGCGAAGGGTGACGCTTCACTGTCGTCTAGTCCTCCGGAGACGGTGGAGCGGTGAGCGTGGAACGGCGTCCTTCTTCACGAAAGAACACCGGACGATGTTTGCATGGACACCGGAACGCGGGTCGGTGAGTCGTATATGCGCGGTCGCACTACACTCAACCAAACAATTTCGTATGTCCGAGGAAGTGTACGAAGAAACAGAGGTTGTAAAACTTAAGATCGTTCCTCGCACTTAGCGAGTAGTATTAACTTAATTCTCGGCTATCGAGCCTCTCCAGACGGCTGAAGGTGTCCACACGCCAATATATTTTTTTCTAACACCTCACAGCTTTGAAGAAATCGACGCCTCTCTAAAGTGTCGAGCATACGTTGGGCTATGTTGTTTGGCTCTTTTTCTCCGACTCTCGAGAGCCCGTTTGCTATCATCGAAGTGTCTTGGAATATTAGAATACTTGAGATTTGATTCGACTGGTCGAGCGGAAATCGGGCCGCAGATTGCATCCGCGTCCGAGGAGCGATTTCTGGAAAGATCGGCTCATTCGACATCAAACGAACTCCGATCAGCGTTGGAAGTTTCAGCGCAGGAATATTGACCGATTCGCATCGGGGCGACTCCTTGGTGCTGACAATACATCTGCTCGCTGACAAAGCATTCGGCTCCGCAGAATCCTCCGTTCTCGCGAAAACTGCTGCAGGCTTTGTAGGTGCGGTGGCCGATTAGATAAATATTCGGCAAATTAGCGCCGATGCAGCATCGGGAAGAAGAACAATAATGATCATCATCATCAAATCTGAATTATATTAGCGAGCGAACGAACGAGCGCACACACAAAGCAAAGCGAGCCGTATGCTGGTCATTTATAACGCACACGGATCCGCGCAGATAGATAAACGCAGGGGCGGATCTTATTTTTATAACTCTTTACGATGAGTGACGTACGTTCGGTCTCACTCACTGACAGACTGATCGAATCGAGCGGCTATGGATAGATATATCTCCCCGTCGAAATTTCGATGGGTGCGCTTTCTGTGCAACAACTCCGCTGTCAAAGCGAATCGGTCAGCTTAGGGAACGATGGGAGGGGGCATTCCGTACCGCGCGCGCTCGATGAGCCCATATTGCCTATATTGGCATTAAAATACATAGCGTCCACCTTCCACTCATTCAGCGCCGGCGGCACACGCCGCACGCTGCTTCGGCTGGTAGTGCGCGTGGGATGGGACACCTCGACCAGCACCCGAAATGCTCCGAGAACCTCGTACTTAGCGAGAAGAAGAACTTTAATGACCCGAGCTATTTAACTGCAAGCTGACAGTAAATTGGCTTGATAAGCAGATTGGGTGACAACTTCTTACTTAACTACGTCCTCAGTATTGTAGATGGCGTCGCGCCCTGCCACGCGCCCGATAGCCGCTCACCAGTGAGATATTGCTCCGCTCATTATTGGGAGAGTTTTTGTTGCACTCCGCCGACGATAGATATCCTTTTAACTCCTCCACGTCATTCCACTGAGAAGCCTCACTCGGTACCACCAACGGTCATCGATGACAGAAGTGACTCCCATTGCTCCTGTGATGAAAGTCATACCGAGCGGATGCATTTCTTTCCGCCTATTTTCCGAAGACTTCGCAGTGCGATCCGATGAGACAGAGTCAGACTTCAAGAGCAATACGCTGGCGCTGCTCTGAGATTAATTCGGCACTGCTTCCGTGGAAGGCGTCACTTAATCAAATGTTGAACGCGTGAGGAATTAAGCGAAAAATTGTCATGATTTGAAAAATTCGTCTACTGCGCTTCGGAGGATAGCTAGCCAAATCTATAATCGGTGCGGATTATTTCACGGGAACTCGCTGCCGTTGTCTCCGTCTGCCAAGGACCACCGACAGGTCTTGGATTTGCTACATACAGGGGTCAATCTCGTGACCTCATGTGACGGGCTTCGAGTCGGCAGACGCTCAATACGCTGGAAAACTTTCAGACAATCAGCCACTCAGGCTGTTATCTCTAATGTCCCACCATCCTCTGGCGTACGAGCTGATTGACTTTCACTCCCGGTGCATAAATGAGACATCGATGACTGGCGGCGGATATCGTTCTCGGCGAATCTGGGGCGTGGATTTTCGAGAACACGGCTATTTGAAGGGAAAAGCGATTCGTGGATTCATACCGCAATCACTGAGTGAATCAGCACTGAAACAAAAAAAGTTTTCGATTCTCCTAAGGCCTCGGGCACTTTTTCTGACAAGCGGGGCAAGCCTCGGACATCGAGCAGTGCTTGTGACACACCTCAAACCGATCATAGACTCGGAAGATTCTGACATTTAATCGAGTTCGGCACGCGAATGGCCGTCGTTGTACAAGCAATCGGATAGAAAATATGAATCACACCTTCCCTCTTAGACCACGAGCGGATTTGCATCGATATTATTGCAGCTTGAGCTCCGGACCAATTTTAATGAGTGTTCCTTGACATATTGTTGTAAGTTGCTCGGCTCATCGGCACTCGTAACGCGCAGCACTGAATCATGTGTATCTCTCTCAATCGTTCGAGCTCGGATATGAGGAATCTGGCGGGTGATCCGTCAGTGGCATGGGGTACCGCTCATCCCCGGGAGGGCAACCTAGCTCGGGAAGAATAGCTCCTGAATTTCTCTCTCGAACTGCATCAGCCCAGAGATCCCAATCGATTCCGTAATGGACCATCGAGGGAATTCTATCGACGTATCACCAGACGTCCCATGTACGGGGACCTTTCTCTGCCAGAAAGCGGACATCCCATCGGGAGAAGGTCTTTGAAACGGGCATGCTGATAATCGTTCTGACTCGGCCTCAGTTCATCATTTTTACAAGTTGAACATCTCTGATCAGAGTACACTGAGGGATCTAGAATGCATGTCCATGTCGCGTCCATGCGCCGTGAATGACGATGCGCAAAAATTTCTCCTGCGGATTCTTGAGGCACGGGGGCTCGCGGCTCTATTTCATTCGATTGCAGATAGCACCATCGCTCGAGCCATTCGCATCACCGAATCTCCGAGGACATTCCGCCTTCCTCGATTCGATGCCTGCGCGGAGCCTCAGCGAGCCTCGTCTGCTCCCGATTGACAATACGATGATTCGGACATGGAAAGCATGGGTGTTTCCGCTACTGGTAGAACGCTCTCTCCTCGATTCGAGTCGCATCATTCGGGAAACCTTGTGAAAGACGTTTCCCTTACGGCGAGCGGGGACTGGACGAACGGAGGAGAAGGAGTTGTCCTCGTGTATCAGTGGATGATGAAACCTGTCATCCTCGCCGCAAAAAACGCGAGCGTCTGGAGAACATACAGCCATGGCTTCTGTGCCCATCTTTCAATGAAGAATCTCACTATGGATCCATTGAACCAATCTTTATTCCTTCATTGATAAAAAGGAGAGATCGGGCTCCATAACCAGAAGCCCGTTATCGTACTATGAAACGTAGTGGAATGGTGAGGCTTTCTTTCAGAAACACAGAATCGTGAATCGTCATTGAAGCTTAAAATGCGCGCGTAGTCCCCAATGATCGCTGGGGAAACATTGTGGGGGTGTGATCCGCTGTAGACCGAGGAAACTGAAATATACAGGCTTCAATGCCCGGCGTTGAGCCAGGGATTCTTTGAAGTAAATGCGGTCGTAACGACACCTTGAAATAACAAAATCGAATGAGTTCGAGCCCATGAGGACTGGGGGAGCATGCACAACTCCGTGGTCCCTGGAAAGACTGGAATAGATCCTCAAGCATCCAATCCAGTCTTTCTTGCGACTTTTGTCTGCAGGAGAGGGTGCGAAGGGTTACCGAGGTTTTGATGGAGAATTCCACTGTACATTGTCGTTGGTGACCATGTCCCAGGTGTATTCCGATTCCGGTCTGGCACCATCGTGCACCCAGACATCACATATACCAGCGGGAATCCCGCCTATTCCGTCGAGCTGGAAGAGACACGGCATCAGAGTCAACCCGAAAGGTGAAGATCTTATTCCGCCAATCGACCGAAGAAAAAACGAACCTCCCTGTCGCGAAGATTGAGATCGCCTGCTAGCACCGCCGAATATTCGTCAGGAATCTTGTTGAGCTTCCTGAAGCATTCCTGCAGTTGTTCCCTCCGCGTCTCCGAGAATTTTCTTGTACTCTCGAGATGCGTGTTGAAGATGAACAATTTATGCGCGTTTTTGAAAGACACCTGGGGCAAATCGCATGTGTTCCAGTTCGAGATACTGTTGAGCGAGCCAAATGCCGAATTCACTCACTCGGGCTCTCGACGGGGTTACGTAGCATCAGAACGACTGCTCACCTCCGCGGCCTGCAACTTCCGGCCCATGACGCTCTTGGGGAATTCGAATACTTCGTGCTTCATCAAGCTCACTCGTTCTCGGCGGAATAACATCGCGGTGAAATCTTCGGCCTCGCCTAGAATTGTCGCACCGATTGACAAGAATTCGGAATTGAAACTCTCAGACTACGGTAATCATGTCAAATTCCCACAGATGGAATTTCAAATCGATAAAGCCATAGATATCGGTCGACTTCATCTTGATTGATTTTTGGCATAAATCGGTAGCTTGGAAGGGTATGAATTGATTATTCTGCATAGGAGTAAAGCAATACCCGAATGTGAATGTACGAGGTGGTAGTCCTTGGAGCACCTTTTCTCAATGAGACGCAAAGATGGTGGAACAACTTCTTGCAGCATTACAATGTCTGCAGCGACCGAGCTGCAATGAATTCGGACGACGCTGACATGAAATATTCACCGACATACTAAACATCGTACTCGGAGGAAAGCTCACTGCTTGACTAAGGAACAGATTTCCTCGGTCCGGTAGTTTCGGTTGTTCTGTTCCCGACCGTTGATATTCCACGAAACGATCTTGAGAAGATCATCGGACTCCTTTCCCGTATCGCTGTCGCTTGAAAGCCCGACGACGTCTCCTGGAGCTCGCTCGGAAGGCATCTCGGTTTTCACAGTGCTGGAATGAAACCGTGAATCAAGATAGGTCTTGTAAGGTTAAAGATACCGGCCTCACAACGAAAACCGGACAGACCGCGATTTCGTCGCAGACTTGCACAAGGAGAGACAAACGTACATGGGATTCCCATGCCGCCATGCTACTCCCTTCGTACTCACTGTTGTGTTCACGCGGACTAGAACGGGCTAGGGACGGAGGCGTGAACTTCGCGCTCCGAGCGACGTGGATGAACTGAAGCGTTTGCGGATCCTCCGTTCGACTGAAAGTCGGCTGCGTCGTCTGTCTCGGAGGCTCCACGAGGCTAAAGTTTTTTTTCATTTTCCGATCTTCGAACGTTCGCTGCTCGCTAGATAAACAATCGCGGCATCGGCTTCGGAGACGACGGATTCCCACCGAATTCGGTCTCCAGTCTCCAACAACACTCTTGAGTTGTTTCGGCGTGGATTATTGTAGTATCCTGATGAACACACCCGTGGTCCTGGTGATCGGGAGCCCCGACTGTTTATTGTAGCTCTCTTATATCAGTAAGCGAGGCACCGTGTATCATTCCGCGACGGTCCCCTCGCTCCCCTCTCCGAAGTCTCTATCGAACACAACCGCTCTCAACGATTGACAGCTGACATATGATTGCCTCGAACCTTCGACACTACAATTATCCGTTGTTCATTCTGGTTCAAGGATCGGATGATTTCCAAGCATGCGGCAGATTCCCGCCATTTCGAACCCTTGACATCTCGCAGGCCCCGAATTATTGGGGAAGAAAGACCTTGGTGTTCAGCGGCCCCAGAAATCTCCGTCTGAGTTTGAAGTTTGAGTCAACTTCTCATCTAGCGATCTGAGAGCATATCGACAAATATCGATGTGCCCATATCACCACTTACTCTCTCCTTACGGCAGCCCGAGCGCCATACTGCTTGCCTACTGCCGAACGCCGAACGACAGCGTATGTGAGGGCCCATTCTTGGGTTCATAATAGCTATTGCATGCGAGCTATTCAGCGGCAATTATCGCAATCGATTCTGTGATAGCTAATCCTCCGCATCCTTATGGAGCGTCCCAGAGCAAGAGTGAGGATGGCGATCTCAGATACGATTCACAGATAATGGAAATCTCATCCCCGCCAAGCTACACAGTTCGTCATAGATCGATGTCGACACAAATATGCCCAACACGGCATGGGAATCGTCTGATGAGCGGTGACTCATCAACGAGTTGGCGATTCAAAAGTGAGAAGTCGATGAAGTGTTGACCGTTAACGGTAACTTATGAGACACGAGAGACGAGTAGTGGTGGGAGGTAGTGAGCGCGTCTATCGTCAGTTATTTAATGGCGGGCTCTGCTGTTTTGAATCAACCAATCGGCTTCGTCCTCCTGTCCGGAAATTTTTGTTCGCTACTGTAGTACATACAGATAGTGTTAGTGTTAGATGACGCTATGTTTTACGCGGTAGATTCAAATCGCTGTCATTCTTATTATAACATACACTACAAGTCTCCTGAAAATCATGGTCTTCGTCGGGTTCGTCCTGGGGATTTGAAAAGCTACAGTTTTCTGATGGGGGAGGACAAACCCACGAGAACCCGCAGACTCACGTGGAGGACGACGAGGGTGCATTTCGTTCCTCGTTCTCCTGGAAATAGTCGGCAACAGAACGCTCGAGGTCCCAATCACGATCTTGCAAGAAAAACTGGGCCAAGGCCTCGTTTGTGTTGGTGAGCTCCACGAATTTGCGACATCTCTCGAGACACACCTCCACTGGAGGGAAGTTCTCCGGTAGTCCGCCGCTGCAAAGGTTATATCTCAGGTTAAGAGGGATCGATTTCCGGGGCAAGGATCCTCCCTGGGAATCATTAGATCACCCAAGGGAGAACTAGATATTTTGCAGAGAGGGATTCGAGGCTATCGTCCATGGATAACTCGCGGAGCATGTCGAATAAAGGTTCGGACTCTCGGCGGCCTACGATCACGAACACGGGAGAGAATACTCGTGGAACCCTGTGAGCCATCACCCGTACGAAAACTCTCAGGCCGCGGAGAATGTCTGGGTTAGCTGAATTCGTACACGCTCAGAATGATGCCGGAGACTGAATGTTTTGAGGAAGAAATGGTCTCAAGTCCTGCTACCTATCGTATACGATTGATCGCACGTACCTAAAATCGATCGGAGGAGTAGCGACCTCTCGTTCTCTTCATCGCTTGACGTCGTGTCCCCGCGCCCGTTGTCTGGCTCGCTCTCCGACGAATTCCTACGGAGGAAGAAAAACTCAGCATGACCGCTCCAATCGGGAATTGAGATCAGAAGTATCACAGAAGTTCTGAGCAAACTTGATCACTCAGAATACGGAGTACCTGCTAAACCAGATTATAGTGTCTGCAATCAGCATCGGATTCTCGGTAATCACCAGAGTTCAGTCTGGTAGCCGGAACAAGGAAGTTCAAATCGTTGTCGCCCGAGTCCCGAACGGGACAGATGTGCGAAGTGCGGAGGCTCCACGTTCGAGATGTAGGGACGGCGGACATTCTGTCGGGAGAAGGACTTAGAAACGGGCATGCAAATAATCGTTCTTGCTTGGCCTCGGTTCATCATTTTTGCAAGTTGAACATCTCTGATCAGGGTACACTGAGGGGTCTAAAATCTGGATTACATGTCCACGTCGCGTCCATGCGCCGCGAATGATGATGCACAAAAACTTCTCCTGTGGATTCTTGAGGCGCGGGGGCTCGCGGCTCTATTTCATTCGATTGCAGATAGCACCATCGCTCGAGCAATTAGCATCACCGAATCTATGAGGACATTCCGCCTTCCTCGATTCGGTGCCAGCGCGGAGCCTCAGCGAGCTTCTTCTGCTCCCGATTGACGATACGATAATTCGGACATGGAAAGCATCGGTATTTCCGCTACTGGTAGAACGCTCTCTCCTCGATTCGAGTCGCATCATTCGGGAAACCATGTGAAAGACGTTTCCCTTACGGCGAGCGGGGACTGGACGAACGGAGGAGAAGGAGTTGTCCTCGTGTATCAGTGGATGATGAAACCTGTCATCCTCGCCGCAAAAAATGCGAGCGTCTGGAAAACATACAGCCATGGCTTCTGTGCCCATCTTTCGATGAAGAATCTCACTATGGATCCATTGAACCAATCTTTATTCCTTTTTTGTTAAAAACGAGAGATCGACCTTATTAACCAAAACCCCATTATCGTATGATGACCCGTAGTGGAATGGTGAGAATTTTTTCAGAAACGCAGAGTCGTAAATCGTCATTGAAGCTTAAAATGCGCGTATAGTCCCCAATGATCGCTGGGGAAACATCGATGGGGTAGAATCCGCTCCAGGCCGATGAGACCGAAATATACAGGCTTCAATGCCCGGGGTTGAGCCAGGGATTCTTTGAAGTACATGCGGTCGAAACGACACCTTGAAATAACAAAATCGAATGAATTCAAGCCTATGAGGACTGGGGGAGCATGCACAACCCCGTGGTCCCTGGTACGATAGATCATCCAGCATCCAATTTAGTCTTTCTTGCGACTTTTGTCTGCAGGGGAGGGTGCGAAGGGTTACCGAGGTTTGAATCGCGCATTCCACAGTAGGTTGTCGTTCCTAGTCATGTCCCAGGTGTATTTTGCTTCCGGTCTTGAACCCAGTCTCTCCCACATATCACATATACCAGCGGGAATCCCGCCTATTCCGTCGAGCTGGAAGAGACGCGGCATCAGAGTCAACCCGAAAGGTGAAGATCCCATTCCGCCAAGCGGGATTCGACCGAAGGAAGAACGAACCTCCTTGTCGCGAAGATTGAGATCGCCTGCTAGCACCGCCGAGTATCCGTCAGAAATCTTGTTGAGATTCCTGAAGCATTTCTGCAGTTGTACCCTCCGCGCATCCGAGAACTCTCCTGTACTCTCGAGATGCGTGTTAAGGATGAACAATTTGTGCGCGTTTTTGAAAGACACCTGGGGATAATCGCATATGTTTCAGTTCGAAATACTGTTGAGCGAGCCAAAAGCCGAATTCACTCGCTCGGGCTCTCGATGGGATCACGTAGCATCGGATCGACTGCTCACCTCCGCGGCCTGCAACTTCCGGCCCATGACGCTATTGGAGAATTCGAACACTTTGTCCTGCACGAAGCTGACTCGTTTTCGGTGGAATAACATCGCGGTGAAATATTCGGCCACGCCTAGAATTGTCACACCGATTGACAGGAATTCGGAATTGAAACTCTCAGACTACGGTAATCATGTCAAATTCCCATAGATGGAATTTCAAATCGATAAAGCCATAGATATCGGTCGACTTCATCTTGATTGATTCTTAGCATAAATCGGTAGCTTCGAAGGGTATGAATTGATTATTCTGCATAGGAGTAAAGCAATACCCGAATGTACGAGATGGTATTCCTTGGAGAGCGTTTCATCAATGAGACGCAACGTTTCAGGAACTACTTCTTGCAGCATTACAATGTCTGCAGCGGCCCTGCGGGGATGAATTCGGGCGACGCTAACATGAAATATTCATTCTTCACCGACCGACCAAACATCTTATTCGGAGGAAAGCTCACTTCTTTACTGTGGCACAGACATTCTTGGTCCGGAGATCTCGGTTTTTCTGGTCCAGACCGTCGATATTCCATGAGACGATCTTGAGAAGATCATCAGACTCCTCTTCCGTATCGCTGTCGCTCGAAAGCTCGACGACGTCTCCTGATGCTCGCTTGGGAGGCATCTCGGATTTCACAGCGCTTGAATGAAACCGGGAAGGGAGATGAGTCTCCTAAAGATCATGGTCTTCGTCGGCGTCTCCCTGGAGATTTGAAAAGCTACAGTCGTCTGATGGGAGAGCCAAACCCACGAGAACCCGCAGACTCACGAGGAGGACGACGAGGGTGCATTTCGTTCCTCGTTCTCCTGGAAATAGTCGGCAACAGAACGCTCGAGGTCCCAATCACGATCTTGCAAGAAAAACTGGGCCAAGGCCTCGTTTGTGTTGGTGAGCTCCACGAATTTGCGACATCTCTCGAGACACACCTCCACTGGAGGGAAGTTCTCCGGTAGTCCGCCGCTGCAAAGGTTATATCTCAGGTGAAAAGGGATCGATTTCCGGGGCAAGGATCCTCCCTGGGAATCATTAGATCACCCAGGGGAGAACTAGATGTTTTGCAGAGAGGGATTCGAGGCTATCGACCATGGATAACTCGCGGAGCATGTCGAATAAAGGTTCGGACTCTCGGCGGGCTACGATCACGAACACGGGAGAGAATATTCGTGGAACCCTGTGAGCCATCACCCATTCGAAGACTCTCAGGCCGCGGAGAATGTCTGGGCTAGCTGAATTCGTACACGCTCAGAATGATGTCGTAGACTGAATGTTTCGAGGAAGACACGGTCTCGAGAGATTCCGCGGAAGGACGGAATCGGAGTCCTACTACCCATCGTATACGATTGATGGCACGTACCTAAAATCGATCGGAGGAGTACCAACCTCTCGTTCTCTTCATCGCTCGACGTCCTGTCCCCGCGCCCGTTGTCTGGCTCGCTCTCCGACATGTTCCTACGGAGGAAGAAAAACTCTGCATGACCGCTTCCGTCGGGAATTGAGATGAACCTTCGTATCACAGAAGTTCTGAGAAAACTCGATCACTCAGAGCTGACCTGCTAAACTAGATTAAAGTAATCGCAATCAGCATCGGATTCTCGGTAATCACCAGAGTCCGATCTGGTAGCCGGAGCTAGGAAGTTCGAATCGTTGACGCCCGAGTCTCGAACGGAATAGATGTCCGGAAGCTCAACGTTCGAGATGTAGCGACAGCGCAGCGAAGATTCATTCGAAATACGAAGGACCAACTCCTTCCGAGGAAATTGACAGCCAGCGGTTGACGGAAGAAACTTCCGACATGAGGTGGATTTGTTTTGCGTCTCATCGATTTGACCTCCCTTGGAAATGTTCAATACTTGTTCTCAGGCTCCGAGAGGCCAATCTTATACTGCGCTGGCGTACACTTACATCGGATCACAGCGTAGCTTTTTCTCGCCTTTGGAACTTTCTTCTCTATCAGATGAACATTCACGCTTGATCCTGTTGAACAAGGGAAATTAATATCCTGACCGTAGAATAAACAGTGCAATATAAATCTCTTCGGAAATGTTATTTTCGTCACCCTCTGGATTTCGGAGATGGTTCCGAATTGGAATCTTCGTCGGAGAGCTCTATAACTTCGCAATCGCCAGGTTTCTCAATGCCTCCCAGCATGACAAGCACACACACACCGATCGCGTTCTAAAGAGTACATCAACTGTCAAGAGGAAAGTTCACACGTGCCGAGGGATCAGGGGAGCTACCAGAGAGGAACCGACCGCGGCGCACATCGTATCATTCGAGTTCCGCGCCGAAAGAAGCGTCTGCTCATTCGATATCTCGGATTTCGGAGAAACCTCGATAACTTGCGGACAAATCTCTCGCCAGACCTATAAAAGAGGCACTTCGAGCAAGTCGTTTCAATATGTTCAGGATTCCGCAGAGAAAAGATCCTCCTCCGATTCACGTGAGAGGCACACTCCGCTAAAACAGCGGCTCCTCCGTCATCTGGTCAGCTGACCGCTGACTTGAGTCTCGTGATTCGAGACGTTCGCTGCAGTTGGTGTTCAACTCGCTCCGGGATCCGTTCAGAACACTTCAACTCTCATCATGAATCAGAACTCACAAGGCGTACAACAGCTCCTGGCTGCTGAAAGACGGGCGTCCGATAAGGTTCGTAGAAGGAAGGTTCCTCCCGTTTATTTTTCTGTAGAAAGCAGGCTCGATCTTTCGCTCTTCGGAAGAGGCTCCCGACGTGAGGAGCGAGCATGACTCTAGAGTCGTGGGTTTTCGAGTCGAGAATTATGTTCTCGCGCGCTTCGGAGTTTCGTTCCGCGGAGACTGTTCCTCTTCTATCTCTTTTCCGATTCCAAGTCTCGTTCTGACTCCTGAACAATCCGTGCGTCCGTCTCCAATGGAGCGCGCTGTCGTCCGAGGCAGGACGGATCTTCTGAGTCTGACCCCATGGCTCCAGACTCCCATCCTTCATAGAATCTTCATATTTCCAGGTCGCCGAGGCTCGCAAGCGCAAGGCCCGTCGTCTCAAGCAAGCCAAAGACGAAGCACAGTCTGAAATTGACAAGTACCGCCACGAGAAGGAGTCCGCATTTAGGGTGAGTCCATTCGACGATTTTCGAAGGAGACGTGAACGATACGGAACATGGAAGTGGACCTGGCGTAGGACTGCCTATATGAAATTTCTATGACTCTCGAGGGATTGCTCCGACTTGCTCGGCTGCATCACCTGACGCTACGTCCGTAGGCATCCGAACGGCCTCTTCCTCTGGCTCCATGCATGGAACGGATTCTGTCGGAGCTCGCGAACCTCATGCGATTTCTCCTTTATTGGAGTGCTCTGAGTTCCGATGATCAACTGATATTCCATTTCAGGCGTACGAAGCGTCCCACATGGGATCGCGAGACGATGTTCAGAAACGAATTGAGGCTGACACTCAACGTCAAATACTCGAGGTGAATCAGCTCGTAGCGAAAAACAAGGACGAAGTTATCAAGGGTCTCCTCGGCCTCGTCTACGACATAGAGGCTCACGTGCATAAGAATCTGAAAATCGCCACTGGGGCATAAACTGGCTCCGGTATACCACGCTTCTCCAGTAAAGATCGGGCTATGTTCTGTGCGGAGAGAGTCAAGAGGACGTAGAGAAGTTCCGAGAAATTCTATGAAAGAAATTGATCATTCCAGAGTGTTTGCGTGGCGGACTCTCGTAGTTTCGTATCGATTACGGACCAGTTCTGAATGTTTTTTTTTCGAACAAGAGATTCGAGGGTCTGCTGACTGATGTTGTAATAAAGTTCTATTATGTTATGAAACTAGTACTCCTCATTCCATCAGGGATCGGGATAGCCGGGGAGCAGGGGAATCAAAGATGATTCATGGTCATGGATTCATGAGATCAAAAGGTGACCGACTTATTTGCTCCAGTACCCTTTGAGCAGTAACGAGAAACAGATATCAATTGTTCCGAGACTCCTGCCACATCACCTCTTCGAGCGGCGCGGTGGTCTGTCAATTCACCTTATTAGATTCATGTGACTCGAGTGGAAGTACGGAAACGGCCTTTGGAGGCATAACTGAGCACCTGCGAACCTGTCGGATCCGTCCCGCTGCTGCATCGAGTGGAACTTTCAGAAAGAACCCATTCGTCCTTCTCGACTTGTTCTACCCCAACGAGCCGCCTCCACATCCGTTCCCTTTTTGGCCTCGGTCAAACCCAAAGCTTTATTGATATGACGTTCGCTTCTTTACGGATGCCCTTGCCGAGGTTCGCGTTTTCAGGAGCATGATCCGTTGAACCGCGCTTGAGTCGAACCCCTCGAGGAGCTGGGCTTGCGGAGCCTCCGCGGATCTCTTCGTGCTCGAACTGAGCAGTTGAGAGCGTACAATAATCGACCTACACAAAATTTGATGACTGAGAAAAGCGAACGATTGGTCTGAGAGGAAATATTGATCAGGAAACCGGTCGGTCCGTCTAAATTCAGTCGAGTCGCGTCGACGGAGTGTGCAACCGAAGTCAGATCCCCCAACGTTTCGAGACCCGAAACGAGCACCCTGTATGTCGGGTCGACTCTTGCCCGTTCCCTACCGTTCATCTCGCATTCTTCTGGTGAACGGAACAAGCGTCGGCTGATCTTCAGACGGAAGGGCTCTATTTACAAGACTTCAGCGGTACGCCGGTTCGCCGCCAGTGGGCGCTTGGAGTCATTTCTTCTTTCCACATGCGCTCTCTGCCGAAGTCTTCTACCAAGATGAGACCCTGAGTGACCCAATTTCGCGTGGATCGTGGCACTCACTGGAAGCAACCTCATTCCGCAGCATCAGCAGTGTTTCGAAGACAGCCATCTTCCCGAACAGGTGGCTTCGAAGCCTTCCGCAGGTAGGTTCTTTGCAGAGAGCTTTGAACTTGAGAATCGGCGATCTCTGGGTTCAGCCCCGTCGGAGCTGTGGATGAAACTGGTGACTGTGCTACTGCATGTGACAAGTGTTTTGTCCCCTCGGAAGACGTAAGGATATTCCGTGTTCCACTTAACGGTTCGTACGACTCACGAGATACGCTGAGGGTCTCGATTGATACGCGCCGAACAAGTTTCGTCCCCTTTCCTCGAAAAGCCTTCTAATTGCTCGGGGTGATGCCGAGATGCAGGTCAGATTCTGATGGGTTCCGATTCGGCCGGTTGAGGTGCTGGGCTCTGGGCTAATGAAAACAAGAGGCGGGGTCCCCACATCGGCGTTCAATCCTGCTCGAGCGTTCGCTCGGCAACCGAGCTTACGGCCTCACTGGGTGGGTCACCGTCAGTATCGAGAGCTAAGAGCCGGATACGGAATCTGCAGACAAATTCTGCTCTTTCAGTCTCGTTGGTAGGTCTCGCAGCTTCCGTGCAAATATTTTTGTATACGGAACTTTCCATTGCGAATACTGTCTTCCGTCTATTCTGGGGCATTTTGAGTCGTCATCACTAACGCGTCCGTGATTCATCGAACTTCTGAAGGGGAACGACCTCTATCATTTGGGAGCTTGATTCAGGCCAGGAAGTGTCCCCGAGGTTTCCGCGGAATTCCTGAAGTGTGACTTCGAGTGAAACTCGATCGCCAGCTCGCTCGCTAGCTCGCTCCTAGTCTGTGAGTCACCGTTTGTTGCAATGGCTTGGAAGTTCCGCACATTTTTCATGAGCAATTGAAGTCGATACCCCAGCTTCGAAACCTGGCTGCTGCGAACCTGGGAGGCTTTCTCAATTCCTCGAACGCTGGTCGGTAGCATCAAAAAACTCGTTGGGACACTGATGGAAATCAAGGTGACCATTCCGTGAGTCAAACGGATCTGCTTACATTCTGAGGCGGATCTTGCCTCACCTTGTGACGTCTACTGTCGAAACTTCTGTGGCTTTAGTGCGTCCCTTCACTCGACGTAATTGTTTGTCTTCTTCTTGAGTTTTCTCTCCTCTTTTCGTTAACAAGAGGTCTCGCGAATTTTCCTCGTTTTGCTTTTCGGGCATCCAAGCACGCAGCGAGAATTCTCGGGAAGTGCCTGGCGTCGTCGCTGTCTCAAAGCGGAAACGTTTGAACGGGAATCGCCGAATTCACAAAGCGGCAATTCATGGTGTTCGCGAGATTCGCGATCTTTATAAATATTTAGCCTGCTGAAGTAGAGAAACACTCCCTGAGCTCATTCGGGTGCCCTCGACCAACTCATGGGTCGGCTTATCGAGCTCGGAGATCGTCTCTGGTCGCTCCCATCCCGGAGAAAATGAGAAGAAATCAACTCAAACGGTGCGGTACTCGCGCGTCGCCGGGACCGTTAATCGTGATTTCTGAGGAACTTCACCAAGATCCCAGGAAACGATTTCACTTACGGAACTGACCCTGACCGGGGTGAAGGCCGGCGACGCGCCAGCACAGAAACGATCGGAAAGTGTGCTTCGCGGTCATGGACCCTCTTCCGATCAAGTCGGTCAAACCGCTCTAGAAGCGTCATACTCGCGATCGAGAACCTTCAGACTGGTCCGGGGCGAAAAATACCTAGTTTCATTGAGCGAAGTTCTTTACGGTATCGGTACCGGATTCCACTTGGACCGATTTTCGGTTCTCGAGCGTTGCCGGGGAGAAGCGGAATGAGCCGTCATTCTGGTGATCGACCTACAGACTAAAACTCACGCATTAGAAAATTGCAGAATGGCCAGAGCAAAAGGCGCGATGACCGAGTTGAGCTCCGAGGACACGCCGATGCAAAATTTCTTCCGCGGAAAATCAGTATTCATCACCGGGGCTTCTGGCTTCCTCGGTAAAGTTCTTTTGGAAAAAATCGTTCGGTCTTGCCATGGAGTCGACAAGGTGTACTGTCTCATCCGGAAGAAGGACGGCGAGGATTCTCAGCAGCGCTTGCAGAAAGTGTTCGAAGCTCCGGTGAGTACAGAGCGATTTCCGCTCCACTGCTTTTCTTCAACATTTATGGTGTGGGGCTGGCGCTTTATTTCACGGCGGATTTCGGGTCCATTGTCCGGGTTGTTCAAGTAACACCGAGCAACTTTCTTAGATCTTCGACTCGAGCCGGAACAAACTACACAAGGTTGTAGCCGTGGATGGTGACATTTTAGCCGAAGGACTCGGGCTGTCGGACGAAGATAGACAGATGCTGGTGGAAAATGTGCAAATCGTCTTTCACTCGGCCGCCTCGGTTCGATTCGACGAACCTCTGCGGAAAGCGATCGATATCAACGTGCTTGGCACCCGAAGAGTCGTCGAGCTCTGTCATGAGCTCAGGAATTGCGCCGCTTTCGTGCACGTTTCAACTGCGTACTGCTTCTGCAACAGGAACTTCGTTGGAGAGACTATCTATGAGGAGAAGATCCCCTATCAGAAGGTATGCACCGACTTCATTTTTCTTCCGCAGAGACTTCCCGGAGAGATATTTGAGTCAGCCCGCGATTCCGATAGGCAGGGAGAGCGCTATTCGTTACGTCTGCATCGTCGCACTAATCTCATTGTTCATCATAGGTGATCGATGCTTCAGAATGGATGAACGAAGACACTTCGAAGAAATGTCTCACTGACATCATGGATAACCGTCCGACGACCTACCACTACACGAAAGCTCTCGCTGAACGACTCTTGCTCGAAGAAGGCAAAGGTTTGCCAATTGTGATAATCAGACCCTCGATCGTGACCGCGTCGTGGCGAGAGCCGCTGCCCGGCTGGGTTGACAACTACAACGGACCTGCAGGATTCGTTATAGCGGTGAGCGAAAGCGAATCCTCCGATAGGGAGCTTTGGGGGACGATCGCCGTCGGACTTCCAGCGAGTGAAGTCTGAATGAAGCCATGATCTGATGAGAAGTTAATGAATTTCGCCTTCCCCATTCGCAGACTGGCAAGGGTGTGATGCGTACGATGTACATCCGACCGGACAGCGTTGCCGATGTATATCCAGTGGATCTGGTCTCCCGAATGATGGTGACATCCGCTTACTACTGCTCTCTGCAAGAGTTCGTGTCTCCGTACATCATCAACTGCACCACGGGTCCACTGAGACAGCTCACATGGAGGCAGATCTTCGAATACGCGAAGCCCTTGGTAATTTCCAATCCATCAATGGAAATCCTGCGATATCCCGGCGGTTCATTCAAGGAGTCGAAGATCGCGAACTATATCGCAATGTTCTTCGACCACACCATACCCGGATTCATCGTGGATTCGATTGCTGTACTCTTCGGAAGGAAACCATTGTAAGTTATTCATGACACTCTCGCCACGAGGCCCCCCCGGCAACGGCGGCTGGATTTGATATTCTTGCCAGCTAGTCTAAAATGAGTCAGAATATTAGCCGCTCCTCTCACCATTGCGACACCGGGTCATTTCACCCCCATCCCTGCCATGACGTTCTCATTCTAGCCTCGGTGAAGTTTATGGGAAAATTCATCGTGCGATGCACATTCTCGAGTACTTCACCACTCACGAGTGGGAGTTCTCGATTGACAACCTGAACAAGTTGCTCACGAAGATCGAGCACCCCAAGGACAAAGCAGACTTCGACTTCGATATCAGGTGGGGATCTCGCTCTTAGCGATCGAATCGTCTTCTCAGTATAACTCAGATTCGTCCAAATTTCGCGTGGAATACTCGTCCCATTGTACTGGTGTCAAGTGTCTCATTTTCCCTCGATTCTTAGACCAATCGATTGGCTGCCATTCTTGGAGAGTTATATCCTCGGCGTTCGGAAGTATGTCCTGAAAGAGGACCCCTCTACCTTGCCGGCCGCCCGTAGAAATCTCAACAGGTAAGTGGTACACTTGGTGTGGCGGTGATCTATGTGTGTCCGTGGCGAACGTCCCGACGTATGTCCCGTCCCCTGACTGTTGCACTGATGGGAATCGCATGGGGCTTACAGCGACACTAACTCTAAAGCGTCAAGAAAGCCGATCGGTAGCGAGAAATACCCCGAGAAAAGAGGTCCTTCTTGGACGTCGATCTCATGCACGGCCGGCCAGCAGAAAGCCGAGGGAAGGTGAGAGCGTATTGCGCACTGTCAACTCTCGACCCGGAGAAAAGGAGAAAAGTCCAGCACTCTAGATGCAAAGCTCCAGGAATACCTCTCCGATCTCTCGATGCATCCATTAGCCTTGTTCAATCGTCTAAGCTTCCTAAATCCAAAGATCCTCGCTTCTGGTCGCCCAAATTTCCCACGGAGGAAAATCCTCCCCTTCCCTTGATTCGCGCCTCACTCTCGGCACCCGCACTTCGAGGCAACGCCTCATTGATCTCGGTTGGGGTTCGACGTTCACGGGTAAAATGATTCCCACCTTTCAGGATCTGGTGGATAGGAACGGTGATGCAAATGACCGTGCTGGCTGGGACTTTGCGACTCATGATGAGATACTCGACTAAATTCAATCGTTTCACCTGGGACATTCTATCGAGGCTCATCGGATACTATATCCAACTACGCGTCGCTCTCAAATCGAGGAAGAGCATCAAGTAACGGGCGCAATGGTTTGTTTGTTTGTTGGTATATTAATAAAAGGGCAACGTTCACTCAATGAGACCGACCGTGTTTGTTTTCCATCCGATGGCAGATTTCGTTCATCCGCCGTTCCGATCCAGAGCTCCGGATTGGAGGAAAACTTCCATCGCAACCGATCGAGCAGTGGATCGGGAGATGTGAAGGGGAACCAGAAGCGAAAAGAGAAATCAGTCCTGAACGCAAAATTATAGGTACATAGTTTATTCCCTCTGCAGCGGACCAGCGGAGAATCCGCTTCAACGGGTGCGCTACCTCGGATTCGAGCATAGAATGTTCCTACAAGTCGAAAGTCGTCGATGTGCACAGGATGCCGTTGAATATGAAAGTGTTGTTTATGGGAACATATTGGTGGGTGACCACCTTGATGACTTCCTGTGCAGCGCAGCCGCCCACAACGGACGCGATCGTATGGAGCTCCGAAGCCCCGAACCGACACCTACTCCGAAAAAAACGACATTTATACTGCGATCTTCGGGGAGCGTCGGAAACATGTTTCGTGCCTAACCCTATCTGAGTGAACGCAGCGCTATACTGGGACGGGGAGGCATGTCCCTAACGCTCACATTTCATGGATGAGGTCGTCTTTGGGAAAGGGTCCTATGCCCCATTCTTGAACGAGTTTGCTGTAGATACTCTTGAGCTTAGAGATATCGGTTTCCATCAAGTGAGTGAGGCATCCTGGGTATCTCTTGAACGACTCGAAGAACTTATCGACAGCTCTGAGCAGCACATAGTAAACGATCTCCGGCTCCTCGGGTTGATAATTGTTCCGGAGGCTGTCGGTTATTAGATTTGACTTCGGTCGCTCATATTCTTCGAAGATGGGCCGCGTTCGTAGTACGTCCAGTGTGTGGGAGTTTCTGCAAAGAATATGGATTTCGGGCTCGCACACGATGTCTAAGGGCTTTCCCAACGCCGTCAGGATTTCATTGACGCGGTTACAGATGTCTTCGCAGTGCTTGTCGGCTTCCGTCTTGTACACCCCTGCCAACCTCACGTAGCTGTCCGAATCGGACGTCATGTCGGGGATGGAGCCACGGAGAGGAAGCGTTCCATTGACTGCGACGAAATCTCTTAGGGCTCGAACCATGATCCAGAAAGGTTTGCTCTGGGGAAATTCGGACGGAATTGATTACGACGAGATACGCTCTCTAGGATCGACGTGATACTATGCTGATCGTGGGGATTAGGGGGACTGACTTTGGGGTTCAAGTTCTCGCATTCCTTATCCTCGAACAGCTTCTTCACATTGTCCGGGATCTCCGTTTTTCGTAGAGTGCGAGCACGCGCTTTGATAGCTTCTTCGAAATTTAAAGGTTCGACGTGCGGAGTGTCATCTCCCTCGTGATGCTGCAAGTTGATTCGGCAATCGAATACGAAAATTCGGCTCTCGGAATAGGGGCATATTCTTCAGCTCATCGGCAAACACATTCGTAGCCCACCTTAAATTTTAGGCTCTCGATGATCGATTCGAAATCCTTCTTCTCGCTGTACGTCGGTAAACTGGTGGGTCCATGCTGAATATAAGAAACTCATCATGATCATCATTGTAATAAATTGCATCGGTATTCTTTGGCAGTGGGATCCGAGTCTACTCGCAGCACAGAAAACATTCGAACTATTCTGCACGAACCTTTTCCCGCCATCGATCGAGGGCTTTCAATAAAATCACGATGTAAGGAACGTGAGCGTGTTCCGCGCGACTCAAGCTCTCCAGATCGATCGAGTCCACGTGCTTCCGCAGTCCCGGAAAAGGATCGGTCAATCGCAAGTCATCGAAACCGTCATCTGAAGTGCAGATGAGAACATGTTCTCCTTCAGGTCATTCGGAATGGCATTCGAAGGGATTCCTCGGGATTTCGACCGCAGCGATTTTAAAGACATCGATGGCTGTGTCTACCTGGATGAGACTCGATGATTGTATGCTCTGGAGTTTGCAGCCTGATGTAACCTATCTGCCCGAATGATTTACATAAAAGTAGGGGCACGTTGGCAACGTGCAATAATTTGCTCAATTGCAGGACTGTTGACTCGGGCATGCCAGTGGCAATCACCACGGAGAACGTCGTGAAATACGACGGGTTGGTGGCGAGTAGAGTTTCACACGACTGGAAAATTCAACGGAGTAGGTCGTGAGAAAATAACCTGTGTCGGTCGAGGCAGGATGCGAAAGCCGAGTCGATTCCCAGCAGGATGAGAAGGGTAGATACCTCATCTATGTAATCCCCTCGCACGTGTGGGTTGAGTTCGAGGAGCTGTTGACAGGCTGCGCTCCCTCTATTCGATCCGATGGAATGCTTGAGTAGGAAGAAATTACGCCCAACGTCTTCCCCCCTGGAAAGATAATCCGGCTGTCAACGGGATCGTCTTTCGTGGAGGCAAGAAATCACAGAAATCCTCATGAGGATAAGCTCTCACGTGACATTGTTTCCATCGACGATCGTAAATGCACCGATCCCGGGAAGGACGAGACCCTTCAGGATTTCAGTGCCGGTAGCCGTGGCGTTGATGAGACACACTCGCGCGTTCTCGAGGAAGGACTGACCGTGATCGCCCCACAAGCTGAAAATAGGAACAGCTAATCATCGATTCCCACAACGGAATTACAATGTCAGCGCGATTCCTCACGTCCACGTGGGCCTGAAAAGGATCCATACGCGCAAGAGCTCAAATGTTGGGAACAACCTGTCAGTAACTGAACTTCGAAGATTCGGATCGACAGAAACACCGCACTCGGTGGGAAGAAGAGCTTCACGATTCAGGGCCGGATCCGGAATCTTGAGGGTTTATCCGGGCCCTCGAGTTAACGCGGGACATTAGGGAAGCTCGAGATTTCTGGTCCAGCGAAAGGAGTTGTCACAATTCTCATCGCTCTCCGAATGGTACCCCGCCGTCAATCGTGTTCGATAAGCCTCCCAACGCAAGCTTCAGATGGCCTGGTGCCCAGCCAAACTTTCCAAACAAGAGATCTCACTCACCGGAGCTGACGATCATATTTTTTCGTCTTTTCATTTTCGGGAGACCGGGTTTCGAACTTGCCTCTAGTCGACGCCATTTTGCTATAGCCGGTATAGGGAAACTCCATGGGCCGAGAGCTACGGCTTCGATTCGATCGATGGGGCTAGCGACAAATCAGAATCAGATTGAACTCGATAGATTTCACCTGCTCAAGATCTCATCTGTAATCCTCAGCGCCTGGAGGGTCTGTAGGGCTTATTCTACCCTTGAGGAAACTCCCGGAAAAATAAAGACGCCTGAAGACCCGCTGGTGGCCCGTTGCTACACCCAATGCGTTCATGAGCCTCTCGGCGCTCTTTCTTTAGCGATCACACTCTCGCGACTTGGGTGAGGACATCTCGCAACACCACATGTCATTTGGAGGTTGAGCGGATGTGACTGGCAAGAACATTAGTTTGTCTCCGGTGTAGGTTGCGACCGCAGCAACAACGACATCCCACCTCGGTTGTTCACCGTTTGTTCTTACACAGCAAGGTCATGGTTCACAAAGTAGCCATCGTGGGCTCCGGCAACTGGTAGGTCAAGTGTCCTATGGCACCGGTATATTCTCCCCGATCGCTCTGATATTTGTGAGCGCGCTCCTGACCAGAACGTCTCACGAGGGGGAGCGATCCGCGCGGTCATCGGAGCGGTCCGTGCCGGCGCGAAGGCGTAGATTTCCGTCTTTCGCACGGAAGTGAATCATTGAAATATCACGGGACTGCTTGGAAATTCGCTCTCTCTGCTTGGTCTGCATCTCTGGTTTTTCAAGTGCGCTCCGTTGATGCGCATTTCGGAGGAAAATTTGAGTTCAATCGTCAAACTTGCATTACCGGCGTAGATGGCGAGGGATATCGCTATCAAGAAAATCTCCCGGCTAATTGTGTGGAGTGCTGTCCTTATCCGGCCTCATGGAAAGACCGGAGGACGACGAACACCAATCGATTCAGACAGGAAACACGCCAGCTGGAGCCTTCCTCGATAGATCGAGAGTCATGATCGCTTGAGACTTGAGGCCATCGATGATATTAAGTAAGAACTCTAATGAGACGTCGGATCTGCGAGAATTCACCTGGCATCGCTTGCAGCCGGCAAGATCGGCTGGTTACAAGGGTGTTCCCGGAAGATCTCCCCGAAGCTTTCACTCTCGACGTTGAGGTCGATGAGTTGTTCTGCGAGGGCTCAGCCAGCACTAACAAAGGCCTCTTCAAATTGTGATCGCTCGGACAACCCTTTCCCGCATTGTACCTGCTGCAGTAATCGTCTACTCGGCTTCGACGAGAACTCATGGAATTGCGGCTCGATGCGATAGATAAAGAGTTGATCTTGGGGTACCTCGGAACTCGGGGGCTATCACTCGACAGAGCTTCTGAACTTCCAAGTCAGAAGTTCCGTTGGAGAACAATCGCCCTTCAGTGATCTCTAGCGGGAACGAAGTTTGAATGTTCAGACTTGTGACTCGAGAGAAACCTGTAGGAAGCCTAAACAGCAACTTTCCCCTTCCTTACAAGGCCATGGCTCACTGCTATCGTTTAATATCTCAATCCATCCGATCAGAAGCGGTAGAATCGCGCATTAGACCTTTTCGCTCCGCGTACTTAGAAGTAAGAAGATTGATCATGAGGTGTTTCCGATTTAAAGGCTTAGCGGCAATGTTCCGATACGACGATCGTAGAAGTCGCTCGGGACGGTATCCATCTTTCGTAGAGGATAGTTACTTTCTTATTCAGTCGCGTAGCGAGGTGTTTGTGGAACACACCCTGGTCTGCTGGGGGTATCGAAAATGCTTTGATGGTCTGTGAATACCTGACCCTGGCGAACAGATTTCTAGAAGCTATGAATGATCATGAATCCCGGCAAGTCTGCTATATCATCGGAGAGTTGAGACCATGCTACGATGCGGACCGTTCTCGTACGTGAAAGGCCCGTTCCGAAGACCTCTTGACATACGGGGCCCGAGTTCGATCGGAAGTAGACTGCGACTTGCGAGGTTGAGGCAAAGCGCGCGTCTGCAAGCCATTTCACGTGTTTAATGAGAGCGCGCGGTCGGACGCTTCTCCTCTCAGACACCGATTCCTTAAGGGTGCCGAAGGCTCTGAGCCTTTTCGTTTCACTTTCTCTCTAAGTCAGTTCATTCAATCTCAGGATTTGTCTGCGGCTCATTGTTGACCGAACGTAAAAAGTCGGCCTGGTCGCGGTTCTCGAACTCGGTTCTATCTTTGCCGCTCGTAATCAGAATCCGGTTGATGATAAGGGGTTGCCCCAGACGCAGACGCGATCAAGCCGTCTCCTAGATAATGAGACCAGAAATCATTGCTTTGTTCGACCCTGGATGCTGGCGAACGCTAGAACGGAGCATGATCCGACGAAAATTTTGCGGTTTCCCTGAATCTGTCTTTTCGACGTTTGTCTCGTTCTGCAAGGAATTTTCCGCGAGCTAGAGTCATGCAGAGTGCAGCTTGATCAGCGAATTGCTCGGGAGAGAATCACGTTGTGAATCCAATGCGGCTCCTGCTTCGAAATCAATTCCTCGTGCTACGAAAATTCTGTTTTCACAGGGGCTCAGTGATAGCTAGAATCGTCGGCGCGAACGTAATCGCGCAGCCAGACCTTTTCGACCCGACAGTCAATATTCACGTCTACGAAGAGCTTGTGGATGGCAAGAAGTTAACCGAGATTATCAACACCCAACACGAGAACGTCAAGTATCTCCCGGGATTCAAGGTGAGATGACGGCCAAGCGACGTGAAGACCTGTTCGGACCCAAGGCATCATGAGCATTATCATTACATTGTTATATTATTCTGCGGCTTTCCGCGAGCGATCCATCGTTGACTGGAAGCCTGAGGAGCTTCTCCCAAAACAGAACCCTTTTTGCAGTTTCCCACCAATGTGGTGGCCATCCCCGACGTCGTCGAGGCTTGCAAGGATGCAGACATCATCATTTTCGTTTTGCCTCACAAATTCGTTAAACCCACCTGCGCTCCGCTGGTCGGGAAGATCAAGAATACAGCCATTGGAGTCTCCCTCATAAAAGGTAAGCCTCCGACAAGTCTGTATCTGAAACAGAAAAAAAGGGACATCCGACTGAGATTTCCCCCATTTCAGGCTTCGATATTGTCCCTGGCAAGGGTATCACGCTTATCTCGAACGTTATCAAGGAGCTCCTGAATATTCCATGTGGGGTTCTCATGGGCGCGAATTTGGCCAATGAAGTGAGTAGGATACCGAGCGTTGGTGAATTTACCAAACATTCGTTAGAGTCTCGAAGATGGAACAGTTACTTTTCGGTGCAAACCGAAAAAATGTAAGCGGGACCTCCCTAACTTCTCACAGGTTGCCGCGGAGAAGTTCTGCGAAGCGACACTCGGTGTGAAATCTCCGGAAACAGGTGCAGTCCTCAAGAAATTGTTGCAGACAAATTTCTTCAGGTACGAGGAGCATATGAAAGAATTTCTTTGCGTAGAAAAGCTCTCTATCTTTACCCTCGAATCTCACTTCCGTGTTTCCTTCCAGAATCACAATCACGGATGATATCTCGACTATTGAGGTGTGCGGCTCAATCAAGAACATCGTCGCATGTGGTGCTGGATTCGTTGACGGCCTAGGCTTGGGCGATAACACGAAGGCCGCTGTCATTCGGCTAGGATTGAAAGAAATGATCGCTTTTGCGAACCAGTACTATCCCGGAGCGAAGCTGGATACTTTCTTCGAGAGCTGCGGAGTCGCTGATCTTGTTACGACGTGTTATGGTCAGCTTCTTCCCCGCCTCTATTTTTCTGCGCCTATGGTATGGACTCAGATGAAGCTCTCTTTAAATTAAGAGGTCTCTGATGGAATTTCTTCATCGTAGGTGGCCGAAATCGCCGGGTATCGGAGGCCTTCGTTAAAGCAGGCGGGAAAAAAACCATCGAGGAATTGGAGAAAGAGATGCTCAATGGAATGAAACTCCAAGGTCCTGAAACCGCAGCCGAGGTGAGACCACACGCTGACAATTGGGATCATCGAGCTTGAGAGATCAGTTCAACATTCACGGACCGTTGGAGAGGTAGAGCAACCTTGACCTGGCTTTCTTCCAGGTGTATGAAATGCTGAAAATCAATGATCAGCTCGAAAGGTTCCCATTGTTCGTCGCAATCCATCGTATCTGCATCGGGGAAATCGCTCCCGATAAAATGGTAGAATGCATCCGTAACCACCCTGAGCACATGTGAAGCTCTCCGGCGCCAATTTTCCTGACTGGCGTTCTCTGTTCTTGTAATGAATTTTCTTAATCCCGAGATCCCTTGGCTATACGAATTCCTCGAAAGAGATCCGAGCCGAAAGATCATAGGCCATAGCTAGGACAGGAATAGGCGAGTTTCTGCCGCTTATCAATGCTCTTCTGACGAAACCATAGCTGAGAGAGCATGGACAATATTGACACGATTAATATACTATAGTGAATCAACCAATGATAGGAGTGACGATCCATACGGATGCGTTGAATGCATTGCTCGCCTGCATCGCGTAACCCATGAAGGAGTCGGGTCTGAGCACGGGGAAGCTCAATTGATTTTAGGCGGCGCCACGTTACGCTTTTCATCTGGTGTTACCATTTTAGAGACTACTATCAGAGTTCCTGGTAACTCGAGTTGTTGCGAATCTGAAGGAAGCCCCATGCAGGCAGTGAGATGTTTTTCTGCATCGAGGACAAGAATTTAATAAAAGTTTCCGAATGCTCCAATCAAGAAGGGAGGACGATTTCAAACACGGCCGTGAACTCGGCTGTTGCGTGACAGCTCATGTTAGCCGGCTATCTTCCGGAATGACTGTTCTTCTACGAGACTCTTAATAAATGATCAGAAATTTGAACGGCGTCGTCTGTTTCAGTGTTAGACTCCTGGCCGCAGAACATTGCGTTCCCTTCTCGAAAAGCCTCTTAGCTTGGACAAGTCAACGCGTAGCGGCTGACTGACGTTCGCTAAATATGTTTGGCAGCTCCGGGTCGGCGGACGACCACTGAAATTCGAATTTTGCCGCTCAGTGGCAAAATCTGTTGATAAACATGCGTCGGCTGGTTTCGATTCACACCGAGCATGCTGCTGCGGGTAGAGACGATTGCTTACAATCCCGAGAGGAGAGAGAGCTCTAGTGGTCTGTCGTATTCTTGGCGCCACCGGCAGCAAACAGGATTGGAACCGCGAGCTCCTTCGAGCTGAATTCACAAGGTGACACTTCTCTCTACGAGGAAAGAAAGCAAATCTTCCCCCACCCTCGCGAGCGCGCTCCAAACCAACGATTCCCGAGCTTAGGAAGCAGTAAGAGCCGGTGATTTTACTCAAATATCAGCTGGAGCCCGAATAGGGAACACGGCCGTGGGGAAAGTCTCATTTTGTGATAGACTAGCGAGGAGCTTGCCAACGTCTTTCCGAGATCACGGAATGCTCTGGGCTGATTGGTTACCGGCAGAACGCAGAGTCGTCATGGCAGCACAAGGATGATCCTCTTTTGCCTGGAGGAACTGTGACAACAGATGCTCATCGGAAGCCCATGCGCTCGGTGTCTTCCATTATCTCCTCGGTCGCTGCTCGCTCGGTTCCAGTCTTTGCTCAGTGCAAGTTCCTCCCCTCTTACAGTATAAGGCGCCAAGCCCGTCTGGGATCCTCCGAAGATGCGGATTTATACGTTGGCCGAGTTCCCACCTGCACCGAAAATAGGACTGTTGACGCTCGAGGAAGCTGAGGGACGATTTTACAATGAGCAAGAGACAGAGAACCTTCTTCAAGCTTACCACAAAGACTCGGTAGGTGGATTCCGATTAATCCACCCCTTCAAGTTGACGGAAGCATATTCAATCGTTGGCTGGTTGGAGGTCTCCCGGAGTTTCTTGTCCCCATGCGGAAAAGAGGGATGATATTGTCGACGCTCGATTATTTCAGTTCCCCGAAATGTCCCTCATCCGGCTGCAGGACGAGCTCAATAGACCCTGTTCGGGACCGTTGAATGCGAAAGCGCATATTATACGACCTGTCACCAGTGACCAGTTGGCTCTTCTCTGGGAATCGTACAGTGAACACGGAGTTTACGGACTCCTCGATCACATCTCGGGAGTGCAGACGCAACCGCTCAGAGTCCTGGCCCTACCGGCACGCTGCGCTCTAAATAGTTACCACTTCGCCGGCCACGTTTTCGCTTTTTTGCGTGGATTGGTCTTCCCTCAACTGCAGGTGAGTTCGGACAGAGGACTCAAGTAGGAGCCTTGGCAAGCTCCTGCTCTCATGCTCCTGGACGAAAATCATGATAAGCAGGGAACGAATGTTCGAGCTCATTTCGTATGTTTCTCAGCTGAGCACGGACGAGATCTGCTCGAAATACTCGGAGGTGAGCATGTGGAGTTCGGGCTTCGTGCGAGCAATGGCCTGGCATCCGGGAACCAAGAAACTAGCCATAGCGCTGCGAAATGACTCGGTCATCTTGTACAGTAAGAACTGCGCGACGAGTTCAGAGCTCAGACACCCGAAGCAGAAAGCAGTAACGTCGGTCGCGTTCAGGTCAGAGTCGCGTAGACACAGCCGATAAGCGATCCTGATTCTCGGGATCCAGAAATAATGTCGCCCGATTACAGACCGTTCAGTGGGAGTCAAATCGCCGTCGGAGGTGAGTTAGGTCTCGTCCTGTGGAACATTCCTGCGGCGATCACGGTGAAGACTCCAACCATGCATTCAGCCTCGGTCCTACTCCCGGGCAGATTGATAAGCTCACTCGCATGGCATCCGGACGGCAATGTTCTCGCGGCTTGTTCGGCCAGATTCGGCGACATAGTGGTACGTGAGGGGATTTCGAGTCTCACCGACACAAAAACTCTGTTTCTTCCATTCAGGAAGAAAATAGAATGCTTGCTCGCTCTTGCGATATTCTATTCTCATTTGCTACTGATTCATCCTCATAGATGATAAGTCCAGCGACTGGAGAGATCGTGGCATTGACGACCTTCTCCTTCCTGCCGTCCGCTCATCTGCTCCGATGGTCTCGGGACGGTTATCGGATATTTGCCCCATCTCCGAACGGAGGTTTCTCTATCTGGGAGGGCAACCCCGTATGGGACGCCCAGTGTTACGGTAAGCTACGGTATCTCCTAACGGAAGCTGTCAAGGGCCGGCGTCGTTGCAGCGGACCTCGATCTCACCTGAAGAAAAATATTTTTTGCAGCCTCACAAGTTGTCACAGCGGCTTGCTGGAGTTACGATGGATGTCATCTTCTGTACACCGTCGCAGGAAAAGCCGTCGTCTACCACGTCAGCCTGAACCCCGTCGGTGAACCGATGGCCGCGGTGCCACAGCCTCGGCCGATTATAAAACTAGAAGGACACCCCGAGAAGTAAGAGAAGCGCGAGAAACTGAGCTCCCTATCGCGCTCGGGCGCGAGAGCCAATCTTCACGGTATATGTTCATTTTTCGCGCTTTTTGTTCCTTAGGGTCTCCGGTGAGGCGTCTCTCATGGAATGGGATCCGCACTCCCAGCGGCTGGCGATCGCTTTTAAAGCAAACACGCGACTCATCGCAGTTTTCAAAACGAAAATCAAACCCCTGTTCGACTTACAACCACTGTGAGTTGTACTCTCGGACTCGATTTCATGCAGATTCCTTCTAGCCTTCCGATTCAATGGCAGTCACAGCCTCTGCACCGAAGAGATTCCCGGAAGTTTCGAATCGGAAACTCGTCAGGAGAAGAATTCCGTGAGCTGTGAGTAGTCTGCGGGCCAACTAAATCCGAATCCTATTTCCAGTGGCTACATCAGAGGACCCGCTATTCCGGAAGCCATGAAGTTCTGCGAAGAGCACGACGAAGGAGCTCTACTCAGTGTGGTAGGTGCTTTTCCTGCTCCAGGAATCGGATGAATTCTCGAAATCCGCTCTAGTGATGAGTTTTGTAAAAGGTCTGAGTTGTCGAATCTCTTCACTGAACGGTTAGCAGTAGTGTTGACCACTTGTGTATCAACTCTCGGAGAGAAAAACTACTTCGAGGGTTATAAACTTGCGGACACTGAGTCTGGCATTTTATCTCCCCGCGCGTTATCGCTGTGAACCATCGATACGGAGGGGATGCGATATAGAAAATTTTGCGGCTCTTCGCCGGGGAGAGATGCCACATATCAATATGAATCAACCACGCTGCCGCTTCAGTGTATGAGATCGGTCGACAAATGATCATGAAAACGCACTCTGAAATTCGTTGCTGTCAATTATCCGGGATATGCGTTAGGGAAGTAATAAAATGGCGAGCAATTTCCTTTCAGTGCTGGTCCAATGGCCACGTGCAGCACATAAAGATGCACTTCGAAATATCTGCCGCAGACCGCTCAGTCGTCTTGAGTCGCAACGCTGTCAGTGAGCTGAGTGGGGACTTCTCTGACGAATCTCGGATAAGCACTGGGGCTCATTATTAGGTATGGTGATGTCGATGTTGCTGATAGTGGTAGGACTCAGTCTGGACCCATGGATCACTCATTCCTTAGTGACTTAAGAACAGGTACCCGGTGATTGGTATGGACATGTTATTCCATACCGGATGATCCGAGTTCGCCCCGTAAGGTGTCCAGCAGTTGATTCGCGAATGAGGACATTTTAGCCTTCTGTATATAAATGAATAAAGAATATACGCGGTAACTGCCTTTATTGTTGTTCGCTCTTCGCCATTCATCAAATCGAGTATTGCTTGCTCGCTTGCTCAGTCGGAGGACACAGTAGGTTGGCGGAAGTCTCGATTCCTAATCTCTGGATTTTCACGAGTCCTCGGAACTCATCCTATACGTAATCTGTACATTTTCTAGTGAACAAGTTCTGATTTATCACTTCACAACGCCATGGTGTCCAACTGTACTTGATATTTAACAGTGTCCCTACGGATGTTCTCCTGCAACTTATGTGCCCTCTCTTGCGTAGCTTGCAAGACTGAATTGATGACGATGATCTTCCGCTTAGCCGCGAGCAGTTTCTTGATGTATGAGTCGATCAATGGAGATGCTCTGCGGAAAGATGAAGAACACAAAGAATCAGGAGGGCTCGAAGTTACACGATCGTCCCCAGGCGGGTTGACCGAGCGACATATTCACACACATAGAGAGACGAAACCAACCGTGTGCTGTCCGTGATCCGGCGAAGTTCAACGGATAAGAGGTCGATCTGCTCGCCCAACAACTGCTGAGATTTCTAATTCCAGAAAGATTCGTCTTAGATCAGGAATGACAGCGTAACATGTACCTCGAATATTTTGTGTTTCCGAAGCTAACCACTAACTCACCCGAGTCTCTAACACTTGCTGCTCGATTTGAACCAAGCACGGCGTCAACAAAGTAGTGAGACCCTCAGTCAGAGCGTCGATGTTCTCACTGCTTTGGTCGGAACTTGAAGCGTTTCCACTCATCGTGACTAAGATGAAATGTTCACCTGTAGCAGGGAGTGACAGAATTTCCGGTGAGTTCTTCGTGATATTCCGCCGCTCCGCCCGTGGAGCCTTCCGCCGAAAATATTCCTCGGGGCTCAGCTCATCCGGACTCGCGAGCTAAGCACACGCAACGGGGAGTCGGTTCGCGTTCAAGAATGGTCGCACCACTAGACGCCGTTTCCGGTGCACGAGCATCCATCAGACGCTTTGTAAGGAATCTGCGCTCATATCCTGCCATTGTAGCGGGAGAGCAAGACCTCGAGCGGCGGGAGCAGCAAAGTTCCAAAAATATCTTATCTGTAGGAGATCAAGAATATCAAAGATATCGAGGCTCCTAATCGGACACCCTCGCGCCGGATGAACCCCCGCACCTCCAAGAGAATGAGTGAAGCGCGACTCGAGGTTTGATGGAGAGTCTTGATCATCCGATAGAATATCATCCGATACTTATCTGGCTAGCCAGGGATTTGATAGTTCCAGCACTCGATTCGCCGGACTCCTGTCAGAGCGCCGATCAGCTGATCGCTATCGTGGACTTTATATCGAATTTCATCAGAAAATCGCATTCAGGGGAGCCGACCCTACTCACATTCACCTCCTAAGAACTACGAACAGCAGTGTCTTCAATTATCGCGCGAAAGCACGGAGTCTTGAGGACATCAGTGAACCTTCCGGAAACGGATGATCTCGGCCGTCAGTTCAGCGTAAGTGCAACGAGTGTAGCCAGCCTGCCAACCGCCGCGGATTGATATTGCTCTTGCCCTCCAACAGCGACGAGATCCTTGTGTCGCACGAGAAATGGACTCGTCCCCTCGGATCTGAAAGATTGAGGAGAATCCGCCCGAGAGTGAAGTCGATTAAGCAATTCCCCTCCTCCGTCGATGCTCAAAGCCCCGGTACCTCCAGAATTTCTGTCCGCATTCTACCCTCTCACAGAACGGAGAAAGCAGGCGCTGCTGCTGCTGCTCGTTCGTGGCAGCGACGGCGCGGAGAGAGAACACGGAGGAGGAGATGATGATGAGCGCTACCCGCGCTCAGTAAGAGTAAGGGCAGCCGTGTTATGGCCCCGCTTTGCTGCAGGCCAAGTTGTCGAGCACGCTTCGAAGTGGAAACCTCGGTAGGTGGTCACCGTTCCCGCTCGCTCCCCCTAAGCTAGGTTCCGTTCGTCGGACAAGCGGAGCACGGATTCCGAGCGGCCGAGGGCCGCTCCGCTCCGAAGTCCCGTCGAAGTGTACGTTGGGGCCTCTCACTTCGTCTGCCGTTTGTGTACATCGGTCGTTCCCGGAGAGTCAATGCGAGAATCAGAATACAGACGCGAAATGAGATTCCGCATCTGCACGCGAGTTCATCCAGGATACACATGAGCCAAGACGATTCCTGGAGAGAGGAGCGCGACCAGAAGATATCGATCGCGATCCGCGCGGTCCGCCTCTCCAGGATCACCTAGAGCTCTGTTCGGATGGAGCGCGCCCCTAGACTAATAGGATGTTCGCGATCTCCGTTTTCTGACGGCGGAATCGTTGGCCTTGTGGAAAAATCCTCCGTCTTGAGCCGAGCGGAGCGCGAAGATTCATTTTCCGATTGTCGGAAATCACGAGATCCCCGACGGAGTATTGACACCGAGAAATCCCTCGTTTACACCATGAGCAACTCCATGAATCGAATGAGTTCCGGCGATTGAGTGTTTCCACGCTGCAGTCCGACGCTGAAGGTGACATTCGTTAAAATCATGCATCTTGGTTTTACTCGAGGAATCGTGGCAAAGCGCGATATTACCCGCAAATGGGATTCCCCTCGGGTGATTTCGTCGTTCTTCGAACGTTAAGTGGGAGGACCAGTCATGTAAGAGCGTGACAGCGAGAGCGATGCCGTCAACGCGATCATTTTCCCCTGTTTTTCTGGAGAAGGCGCAGATCCTCGCATAGTTTCCAAGCACGGTTCTCCGGTACGCTCGATATGATATCAAGCCGGTAGGTAAGGATTTTTCGGGAGCTTTCGCCTCAATGAGACGCCTCTTCTGGAGATGAATGCTAACTGTTGAACGTCAACAGTAGATACCAGGAGGAGGAATGAACGCGTCAGATAATCCAGGGAAAGACTCTACTTTTCCACCAACAACGCCGCCAGGAACCGCTCAGTGGAAGCCCTAATATTTGGATTATGACCGCATGCAGCAATCTAGGGCAGAAAAGACCAAAAAAAACAAAATATCAAATCGAGGCTCTGAACTTCCACGAATATGAGCTTTTCCGCTTCTGTTCCACAGCCAGCTCTTCCACTCGGCAGCATCCCGGATGCATATACATAGGTATCTTCGGCTTCCTCGCTCGACGAGATCCATTAGAACGACCGCACGGGCAGGACGGAGTCTCGAGCACACGACTTCCGTGCGTACATGGTCTCTTCCGTTTTCAGATCGAAATGGAATTGGCAACGTGATGACAACGTCGTCGCCATGGAAGCTTCTCCTAGCCATTGGGCTCTTGATAGTTTCCTCAGGGCAGGTGGTGGAAGCTTCATTCGGGGATCAATCGCACATTTTCATGGCATGCATACATCACTGTTTCTTCGGTAACTGCAGCACGGACAGCGATTTGAGCAGGTTAGTCTCACTGACGCCGGAGATTCGTTCTCGCATCTACATGGCGTGGCATATTCGCTCATTCGCGACTCCGCGATTTCCGCATAGACTTCTGTTTCTACGGAGGGCATTAAAATGAGGAATTCTGCTGCTCTGTTGGAGCATCGAAATTCTGGCTGAGTCATCATTGGCTCACGTCTCCTTCAAAACACATACATATACAGGCGAGCATTTTGACCGGAGCAAGTCGTCGTTGTGCTGGTCCGACCTTAGTATTTGCTACAACCTACGAAGCCTTGTTGAATTCTTTCGGTCAAACGGGGAGCCACCCTGGAGCGCCGGATCCGCAGAATCGATTCGATTCTGGAAGCCGAAGGTATCATGAATTCCCGCGAGCCCTATGCCGGGAGATTGAAAACGTGTCAGTTCAATCTTGTGTCCGATATCGTGTTGGATCCCAGCTCGTGTCACCGCTCGGTCGGAGTATTAGAATGAGTCGCACAGAAAGATCAAGTACGTCATTTTCGTGTCTGTGCCCTGAGTGTTTCCGTGAGGCCTGCTCCGAGTTTCGTAGTTTGAAACTAGCGGCGTAACGCAGCAGGTCAATCAACCAGGCGGAACGAGCGTGATCGCGTCCCTGTGTTTGCGCAGAGAGTTCCATTATTATGCGATCTATGGCGGAATAGGAGCTCCCCGCTCTACGGATCGATGCCGCCATGTCGAGTCAAGTAACAATGCTTTGTTTCGATCCCCTCTCAGATTTCATCGGACGCAACCCTGGCATCTTCAATTGCTGGGCTGGGACTGCGAGGATGAATGCGGCCATCAGTGTATGTGGAAGGCCGTAGATTATTTTGAAGCTTTCGAGGAGCGTGTTCAGTTTCGGGGAAAAGTGAGTTCAGAGTTTGAGAGCTCCTAGATCCCCAGAGCTCCGAGCCGGAGTCTAGTCTTTTTCGCGATTGGCTCTGGGAGGAGGCAAGACTCGCATGTCGCATGGGTTGACACATTCTCTCGAATGAACGATTCCCCCTCCCCTCAGTGGCCGTTCGTCCGTTGGTTCGGACTACAAGAGCCGGCATCTGCGGTTTTTTCTCTCTTGAACCTCTTGGCCAACTTCTACGGGTGGAGCGAATTCAACAAACGGATCTCATCGAACAATCGATTTCACGCACTTTGGAAGTGCCAGGCTTACGTGAGTATCGTTAGTTGAGGAGAGCCGAAGGAAGTTTTCGTCTCCAACCGGAAGCAATCGAGTGAGCCCGATTCCTTCAGCTAATCGTTTGCTTTGAACAGCTCGCAATGAACGCTTGGTTCTGGTCGCTGGCATTCCATTCAAGAGATATTTACCTAACTGAATCGATGGACTACTTTGGAGCGTTCTCAATCGTTCTGTTCTCGCTCTACGCCATAATCGCCAGGTGGGATGAGTTTCCGAGAACCTTTCACAGATACTCCCCAGTTCGGAATCGGGTCTTAGATCCGTTCTCGATTGACGCGGAAACGATTCACTCGGCTCACGTATTCATTATTCCCTTCGCAGAGTCACCATCGAGAGAGTCGAATCTCTGCTGCGATTCATCCAAGTACCGTTCGCTTGTTTCTTCCTCTATCATGTGTATTACATGATGAATGTGAAGTTCGATCATCAGTATCACATCGGGCTCAACATCGTTATTGGTGAGCGGAATTCAATCATCCATCGCGTTTCAACCCGGAAATTCGAATCGCTCGATGAGAGTCAGGTTTCGTTCAGATCATCCATGTCAGTTCTAGAACAGTGAGCGATGGATATACGTTTTCAGGGATTATCAATTCTATAATGTGGTTATTGTGGACTTGGGCGAATCGACGGCGTCCCTATGTCGCTAAGTGTGCGTTTGTAGTGGTTTCATTGTTAATTCTGTCGTCGCTGGAAATCCTGGATTTTTCACCGTTGTGGTACGTTTTCGATGCGCACTCACTGTGGCATCTGGGAACCGCTCCCCTGCCGCTAGTCTGGTACAGGTGAGAGTGCCTTCGTTTCACTTCTTGCGCACCAGGGTAGCTCAATATGAACTATGCGAACCACTTGACCAAATCATTCGATTGAACAACTCACTTTCCGCAGATTTCTCATCGACGACTGTCGCTTCGAGAGCATGAAGGTTCGCGAAACCCCGAGCCGACGGACCCTCGCCCGGCGTGGACTAGCCCGTTTGAAGGAAATCCTGAAGGAGCTAAGCGTTCTAAACTATAGGGACGACAGTTTTCTTATCGAGTGAATTTAGTCAGTGACTCCGCATGAGGGTCGGGAGGACCAGCGAATCAAAGTTCTCGCGTCCATGCTATGCAAAGACTCTAAAAGTGAGATTCTCGCTCTTGAACACCAGCGGCAGCACATGGTGCTCATCACAGCTTATTGGCCAATAATGCAAAAACTATATCAATCTCCAATAAGGAGCAGCTCCTAGCTCTCAATCTCGGAAGCTCCCATGAACTCATAGCACTTGAGGCGAGGCTCCAAGACTTCATGGCGTGCCGAGAATCAATACCGGTCATTCATCTCGGAGCGGAAAAATCGGAGTATCTCGATCAGCCAATCGGCGACGATGTGCTTATCGTCCTGAGCGACCCAAAAGCCAGGGTCAGTTTCCGTATGGAGTCATATCATTTGTCAAAGTGCCAGCGATGGACAGGTGCTCAATAAATGAAGAGTAGCTTGTGTATATACCGAAGCACTAGAGTCGCTCTTATTTCGATTCGATACGAGCTCTCAATCGTCCCGGGAGAGGTTTGGCGGGATTCAAGCGTCATATCGAATATGGGGGGTTTGTGCACAGTTCCAAAGCGGAGGCTGTTTCGCTTTTGGAAGTTCGCGGCTCGAGTCTCAGATTCAGTCCCCGGAGCAGCACCGCCCGAGCTTCCGACGGTGTATCCGCGGCCGTATATCCAACGTCCAGTCTATACTCGACCGTGGAGGCGGATATGTTTGGCGGAGCGGACTCCAACGGTCTGGAATCGATGCAACATTTCAATGATTCGCTGTATCGGACCGATCTAAGAGGCATTCAAAAATATCATCATTTATTTGAAGGAATCTGATATCTTCGCGGCGTAATCTCTTTCGAGATGCTAATCAATCGGGATACTTGCTAGGGTCTCGAGATACCATTCGATCCTCAGAAAGCATGCAAGTTCTGCGCGGGATCTCCTTGGAGTAACCGGGAACGAAGAACACTCGAGTTGAGAAGGGCTAGCGTGACGACTAGGTTCACAACAGCTTCTTTCAGAGCGGCAATAGAGTCTTGGAATAAGAAGCACTGGAGCAGAACCCAGCATGGAATCATTTTTTCGAAGCGGGGCTCGAAGCGTAGAATCAGTACTATGTAAATGATGCGGGGGAAGAGCACGAACATGTCAGGCCTAGGCTATCCTTCAGGTGGCTCTTCGGCTCATCGAAGGCCTCACGGCGTCGAATGGTGACGATCCGGGCCGATGGGCCTTTTTCCCCCAGAATCTTCGCGGCTCCGGAAATTCCGAGGAAAAATCCAAGGAGTACTGAACTAGACGAACAGACGGATTTCGAGCATGAGGAGAGCTTCGACGCCTTGGGAGAGCCGGGCGATCAGGGAAACCTTCACTCTTTCCGTGCTGCGGGTGATCCACGATCCCTTCACGGGCCTGACCTCGTCACCTCACGAGACTGCGATGAAGTGTGCTGACAGCAGCATTGTCTTAGAAACCACGTGCCGCCAGAGGTCGCTTCCTCGGATAGAGAGAACTTCATGCGACCACGCAAAATTATTGATGGATACCGCCAAACTCGAGATGCGGGTGAGATAATGAGAGTTCTGGACTGCTGGAGATTTCGTCCGCCAGGAAGAGCTCGACCTCAATGCGGGATGGGTGCAACCAACCGGAGCGACCACAATCGAGCAAGATTGTTCTTCAGAGAGCGCCAGCCCGAAGACGGCCCTCTCCCTCGCGGATATTGGGTCTCGACCTGGCCTAGTCAATCGATATCGCGACTTGCTTTCTACTTTGTTGTTCCGAATTCGGATCGCGGTGAAGTTTCGAATGACGACTGCGTAGCGCTCGTGTATTTAGGCGCCTAGCAGAGTTCCGCGCCGAGTCATAATCCGCGATATACAACCCACTCTAATTGTCTCTCTTGTTGATTCAGACTCTTTGTCCGAGACCGACGGGGTTGCTCTCGTAGGTGATGGGCGGCTTCGCTCGCTCTCAAGCGCTTGAGAATCAGTTCAAAGTCAACAAACACCGTGCTCTCGAACGGGGAAGACCGCGGTCCCAGCGTCTCGGAGCGTTTTCTGATCCGATTTCTGCATGTTTCCCGTGAAAATAATGTGTTTGTCCAGAAATCATTATTTTTTACGAAATGTCAAGCCGCTATACTATGATGTCATCACTCACCTCAGCTCCACTGGTGCGAGCTCACAGGCTACATTCAATCGCCAGTATCAAGCAAGGATTCTCTACTCCATCTGTACCAGCCTTCGGAGAGCATGCCGATCACCGCATCCAGATCTCAATATAGTAGTACTACAATCTGTATAGTAGTCCACGGCCAAGTCTACCATACGCTCGGAGGACTCTATACCCGCGATGCTGAAGCGCCTCAATGTGCTCAGGTATTATTTGAGGACACTGAAGCTGCAGCCCACTAGCTCCCGGGTCGACAGGTCAATACAAACTTGAGACAATCTTTCGTCTTTTCCATGAACTCTTGAAGACCTTTTATCCTTACGCTCAAGCAATCAGGCTAACGGCCGGTGTGGCGCGAAGCGCCCTCACGGCTAGCGTCGTATGTTTGCTCTGGGAGCAGCTGCATCTGGGTTTTTTCGCGAGCTGGGAAACTCACGCAAGCTGGAGAATTCTTCTGGCAAATCGGTCGAATGAATTGAGCGGTTCCTGTCCGAAATGGGAATCCTTGAGTCTCGCGGAATTCAGCGGAGTTTTATTGCAATTTGATTCTTCATTATATATTACTCATAATTAAATTAAAGAGATATTCTTCTCAAGGTTTCCGTCCCAAACGTCTCTTCATAGGGCCACGTTTGAGAGCACGAAATTCTTCATTATATATTACTCATCATTAAATTATAGAGATATTCTTCTCAAGGTTTCCGTCTCAAACGTCTCTTCATAGGGCCACGTTTGAGAGCACGATCCTTGTCTCGCACGATGATTCGCGTGAGGAAACGCTTCCTCGTTATTCTGGGGTGGCCTGCTTTGTAAGGACGAAAATCGTACGATTTTAAGTCGAGAGCTCCAGAGGACAGTGGCACTAAGTGTGAGGAGTACTTCAAGGGTGGGTAGTAAACCGTTGATCGACCCCAGCCGGCTCCGTTACGTGCGAACGAGTTATGAGCCCCTCGTTGGTTGTCCAAGTAGTTCCCTACGTTCGTTTCCGGAGGCTGCTTCCTGCCGATCAACCTGGCGAACCAATTCGCAGTCCTACCGAAAAAACTGGGCTTGGGCTTCTGCAAAAACGGATCATAGCCGACGACGAGAGGCAGCTTTGGGACTTTCTGGAGCAAGTGACTATCGTCTTTGACTTCCTCCGCGCCTTTTTCTTCGTCGTTTCCTGCGACCGCGTCGGCTATTTCCTTCATGAGTGCGTCGAGCTTCGTTTCGAGCGCTTTCATGAGCAGACCTTTGTGTTTTATGATGCGATCCAGGAGATGGATCTTGAGCTCTCGCAGTTCCTTGGGCATTTCAGCGTGCTCGGCGAATAAGGCGGCCAGAATATCGATGCTCGGGAGCTGGCCGTTGTCGACCAGAGCGCTGACTTCCTTGACATTGATGTTCCGCAAATCGTACATCGGAGGGTTCGCAGCCATGGCAATGGTCGACGGGCCACCGACATATTGCATGTTGTAGTTGGGAGCAAAGACAGCGTTATTGCTCCCAGCCATCATCGTCGGGCCCGGCTGGGGCATCATTGGGAATCGGAGAGGGGGGGCCCCTGCCAGGAATTGTTGCTGCCGTCCATTGGGAATCTGTTGAAAATGACCTTGACCCAGCTGTGGCATCTGCAAGTTCGGGGGTTGCTGGAATTGTTGCGGCAATTGTTGTGGCGGTTGTTGACTCTCAATCATGGGCCGCTGCGGCAGAAACTGCTGTTGTTGTGGCTGATGCTGAACTATTTGCTGCACTGACACCTTCGGCGTATCCGGTTGCCCCTGCGCGACCGGCGCATGCTGCTGGGGGGGCTCTTGCCTGGTTTGAGCTCCTTGCTGAACCGGTCCGAGTGGCTGTTGCGGCGGAACTTGCTGCGAAATGTTCTGCCCGCTCACGCCGTTTGCGCTCGCGATCGCTATTGCTACGGAGACGAGGAACAAGGATCGCATTGTGCCACCGTTTCAGGGATCGAGCCTGAGGAACCAGAGTAAGAAAATTTGACGAGATCTTTTATACCTGCTCGCGAGGGTATCCGAGAAGGTCTTCGTCGTGCGTGCTGTCAGTCTCCCAGCGTTGCGGAAGCTCAATGCAACCTGAGCGCCCTGATGGTCGAGAAGGTTTCCCTCGATCTTCTACTTCCGGTTCAAATTATTGGAGACTCGGAGAGTAAATTCACCCCGAACATCGGTTCATCCGACGATGGAGAGACGGAATATCGTCATCCAGCCGACAAACACCTTCGCAGCCTTTCGCTACCGGAACGAGCTAGTTCAGCCCTTTCGCACCCGCGATCAGCTTTATTCATATCGATCATAAAAGTCAACCTTGGGAACATCGGTCAACACGATTCACAACCTCTTTCGAACCCTCTCCCGATGTTTCCGGACCGGAGACAGAGAGCGAACCGCGTGACGGCTAGCAACCGAATTCTGCGGACTCACGTTTATTCCGAGAGGACGATCATCGTGGGTGAGGAATTGAGTTCTGAGCGGGGCGAAGCGAAGACTTGGCGAATTCGCCTGGGATCAGCGGGGGATCGCGAGACGTTTCTTCAAAGTGGGATTCGAATGTACGTATGAAGTGAGGACACCCAGAGCGCGTGTGGCGTTCGTAAGTCCGGAGCCTCGGAGCCGCTGCGATCCCACCGATCACCCTGCTACATGCAGAATAATCGGAAGCCTTAGGACTGCTGTGTCTGCCGAAATCGAATCTCAGTCTGCTGTTTCGTAAATGGAGCCCCCCTTCAGGTTGCAGGGCTGCGCCTCAGATCGGTGAGCTCACTGCTCTACTCGGAGAGACTTCGCCGACGAGACCCGTCAACTCGAAGCTCTGCCCCCGAGACATGGGTCGACTCTCCATCTGGCGCAGAATACGCCATGGGTCCATGATATCCGAAAGAAGCGCGGGAGCCAGTCATGTGAAAGATTACAGCACGGCTTTCCGATGAAATCAAATTTATATAATGCCTCTCCCTCTAAACATATATATTAAAGTTCTCCTATTGTCGATCAATACTCTTCCAAGCCTGTAGGAAAAACTCGATCACCCTGATATCCCGTCAGCTTGGACGCAAAGTCGAGCTGGGGCATTGGTCTCCTGTACAATTTTGAGGGAGCCACTCCATACTGTCTCTGACGCCGAGGGTCCGGAATGGCCCGGAGTACACTGTTGGGGTCCCTTGGATCCTTGTTCCGTAGATAATAGAGTCTCTCTCGCCGGAGTTCCTTGTCGAATCTTCGATGGTCCAACCTGATTTCTCGGTCTTCTTCTGCGAGATCTTTCTCGATCTGGTATCGACGTAGCGGTGGTTTCCTGCGCCGTAGAATTACTCTCGAGAGAATCCTCCGTCTCGTCAACCTCGGATGGCCCGGCCGGTATGCTTCCACTTCAGATTGGTTCGGGTCCTCTGAGTCATCTGAGGGTCTCATCGTCGGAAGTAGTTGATTTTTGAGATTTTCTTCTCCGTCGTTGGGATCTGGGTTCTCCTTGCCTTTGAAGCTGACCAACCAGTCTTTGATTCTGCCGAAGAATCCTCTACGAGGGGGTTGGAGCAAACCAAGGTAATTCTGTTGCTGCTGCTGTGAGACTTGCACGATTTGTTGCTGGCTGAACTGCGATAGTTGCTGAGGGTAGAAAGCACTCGCTTGCTGCGGGAAATTCTGGGCGACGGTGACGACTCCAAGAGACACCACACATACGAGTATAGCATATCGCATAGTTGCGGTACAAGACCCTATCTCGATTTCGCCCGATGCTCTCAGGGGCAGCAACCACTCTCGCATGGCTTATATCGGTAGTGCCTGCTCAGCGGACGTTCTCAGCATGGTGAGGGCACAGCATCCGTCGACCGACCGACCGACACTTCTGGAAGCAATAATCGTCGAGACCGGTGACCGAATCCCGCCGAAGCGGGAGTTTGAGTTCTGCGTTATTTCCTGCACATGGCAGATGTTCAAGTCGCGAGTGGGAAATCAACGCGGGGATTTCGACTGAGAAGCGCCGACGCGTGAATTTCCGCTTGAGTCTTCAGTGAGAAAGAGGAAGTCTGACGGCTCGAGCAGAGACCAGGGCGACGGAACTTCCCCGACCATACAAGGCTCGATCGGTCCGGTTCACGTTCACATCGACCCGGAAGGCCTCGACCCCACAGGACTCGCCGACAGGAGCGTGCATATTGACTTGCCCTCTTACGAGGTGCATTGTGATTTGGCGCTGATTCGTATTGCGTCATGAACGAGGATACCGCGGAGTACGCCGTGCATCGAACCATAGCTCAGATTTATGAATAAGTGTTGCAAGTCACAACAGGATACGAGACGGGTCGCGACTTCGCGAGAGATTCAAAACCTGCGGGGGATTCGGAAAGGTTTCGATTTTCGCCCGCCGACTCCATCGGCTCAGATCGGTCTGACATCCGCGGACCGGCGACAGCTTCGACTTACTCAGTTTTCGGCATCCGGTTCCGACCCGCATCTACGTAGGATTATCGACGGAACCTCAGCTCGTCGATTTCACCCGCATCTGAACAATGACAACGGGTTATTCGGCTCCGGTTGTCTCGGCTCGACGCGCTCCGGTTTTGAGAGTGTGACCCCCACCGGAGTTCCCCCTTTCATATGAGTCCTGTGCGCTTTGAAGGCGTGAGTTCCGAAAGCTGATATAGAGAAACGACTACTGATCTTCCGGCGCATCACTGATGCGCTTCGTGAGCATCTACGAATCTAGCTACGAATCTGCTGCTTCACGAAATGCAGTCGGAAACCTACGAGAAGAAGGGAAAAATTCAGCCCGGGTAAGCGGCCCCATTGACCAGCCGAATCTGTCGAGAGGGTCCACTGTGATCACCGGAAGACTCTGAATTGCTTGATAAGATTCCCCGTATTTTACTTTTTTCGAACAAAATATACACAAAATATATCGAGCTCGGGAGGCGAGACTCTCATCGGCCCGTGAAGGTCGCTCATATCTTCCATGCAGTTATTCACAAGAGGGAAGTCGCCCGATATAGAGCGGACCCGACTAGAATTATTAGGGTGAGAGATCCATGAAGCGAGGCTGCCCCGTTCTTGGATTCTTCCTCCTTGGTGAGGATCCGCAGCCGCTCATCTACGACTGGATGTAATGGCGATCGATTTTTTACATATTGCACCGCGATATCCGTGTCAGTTGTCGCTGTCAGGAACGATCGCGAAATTAGATCGAGTTTTCGAATAGCTCGAAACGTGCTCGTATTGATAGCTTCTAGTGCACATTATCATCTCGAACTGTTGAAAAAATTAAATCACTCACTCAGTTTGTCGATCCTTTCGTTCGGCACAAATTTGAAATCATGATTGTCGCCTCCTTGAGAGATGTATGATGACATGGCCACTCTGTATTCACGCTTAGGGTCCAGATCCTCCCATTCTCCGTTTGATGAGTTCAGGATTCTCACGGAAACGACGCGTTCGTATGGTGGCTTGCTGCCATCAGCAACGAGACGAACGCCTTGGAATCGAAATATCGCTAGATCAGTGAATCTCGAATCGACAAAATATTCACGAATCAGCCTCCGGAGCGAACGTTACTGAAGATTGAAGTTACAGATCGACAGAAGAGAGCTCCTGAAAACGTTCGAGGAACCTTGCGAAGGCTCACCCGATGAATGGAGAAAGCCGCCATTGCTAATCATCCGAGTCGGGTCGTATTTCCGTAGCGCATTCTCGTACATCTGCTTGACCCTCTTCCCGCTCATGGGCAGGACCCACACGGCGTTCGCAAAAGGATAAACAGTGACAATGTCTCCGAAAGTGATGTTCCCTCCTGGGACATTTCCTCGGATGCCCCCTCCGTTGACGACCGCGATGTCGATGGGTTTCACAGCCGCCAACTCTGGAGTGTGGCTGTTCACGAGGAAGAACTCATATAAAGCGTCCGCGAGTAGGTTGCCCAGCGCGCATTCGCCATAGCGACAAATATCCTTTTCACCGGATAATGGGTACATCGCCCGCCCGATGAGGAGGAGAGATTCTTCATCGACTCTCGATCGTTTGCTTCTGAGGAAGTTTTCCACTTCTTCATCTGGAATTAAAACGATTATCTGCAGTCTTACTTCCTCCCTATTGCCTCCGTCTAGCTCTAGCACCACCGTCGGGGGTCTTCGAAGCCCGAGGCGCGGGGGCTGGAGAGAGGACCTCGGCAGCATTCAACGGAGTCGGGAAATATTCTACGAATTACCTTTCGGAACAGTGAAGTCGAGCAGAAGAGGAGAGTCCCCCTGCCAACTTCGCACATCTCCGGTCGCTTCGTCGAAAGAGACATTGATGTATCCCAAGTACTTCCCCAACCAAAAGTCTTGCACCACAAGAGCGTCCGTCCCATCGTCTCTGGTCACAACGGTGGGATACGGACCTTTGGCTTTCTCAAGTTGTTTCTGGTCCACTGAAAATTGGAGATTGACTCATTCTGACGGAGCCAGAACTTAGAAGAAAATATGGGGGGATATGGGTACGTGACAGAGATGCCCACAGTGAGTGATGGTATGTTATGAGGGAAAACAAGACGCGACTGGCGGCTCTTTTCCGCAGTACCTGAAGATAAGTACGTATGAGAATGGCCTCCGACAACCATTCGGACGAGTGGCACCTTGGCCGCGATTTCTTGATCCTTCAGGTACCCAGAGTGACCCATGGCTATGATGATCTTCACGCCCTGGTCGTGGAGTTTCTTGGCCTCTTTTTCGATACACTCGATTTCATCGGTGAGAATAGTCCCGTTATCTGGAGGGAATCAGAAACATAACTTCGGCTCTTCAAGGAGCCCATACTGGGAATCATTCCAAGTCGGGAAATTTCCAACAGCGGACCCGAATATCCTGATACACTCCGTTGACTGACCAACATTTGAGAGGAAGTTTGTATCCGGCGTCAGGAATCCGATAAGTCCGATTTTCACTCCGCTTCGCTCGACAATCAACGATGGTAGCGGCTGGAAGCTGCGAAGTATCGGGTTCTTCGAGAAATCCACGTTACATCCAAGAACAGGCGTCCCGATCTCCTTGGCTCGATACAACAACGGATATAGTCCTGTGGATCCTTCATCGAACTCGTGGTTGCCTAGAGTCTGATAATAAGAGCGGGCCCGGGTTACTCAATTATTATTTTCGCGTGCCACAGTAGAATCCCGTTGGTTCGCGTGTTCTGGGAGTCATCGCGTGCAGAGAATTGAGCGAAGATCTCGCTCTCAGTCGCCGTTTCTGTATCGAATAGCCTCGAGGGCATTGAGGGGAGATCAGAGGCGACATCATTCGATTTGACTTCGAAGAAATTGACTCGAGAACCCTCTCGCATCGCAGTCCATGAGAAAAGACTGTCTAAATGTTGAATCGTCGAGGCTCCACTTTGCAGCATCGGTAAAGTGACAGGGAGTTTGGGCAGTCTGGATCGATGTTCTCAGGAGGCGAATCATCGAATCCGACGAACAATCAGGATCGCGAATTAATGGGTGTCTACTTTATGAGGATTCCCAACATTCCGCTCGGAGACGAAATTCAATTCTGCCGCCAAATGCACTCACCATGGCATCGTGTTTTAGGAACTTTATTGTATCGGCGATTATCGCACCTTTCATCAGGTAGAACCACATCGTCCCCTGGTAGTAGTCACCAGCGTTCAGGAAAAGTGTGTTCGGATTCTCTGCCTTGATTGAATCGACCTGTAAGGAAGGAAATAATAGCACTCTATCTCCAGAGAGCAATGTCGGGAACCACCATCAAGCGCCTATGTCAATAATTCTGATCATTGCGAGCGCTCATTTCCGGTACTCCTGGGAGAGCCATCGGAGCGGTGTTCGTATCAGGGGTCGCGGATCGGACGACTCCATTTCGAAACGGGGTGAACCGAACAAAGTCTCGTGTACGTCGAATCGCGGAAGCTTCATACGGAAGGAGCTGCGAACTCCGTTCGATTGAAAACCGGTCTCGCCAACCTGTGCATGAACCCCGTATTTTTTCAGATCGCCTCCACATCTGTGGTTTCGTTTCTGCGCTCCATCTCGGTCTCCCGTCGACTATCAAGTAGCATCGCTTCGAGAAACAAGTGACACAGGGAACGATCCGGGGAGCCGACTCAACGACAAGCGAACAGCGTTCCAGCTATTCACTGCTCACACTAGCTCACTGATGATGATGATGCTCATAAAGACGACATGGCTTATTGGCACTCTATTCAGTCATTCATCACTGAGACGTGAGTTTTACTCTACCATGTACTTCTGCCGAGCGATCCCGCCGTAGCAAGATCCTTTCAAGGATGCCTCTGGTGTACACCGGCTTCCAGCGGCGTCGAATTCGTCTATTCGTGCATGGACGTCGTTCGTATGCAGAATCGTTAACTTGAAGTCTTCTCCAGACGACACCGCGACCAGTGCGGCCATGAGCCACAAGCGCTTCATCTTGCCTGAAATTGAATTGCCTGATATCAGTCGCAGGTCAATTATTGATGACTTCCACATCAGGCGTGCTACATCGTAACCGGAACGGTGCTTTGGAATTCGATGCATTTTTGAGGACCTGAACTTCTATGGGGTACGGCCCTGCATGGACACAATATTTCGGGCTCAGAATCAGATACCGGGAACTCCCCGAAACTCTGGATAAACTCTAGATCGAGCGAGACTAGTAGAACGATCTTAATTCACCTGGGGGGACGAGTCCCTCATTTTTGAGATCTCCATGCCAGCCTGGATTCAACTTCCCACATCACCCACCTTACCTTAACGCTATGACTCTTGGGTTTCAGTTTCTGGAAATGAGTATGATGCCGTGCTCCCCTTAGAATACAGACGTCCACAGTCCGGAGCGAATCGAAGAAACAAAGGCGTTCTGTTCGCGGAAGATCAGATTCGTGTCAATAGGCGCAACAGTGGTTGGCACGATTGGTCGAATCGGGGAGGACATTTTCAATGTTAGCAGCAATGAAGCAACTCGATAACGGGTGGCCAACGAGTGGAGATAAAGAGACTGGACAGTCTTGTCAACAGCCCTCGGTGTGCAAGTCGACCAGAATCGGGACCAGAACGCTCAGACAGCAGACGTTCGGGATTGAGTCTCTTGTTCGCTGGTCGAGCATCCACAGTGCAAGACCCGAAGACGGAGTGCTGTAGCTGAAACGCGGCGACCGCTCGACTCGAGGCTTCTTCCGATAGCTGCCGCATGAATAGATAGCTTTTAATAATCTGCGTCTCTTGGATACTTTCGATTCACATTGAGGGACCCCCTCAGGCAATGATCGCAAGTCGCGAGTCAATGAAGAAATGGGCTAGACGGGATGAGAAAGCAGAGGAATGCAGCGCTGCGCTTTTAGCTGTCATCGTTTGACCCTCGATGCGGATCGCGATGCAAGACTTGGACAATCTCCTACACTCCCGATGACAGCTCAATGCAACGCTGCGCGCTAGTTCAACGGCGCTTACACTTCCAGGCGAGAGAGGCTCGCTGGTCAGAATGACAGAAATAATTCCAGTTTTACCATACGTTAAGGCTGCAAAAACCGAAGATATGAACAAGGGCTCCGTCATCGAAAGTACTGGTCAAACAAGATTTTTTCTGTCATAGAAAGATTTCTGGATTTAATTGATTCGCGAGCACATCGACGCCGATTGCAGACCCAGAAATCGGATTTCGCCCGCTTCGGTAGGACGCGACTTTCCGAACCAGGTGTCTGTCATCAAGAAGGCTTCGAGAATTGAATTTTCCGAGCTCGGACTCTAGTCGCGCTTCGATTAGATAAGCGGCGCCGATTTATGGGGCACACTTGACGCTCGCCAATCCTTTCGAGCGAGTTACGCGACTCCATCACTCAAATCCGGCAGACGACTGACAGTAAGGGCGCTGTGGTCATTCAGCAGACCAAGTTCCATTGAGAAGGACTCACTGAGGAGCAATCTGTCGTCGTAAAGATAGAGCATCGTTTTAGTCGAGGAGGGAATCACAGGTGTTTACAACAGGAAGAGCTCCAGAGGAAACACCTTGTGCAGATCAGATACAACCGCTCGAGTCGAGACAATTTTAGCGAGCATATATCCTGTGTCGAAAGTGCGTGATCAACACCCTGGGACGATTAGCTCCGGAGCACAATTCTTCTTGTCTCGACCAGTACAGGGAACACCAACCGGGTTGGCAGACGCTCAGCAGTCGATCGACCACGCTGTAATACCGCGGAATCAGAGAATGTCTCCTTCACTCACTCTTCAGACAGATCCAGTATCCGCGTTTCAAACGACGAGTATCGCGTCCCGGCAGTCATTTTGAATGAGCTCATAGACGAAAAGAAAGCGGAAATCGCGAGAATAGGAATGCTTCTGAAATATCCATAGTGGATATTCTCCAGAGTCTGAGGTTTTTCCATAATCGCGGCACATTGGAGCCTTGTTTGCTGCGTTGTAGTCGAGCGTAGAGACACGAGAAACCTCATTTCGAGACGAGCGCGATCACATGCGCGACCGGATGTCACTCACTCACGAGCCGAGCCTTCCGCGAGCAGCTGCCTCAACACGGTCCGTCGTCGGACGCTATGAGGGAGTTATCTGACGCAGAGAATTTCCGAAGCCAAGACGACCCGACGTGTCTGAATTTCTCCGAGGAGCATCGATGAAGCGGAGAGGAGAATTTATGAAAAACATCCAACAATGAGGCGAATTATACTGTCGAAGTTGAGCAGAGATTCGTTCGTTGAGTCAAGTGCTTCGCTCCGGATTTTTCCGAATCTGATCGATTCCCGACATGGGGCGACATTAATCAGACGGGGGTACTCCAGCCGTTGACCGGACGCGGCTGTACGTCTCTCCGGAGTATACATAGTAAGGCTCTCGTCACGAGTCCTGGTAAATGTTATGTGAAGTCTCCGCTTGGAGCCAGTCGCCGTCGATTCGACGCGATGCCCGCTCGAACGTAAGCGTCTCTCGACGAAGACTGACAGCGAGCGCTGACAGGAAACGCGGAACGCTCGCGAAGTGGAGCTCATTTGACACAAGCCCTTTGTCGGCATGTCGAAGATGATACCAGAGAAAGAGACGGCCGGGAAGCTCCGTCTTCCAGGGCGTGGGTCAGTACGTATGAATATGGAGCGCTGATCTAGATTCACCGAGCAGACATTTCAGCAAAAAACTTGGCCTCGGTTATGTTTGTGACGGCCAATAGAGAAAAATACTATGGGATCCCGTGTCTCGCCGAGCCCGTCTTGCGCGGGCTATCCGCCAGAATCCGATGTTTTGGTATTGGAACTGCTCCTCCGCCCGCATCTTCTGGAGGGATATCGCTCTGACTTCTGGGAGCTCACTCTCATTATTCGCCATTCAAGCCGCGCCATTTACCTGCTGTTCAAGCTCGATATCCTCTTGTAGATAAGAGTACGGATTGAGACAGAAAGTTCAATGTTCCCTCTACTGCTAAATACTGCTGACTCCACAATCTCACGCATCGAGCCGGGATGGATCTTATGTTAAGATACTTCTCCGAGCAAGAAACAAAGTTCGAATCTCTTTCCCTATGTATTAGACTCGGTCTTTGTTAGGATGATCTCCGGATGAATCTAGCGCTCTGGATGGGCATGAGAGCGTTTTGTCTCGATGGTGAGCACTCGAAAGACCGTCTATAGCCTGCGAGCTGCCCTCCCTGGATGGAGATTAAAACCTTTGTGTCCAAAACGTCCGCACCAGTGAGGAAACTGATCCCGTCTCCAGCAACGCAATCTAGAGATTGATGGGGAATTACCCTACCCAGCGCATCGTCCGTAATCCGCGCTCGCCTCTTATATGCCCGAAAAACAAGCGATCAGCGGGGTGTTCACGCTCCTAGGAGTGATGATCAGAATACGCGCGAGAAGGAGCCAAAGTATCTTGGCTCATCTCTACCGAGGAAAACGAGATGTTCGGATTTTTGCACTGACCTTGGATTTCACGGTCCGCTAGAAAGATCCGCAGCTCACGCGGTGTGTCCTGGATGAGGAGCGAACAATTCACGAACTCCGTCGGTGGTTAGTGTGTTGCTGTGGCTGAACGTCTCGTCTTCACACGAACGAGTCGAGAAATACGGGAGTTCTTTGTCCGGCCGGGCTCTGACGCCGGCCGTTTACTTTTCTCTCGCTCTCTCCGAGCGGGAGAGGACGCAGAGACGGGCTGTTGGAAAAGGGGAATCTCGCGCTGAGCGCCGATACTGAATTAAAACAATTTCCTGATAAGTTTGATTGATAAATCTACTCTCTTTGTTCTGCCTAATGCCGACAGATGATTGAAAAAGCCATCAGCAGTACTGAAATTGGTGAGCTATCTTCATCCGATGGTCGATAGCGCATACTGCCCTTTTTAGCTCCATCGTATGGTGAATGAATTCACGCCAAGGTTACCTCGCGAGTGGTCCTTCGCAGCGGCTCGGACTTTCCTCATCTTGAAGATACGCCAGCCCATGCTGAAATCATCTCTCTGATTGTGAGTTGTTTGGCGACGAATAATGGATACGTGCATGCTACCTAATTCACGGGTTAGGTCGGAATCGCGTCGATCTGAGTGCCCCCGGCCTTCTCAGGACTGCGGTGGAATTCGATCGGAACAAGATCACGATTGGCTGAGATTCACTCATTCATTGGCTCAGCTGGACCTCTCTCTCGAATCTGGCGGTCGCGGAGGCATCTGGAGTTCTGTACTCCCAACTTCAGAATCACTTCGATCCAATACCGAAGATTCCGGATCACCGATCATGAGAGGCATCTGTTCTCCTAACGTCAACACCTTGTTTGATGCAATACTAGAAATTCCGGATCACCGGTCACTAGAGTTGCGATACGAGAAGACGCGTCCTTCTTTGTTCGTTTTGTCCGCTGTTCAGAGTACCCCTGGAAATGTCCTCTGCTCGGAGGACAAAGCTCCTCGGAGGAGCTCCCGAGGACATAGTTGCATCTTGGGCCTCCCGAGGTTTCCTGGCGCTAATTCCGGTCGCAAATTGAACCCTCGGTCTAGTGTTCTGTCCCTGGCAACGAGGTCTCGACGGCGCGAGCAGTAGCTTGCTCCGGGGGGGGGGGCGGAGAGGGCGATCTGCCCCGGGCGGCACTATCGAGGGGCGGCATTTCCGGTTTTTCACCAGAAAAATGTTCGGACAGGGGGGAGATTTCGATTGATCGCGTCCAAAAATTCAAAATTTTCGTCGACCGTCCCGGGCGCCGTGAACGGCGCGAGCATGAGTCAAGCATTTGATCGAATAGCTTCACCTCATCGAATCTTCTCCGAAAAATCGTATATGCACATGTGACTTCACCCGACTACTGTTTGTCGGATAAAAATGGAAAGTCGATGGAACGCGTCGAAAACATAAAAATGAGCTCCCGCTCTCTCGGGGGAACACTGTTCTTTCATACCGTTATCTACCGATCACCGGCGGCTATTACATCGGAGTGCTGACTCATGAAGCCCGCTGTACGATGTTCGCGAGCCAGATATTCGAGGGAAAGGACAATCAAGCACACTTCTCTGGGCAGTACTAGTTTCCGGCAGTGAGTCCCCCGAAAAGTGAAGCTCGGGGCTATGCGCAGAAAAATATCGTCCTCCGATCTCTAGGAGCCATCTGCCTCGACGTGGACCACGGACCCCGATTTCAGACGCTCGACGGAAAGCCGTCGAACCCGAATGTGAGTTTGCGCCCCAGAATATTTGGCCTGTGAGTGAGCTTCGATACGGGTGTGGAGACGTGGTGCGGAATGACATGACACGGCGGAGGGCAACGACGCCTATTATTGGAATCTTCTCCGGATCCAGCCTGTGCACGGCGCTGTCTTGTGAGCATTTCAGACTTACGAAGCTCTAATGAAACTACCTCAATGAGAGCCCCCGATCCGATCGAGCAGCCTCGTTCAGGATGCTCCTCCCAAGCTTGACAAGAGGGAGTTTCCCTCCGTGCATTCGCCGGAGCGCGCTGTCGACATTGCAGAATACTGATATGTCCCACTATCGGTATTCTAATCCCTCAGAGTTTTTACAATCGATCATGCTCCAGGCGTATCCGGAGCTCATGTTGCTTGTTCCATGGATATGAAAATGAAGAGAGAGAGAGATGCCGAATACTCTCAGCTCAACCAACGCAATATTCCTATCATGTGCGTATGATGTTCGGCAGCTTCAACTTATGACCTTCGGGGTCTGATCGAAGTGCTACTGGGGTCGGCATCGGTCGCGCGCATCGCCGAAAAGCATAAGAAGGTATTGTTTTCTGTTTTTGCGCAACCCATTTTTGCTCTCAAGTGCACATTCAGGATCAGCCTCCCTCTTGCTCTCGGGAGCTTCTAGCCAAGAACTCAAAAAAAAGCCTGCACGGGAACAACGAGTGATGAAAACCTCAGCCCGCAGAGCATCACTGCAAAATCGGAATATTCCGTGGTCGCGAAGAGCGATTTCCCGTGCTACGGTCGAGATTTCGAAATTCTGGGGATGCCCTCTCTATGCCCAGGTCGCAGCAGTCCAAATCACCTCATTCTTTTGGGCCTAGGAATTTCGTCGACACTTTTCCCCTGCCGAGACTCCCCCCCGACTCTGAGCCCCCGAAGGAGATCCTCGAGGAAGTTGAAGATCAGGCTGACGGGAGAAAGATCTTCTTCTCAAATCGAAGAATATCTCCTTAACGAGTCCCGCGGGTCTAGCCGTAAATCGCGTCTCCATTCGGTACCCCGAGCTGGGATTTGGAAAAAGGGAATCTGTCCACCGGTGTCTACGAGGGTCTCGATGAATTTCGCACTCTACATATTGTTGAGAATGTGTCGTAGTCGGGAGAGTCCAGTATGGGCGTCCATATCCTTCGTCAAGAACTCCAAACTCGTCCCGGAAGGGGGCTTTCAAGTCGCTGCAAGAGACCCGCTTCCGCATTCCTTATCAGCGAAGACTAAATCGCCAAATGTTCGACGGTCCCCCGTGGAGAATCCCGATGACACGAAGTACGCATCACCCTCTTACTCGACGGAAATCTCGACAGATCCGGGCACACAGGCAGCGATTCTCCATAAGATTCACTGCGGTTGTGCAATCATCTACAGAGACGCCATCGTGCACCCGATGGTCACCTCAATCTTATGGGCGTTGCGGGAAAAAAATCGATCTAGACGAGGCCGCGAAGACGGTCGGTAGACGACACATCGTTGGTCATAAATGAATAGTTTTGATTACTGTCGGGCCACGCCAGAGCTCTAATACGATTATGATCTAGGAACGATTGGACGCAACATCAGTTGAGAGCTCTGGCGCTTGACGTTGCTCATCGCAGATTGTTAATAGCCTACGAGCGTCGTTTCACCCTTGACAAGATGGAAATGGTCTCTTGATGGAACTTCACGCATGAAACATCGTCTGCTCCGCCGCCTGGAACCTGAAGTCGGCAAGGGCTTATCCGATCGCTTCCAACCTTGTCCCACTTCAGCTCGACTCAAAATGAAACTTCGGCCTAATCTTATCGGAACCATGTTTTCGCGTGATTATGCAACTCTATCCGGATTGCGGATCTCTGGCTCAGGGGCGCAGTATGTATCTGGAGATGCTCAAAGTTAGTCGATCATGAGTGGTTAAACTCATTCGCTGCGGAATTTCTCGCTGAAGAGAGACGCCGACAGATGTGGCTCCGTCCAAACAGTATCAATAAGCGAGACGGCGAATTCTCAATTGATTGGAGGAAACTTGCAGCAAAGGCTTCCGTCTTCTGGGTCTGACCAATGAAAATTCCATAAATTGCTCCACAGCCATCCGAAGAATCTTTACCTCCGAGCATCCGACCGACTCCGTGTTTTTATGTTGCTGCACGAAGTTACGATCAAGGACCCAGCAAGAGACTCGCGGACGAGTCTGGGATATCAGGAATCCTAAGGAGCAGATTGAGTTGCCCGCTAGAGCGAGCCTTTCCTCGATCGGAGGACGCGTCCTCCTCAGAAGATGTGGGCCTCGGCCGGACTCCCGCGAGCCCCTATGAAGAGCTGAGGACAACAAGCGGAATCTATTCCACGACGGACCGCGGGCTCATTCCAACGCGTATGGAAGCTCCCTGTTCAGGCGTGGACTTCGATAGTTCCCAATCATTTGAAAGGATTTCACGCCTCGTGACTCCTGCAGGGTTACGACCTACGGCGCCTCGGTCGGTTTCAAGGCGCTTCGACCGCTATAAAGTCACGCAACAAGGGGGCCAGCCGTGTCTTCGTTCGCAGTGCTCGTCTTGTGTTGTGCTTCGTCTCTAACAATGGATACTTGTCTTAAGGTGAGCTCCGAGTCGAGCTGGCGTCCTCACTGGGAATAATTGATTCGCATTCGAGTCATAGGAGCGATCCGCTCCGGTCTTGAGCATTGCTGCTCCGGTTCAGGGAACAATCACAGAGTCTCTCTCACGTTTCTTTCGATCGCCAGCTTTTGTTGTGCACTATTCTGTTATCAGTGATTGTCGTAGCGGCTCCCCCGGCGAGGAAGTCCAGCTACGGCAAGCCTTCCGCACACCACGACCACCACAAAGACCTTAGCACTCGACCAGATGATGCAGGTACGAATGATCGATTCCCAGATTGACTGCCATCTCGCGCTACGTCGATTCTACGACTTTTCCTACGGAGCCATCTGAAAAATCTGTCTTCTAGCATGGTTCAACGGACAAGCCACTGAACCTCCCATAGAATGGCCCGAAGAAGCTGAGGAGGCCGAGGAGGACGAGCAGCACCAACAACAGCAGCAGCAGCAACAGCAACATCATAGCCACCATCATCATCAGCAAATCCAACATCAGCATCACCATCACAGTCAATCGACAACTCATGACGATGAAGGCTCCGCCGGACCGTGGGTTGGCCTCTCCGATGGTGGCGCAGCCTGGCCCGAGAAAAAGAAGGCTCCCTGGCCCTCGAATTACGGAGGCTTCAAGAGAAACGGTAACGGCAAATCAAAAACAACCACTGCACCAACATGGCCACCCAAACCTATAGTGCCCCAAGGCGGGTGGACCGATCCCTCGCAGAACGACGATAGCCTGTGGCCTGACACCCCCGCCGTCCAGCTGCACCGAAAGTTTCACGCAAAAGCTGTCAAGCAGAAGAATACC